GACCATACAAAATTGTTTTTGTTATTATGAAGGAAGCTCAGTAGATAACAAAGATGGTGGCATGAGGAGAAGGAAAGAGAAAGTTGCGGATACGATGGAACATTTCAAGTTTTCCCCGGGCTAAGCCCTGTTTGGGGCGCCCAGTGCCCTTCTCCGTGTTGCGACATTCCAGCTCTCTCCTCTTCTACCACCTTCTCGCTCCTCTGCTCCCCGAAAGCTCAATTTCGCGCTACTGTCCCTGCCATGTCCTCCAAGTGCGTCCACAAAGGCTGCGGCAAGGAGTTCTCCGACCCGGACGAGCCCTGCGTCTACCATCCTGGCCCGCCCGTCTTCCACGAGGGCCAAAAGGGTAAGTCTCAAGGACCTTGCGGTCTACCGTGATCGAACAACAGGTAGATCCAGTGAAGATGGACCAATAGTCCTGATTGCCCACTATGCACTGGCGTAACCGTCGCTGACCGGATCCTCCAGGCTGGAAATGCTGCAAACCCCGCGTTCTGACCTTTGACGAATTCCTCGCTATCCCGCCCTGCACCACCGGAAAGCATTCGACGGTTGACGATACGCCCGCCGAGCTTGCGGACACGAAAAAGCCAGAGCCAGAGCTCGATCTTGCCGCCCCCCAACCTGTTGCTCCGACCGACGCCGCTCCCCCACGTCCAGCCGCCTCGCCCGCTATTCCCCCGCCGTCAACCGCGGCCACGCCTGTCCCCGAAGAATCCGAGTCCGACGACCCCTCGCAGGAGATCCCGGCCAATGCCACCTGTCGTCGCAAGGGCTGCAATGCCAGCTACAACCCGTCGGGGTCGCGCGAGGACGAGACCTGCGTGCACCACCCCGGACAACCCATCTTCCACGAGGGCAGCAAAGGATGGTCCTGCTGCAAGAAGCGGGTGTTGGAGTTTGACGAGTTCCTGAAGATCCAGGGCTGCAAGGAGAAGAAGAAGCATCTCTTCGTGGGCAAGGGAAAGCCGCCGGGCGAGGAGAAGGTGGAATCCGTCCGGTAAGTCGCTGGACGATCGCATGCCGTCGCATCTGCGGACAACCAACTGACCCGATGGATGTGCTACAGGAATGATTTCTACCAGACGCCGCACTCGGTCAACGTGTCCCTGTATCTGAAGAAGATTGACAAGACCAAGGCCGGCGTCAAGTTTGCGGAAAACTCCATCGACTTGGATCTTCCCACCACTGACAACAAGCGATATACCGACACCTACGAGCTATTTGCGCCGATTGACCCTGAGAAGTCGCAATTCCGCGTGCTGGGCACCAAGCTGGAGTTGACTCTGGTCAAGGCCGACGGGACCAGCTGGCCGGTGCTGCGGAAGGAGGACAAATGGAGCGGAGAGCGGATTCAGGTTGGAAAGGCAGGACGGGTGTGAGCGTTATATGAAATCAAACTCATGAAGAATTGGATGGATATATGGACGGAACGAAGTGACGAACGGATGCATACGGAGACACGATAATTGGAATGAAAATAAATCTCTGCACTGATGTGATATCTCTACTAGATACTTGATATCTTCAACCCATCCGTCTCGCACCAGCCGTGCACACATCAATGCACAGTATGGCACAAAACATGGTAGATGGAAAGAATATCGCGCCTCCTCCACAGCTATGGCGCATGGAGCTCTTTTCTTGCGAAAAGAAGCCCTAGCCCAGCCATATACAGTGAGGGAAAAAGGAAAACGCGAACGCAAAGCGCATTGCTCTCCGAAGCTGGGAACGGAAGGAAACCCACAGAGAAAAAATCCCACACGAATAACCCTCAGCGAGCCATACTGTGTATGGAGCCCCGGTAAAGATTTACATATGGTCAATGTAAACCGCTACTGATGATGAAGAAGAAAAGAAAAAGAAGAGGAAAGCCGCGCGAGAATCCGCGCTATTTGTAGGCCGCCGGAAGGTCTGCGCTAGGCCGGTCTGGGCGTAGTGCGGTTACCCGAAGCAGTAGCGCTAGGGCTAGGGCTGTTCCGGTCAGCAGAATCAGGTCACATGGTTGAGAATCACATGTCAATCGTTGAGGAGGTCGCTCGAACAGGTTAGTGCGGTGGAGGCCGGCGCCACTTGCTTATCTGGGTATGGTGCATACCGCCATACGGCATTACAGTACATAACGCCCTGTTGATACCGCCTGCCGCATGGGTAGAGATGCTCCCAGTTGTTCTACATCGTTTGCCTTGATGCAAGTCATACAACTACCCTTATCAGGTCGCTATATATCCCCGACGTCATAGAGGACATCCTCATGTCGCCCGCTAAGCCTTGTGGATGCATATTGAGTGCTGACCCCCGGACCATGTCGTCATGGCGTCTGCTGACTAAGGAGAGGGGGTTACGCAGAATACCGCCACGCCCAATCAGTGGCCCCCAGGCACGAGACCACCTCGATGGCTGCGTTGGAGGCATTCTCCTGCTGCATCGTCTCCCCTCTCTTTCTCTTTCTCTTCTCCTTTCTTTTGCTCTCCTCTTTCTACACTCCCTCCCGATGTGGCCTACTTGTCTTCATTTTAATCCTTAATTGCATCCAACACCTCCTCGTTTCGTCCGAGTTCTCATCTGTTCAAAAGCGCTCCGTGTGCTTCTCGGTCTGGAGAGAAAAATATACCAGCGCCACAAAGGCTATTCAACCCTCTATTCATTGTATGTCCCCTTTTTTTGGACCAGTCCTGTGGTTCTATTGAAGCTGCCTCTCTGTTTTCTCATTTTTCTCCACACTCTGCTAACAGTCGGTGGAAGATTAGACCAACCTCCATTACTACGCCCTCCTTTTCGCAGCCTCTACACACCAACATAAAATGGGAGAATTACAACCCGACACCTGTCCTCTGACATCCCTCCGCTACATCGCTCAGTCATACAACCATGCGGATTCTCAGGCCTCGGCGTTGAGGCTGGTCCTCACGTTGAACCCTCACTGGGAGGGTCCCGGCAACAATATCGAGTTCGTGCGCTTCACGGACGGCATCACTAATACCGTGTGTTCTACCTGCTCTCATCTTATGGCCCTCGACGCAACGGGTCATTCCCGGGCTGACAAACTAACGCGCTGTAGCTGCTCAAAATCATTAATCGCAAGCCCGGCTTGACGGACGAGCAAATAGACAACGAAGCAGTACTGATGAGAGCGTACGGTAACCACACAGAGATTCTCATAGACCGTGAAAGTATGCAACATTCGGGACGCGTGCCCTCCCTCCTCCTTGCCCAGTGCGACATTTGCTGAGTAGACTTGTCATTCGATAGGAGAAATGCGCTCCCACGCTCTTCTGGCCAGCCATGGATTAGCCCCTCCCTTGCTTGCCCGTTTCCAGAACGGCCTGCTCTACCGCTTCATCCGTGGTCGTCCCGCTACCAACCAGGACTTGGTCAAGGCCCCAACCTGGCGCGGGGTGGCTCGGAGGTTGGGACAGTGGCATGCCGTCCTGCCCATCCACAACGCCGTGAAGTCCCCCGTGTCCACGACGGACTCCGCGGTACAGCCTGTAGATGCCACTTCCACTGGACATCAGCCCACGGACGAGGCTGAGTTCTCCCCGATCCAGCCAAGACAGCCCGGTCCCAACATGTGGACTGTCCTCCAGAAGTGGGTGCTTGCGCTCCCCTCTGCCACAGAGGAGCAGCGGAGTCGGCGTCTGCAGCTGCAGAAAGAACTGGAACGGGCCGTGAGCGAGCTGGACGATGGAAAGGGGCTGGGCGAGAATGGGGTACGTAGACATACCGGCCCTAATCATGCGAGTCGTATTAACCCCTGTTAGTTGGTTTTTGCCCATTGCGACCTGCTCTGTGCCAACGTCATCACCCTGCCATCGTCGGACGGCACGGCTACCTCATCGGAAGACGAGGCGGCAACTGTGCAATTCATCGACTACGAGTACGCGACCCCGTCTCCGGCAGCGTTCGACATTGCCAACCACTTTGCCGAATGGGCCGGTTACGATTGTGATTTCAACATGATGCCCACGCGCGCGGTGCGGCGGCAGTTCTTGACGGAATACGTGAATAGCTACACCCACTTCAAGGGCCTTCCGGAGTCGTCGCAGAAGGCGATTGTAGACCAACTCTTTGACGATGTTGATCGATTCCGGGGTATTCCCGGACTGTACTGGTACGTGTGCCTGTTATATCGTGGTATGTCTGAACTGGACTGACTCTGGCAGGGGTGTCTGGGCTCTCATTCAAGCCCAGATCTCGCAAATCGACTTTGACTACGCATCCTACGCCGATCTGCGTCTGAGTGAGTACTATGCCTGGCGCCGAGAGCAAGACGGCAGTCGAGCACAGGCAGGAGAAGAAATGCCACTGCGGGAGCGACGATGGGCTCAGGAAGCATGAGTTTTGGAGTAAACGGTCATGATCCGTTTCCCGCATACATTAGAATATATGTGAGCAGACTTGCATGGCGGGCTGTTGTTGATTTTGCCCCGACCCCCGATTTGTACATAGAATTGATCCATGATTGATCTCTGGTCTCGACTGTGTGCTAATGAGGGTTTCAACAATACACCCTTGAGATCCCAGCGCCGGACTCGAGACTAAAAACGGGTGGTGGGAGGAAGTGGGATGTAGTTTGTCTTCAACGACTGGGGGTTGTTAGGAGTGTATTATGATACAAGTAGATCTATATTATTTTTCAAGATACTCGAGTTCGGAGTATAGTTACTTTCTCTGGATAGATGGAGATGTAATGCATGGATGGATGCAACCTCTCTTTACGTCATGCTGGGGACGATCCCTTCCCTGCTTTCCCGACTCAGCCTTGCAGGATCTTCCCTTTTCTTTCCTCCTCCTCATCGTCTTCGTTTCTCCTCGTCGCATCGGATACTTCTTCCTCCCTTCCTCCCTGACTTTCGAGCTTTGTTGTTGAGTCGGGGTTGACCGCCCGCGACGATCACCCAGAAACCGAGAGATCTTCATTTTTGCGCTACGGAGTACTCGAGCGTTACACTAGCCACGACCCGCTACCTCCTGCTCACCTCGCCTCCCTATTATCAAGTCAATGGAATTCCTACCAGGCAATTAGCTTGTCCTCTGTTGGATTCTCGTGTTCCTCGTCGCCATCTCCGACCTGATCCAGAGGTCGATGCGCGTGGATAATGCGGTCGGGGCTCCAAAAACCTGGCGCAATCCCGTTTCTCGCTCTCCTCGTTTTTCTCCTGCTCAGTCTGGTGCCGTCTCTGGCGAAGGAATGGGATCTCTATAGTCTGCAGTTACGGTATATCGGATATCCTCGCCATGAGGTGCGACGTATGTACCTCCTTTCTTTTTTTTTTTTTTGCCAATTTTTTTTTTTTACCCGCACCCGCGTCGCGCCCCTCCCCCTTGCGGAGCTGCACTGCACCCCGGACGTTGGAATCTCGAACCTGACATCATGTTTCTTCGCAGATCTTCCCCGTGTCAAAGATGCCTCAACCGATATCCGATCGAGGTTACGGTCCCCTGGGGCCCCGTGTAGATCGTGGACCCTGATCGATGGGTCTTGTCCCTTGGACCCTCTCTCCCGGCCGCGGAGTGCTGTGCTGGACACGCCTCCTCGAAGTACGCTCGAAGCTGCTCCCACCGTTGATCCCGAAGCCAATTCATATCCCACCGAGTCTTCGCCCTTTTCTCGTGGCGTTCGCGCATTCAAGACCTTCCTGACGAAACGACTGGACGATTTCCCGACCCGCGATGCGCCCGAAGTGGTCCCGGCCTGTCCGATGTCGACTCTACGCAATGTGTCGACAGTGTCGGCAGCTGGAAAGGAACCCGTCTTACCCAGGTCAATGGGACCGGATGTATCTCAGACTACGGTAAAGAACGCCTCTTTTCCGCGAGTTTTCTCCCTGTATCGCGATTCATGGCAGCTGGTCTGCCAGACCGGAAGCAACTATTCTGGGAGCATCACTCGCGTTATCCCTCTGAAAATCAGTCGCCTATTATCCTTTCTCCAGCGAAATGTGGAACCCCAGACCTCGCCGGATGAATCTTCCGCACACGCCGGACAACAGTTGGTACCGAAACGAACTGTGCTGGATGACAATCACGCCGTCAAGCCTGCCTGCTCGCCAACTTTCCGCCCAGTGGCGCATGCCATACCTACTCAGGCACCCAACCAGACCACATCCGGCGCCGAGTATTCCACAGGGCTCGAGCAACGCCCAGAGCACATGCGCGGGAGCTGTATGGCAATTGTGATCAGCCTTGTGGTAGGGGTTATGTGGTTCTGAAGCCCGAGCCGCTTCCGTTGGTCCTAAAGTTGCGTTTCTGTCTTCTTGCCGTATATTTTCCCGTCGCTGTGGACGGGCTGGCCGTGTATATGTTCTTCGGTGGGGCTTGGAACCCCATGCTTGATGTCTTACGATAATCGGGCCTTGTGCCTGCATATTACCTACTAGTTAGTGCTTAATGAAGGATGGATCCGCTGCAGGGTGTGCATGCGAGGCTCTGGGATACCTTAAATACTTACCTAATCGGGGCTGCGTACCTTGCGTCGGAATACAAATAAATCCATTCCCGGGCCTCGTCCAAAGTCCTAGATGATCATCAGTCACAAAGAGGTACCTTCTTGAGCAAATTTCTGGATCCAAAGCACTGCATAGTATTGGTAAGTCTTAGGCTGTGAGATGTGAATTCGAAACCTTTCAGTCATAGTCAAGCTAAAAACCCAGGCGCCTAAATGGTGGTCGACAAACCTCTACGAGTTCTCGTCATCATCTCAAACAAGAACCCGTATTGGGCCCAGGCATGGTCTAATTCAGAAGAGATCCTCCCAGCGACTTACCAGATCTTGAAAGAGAACAATTTGATGCAGGGTCCAATTAGCCACCAGCCTGAATTGAGACTGTTAGCAAAGCAAAGATGGCAAACGCGCGTGTTCCTTGTCTTCGACATTGCAAATGCCTCATATGATCCGCAGACAGCACATCTACCTGAACAGAACAACTTACCCGTTGCCATTGTGCGGTTGAGTCAGAAAGTACAGGCTTATCAGGCAAACCCTCCCACGCAGAACAAAGTGAACAATGATATTGCACGAGTTCACAACGACAACGGGATAAACAGCGTCCCTCCTTTCATTACGGACTATACCGCGGGGCCACCGCTATATGAAAATCCACGCGATCCATCGTTACTTTTCTGAGGTTGCGTGCTCTGGCCGTCTTATTGAAACCTTAGAGTATGCAAGGTACAGGGAGCGCAGATATCGAAACGGGGTATAATGCCCGCTATTCGGTCATCATATGGTTAATCGTGCTAGACCAGAAGATTTGGCCAAGTGACTTTATGCGTTGTTGGCACCATGTTAAGCGCGATTCCATGTCAATCCTGCCGCATGTTGGTCGATATAGGGCGGGTCTCGGTCGAATTGTGAAAACTAGAACTAAAATACCACTTGCCATGGTTTATACAGTATGAGCGCAGAGAAAGAATAGTATTACAGGAAGTGACAGAGTCTCAAGGGTAGATATTCATATCTAATGTATACTCTTAAAGCGGCAACAACCGTATGGGGAATAGTCGTGCCGCGGACCCCATCGATATGATGCGCCATCTTCTACTCCGGATCGCTCCCTCTCCATCTCTCGCGCTCTCTTGCTTGCGCTTGCACATGTCTCTCATTTAATTCGTCTCTTACCCATCTACGACCTGATCTCTCCCGTATCACGCGTTCATCAATCACACATCGCGCGCGGGGATCGTTCACGTGTTTACCTCCCAACCTCAGACAAAGGGATCCGCCCTCTTGGCACCCCGTCGACGCGAACAACAGTAGATCAGACAGTCTTGCATCAGGGCTCGTTTGACTTATATTCAATATTACTGCACCTTCCCGAGACCGATTCGTTTGGTCGGTGCAATGTTGACGTAGCCGGACGACAACTCTACGCGCTTACCACGCGCCCCTACACATGTCGGCAATGGCCCGTCCCCCCCCGGAACGACTGCCAATATTGATATCTGTAGCATGTTTCCCCCCATCAACACCCCAACCTCCGAGCAATCCAAAACTGGCGCAGCGTGCTCCCTATGCCGCCTGAAGAAGCGGGGCTGTGACCGCGTCAAGCCAGGTAGGCCGCATCCACTACTAATGACTCCCGCCGCGAGACAAGGACTGACCGAATGCGATTTGCAGTGTGCGGTCCGTGTGCGTCCAGAGGACAGGAAGGCGATTGCTCGTACACGGAGATGTCCGTCCCCCGCCGGCGGGATACCATCAACGGCCAGCAGGAGAGTCAAAGGCCTGCGTGTGCCGTATGTCGCGCGCGAAAGCGGCGATGCGATCGCGCAATACCTGGTAAGTTGTTCAAGGAGAGAGAATGAAGCGCGCATCACTCACACCAGGCGACAGTTTGTGGCTCATGCCAGGTTAGGGCATTGGAGGACCAATGTTCTTACCGCCCAGAAGATATGCCCATCATGTATGTCCCGGCTGTCTGTCCATGTGTACTTGTTGCGATACGTGGTAGTGTCAGGGTCTAATCTGCTGCAGGCCTCGCAAGCGTCGGAGATCGCAGAGGTCAACGCCGGTTGTGGTGCTTGATCGCGTCAGCCCCTTGCGGCCAGAGTCAGACCATGCCAATGGCACTGGGCCGCAGGAGGAATCTGAAGAATCGCCCGATTCGAGTGACAGCGACTCGAGTGAGGCTGACGTTTCCTCGGACAGCTACCATACGGCTATTGTACCACAGGAACCCGCTTTCTTGGGGGGCAATATCTCCCAATTGGTCATGCTGCAAAAGGCCATGTATGGGCAGATAGATCATATTAAGGGTGATGAAAAGGGAGAAAACGGGCTGTCTTTGTCACAGAACGTGCTGCCGACAGATGAGGCTGTGGAGCCTCCGACCCACGATAATGGCCAAAGGCCATCGCCCAGGCTGTCCCAGCGGATGATGGACCGACTCATACACACGTACCTTACACGGGAGTATGTCAATTTGCCGATATTCGACTATAGAGAGTTCCAGTCGATGTACCAAACTGCGATCAGGCAGGGCCTGTCCACCATCTCGAAATCGTTCCAAGGGATTCTGAACACAATCTTTAGCCTGTCAGGTCTGAACACGAAGGATCTCGATGACACGGCGGTGGAAGATCTGTTCAACTGCGGCTACCGATTGACCAGAAATATGGAGTACAGTGGGCGAGCCTTGGAACGTGTGCAAGCATACCTTTTACAAACCCAATACTTCCACGCGACTCGACAGCCCAAGCTGGCATGGATATCTCTGGGTCACGCCATCCGAGACATACAAGTCCTGGATTTGCAGCGTGAAACAGACGCCCAGGACCAGCGTCGACGGAGAAGCCAACAGCTCACCCGACGACTGTGGCATAGTGCGATGATCATGGAGCGAATGCTGGCCCTAGAGATCGGCCTTCCGCCGCAGACACCCAACCCCCTCAGCATCCCTTTGCCCACCCATTCCGACACGGACTATCTAGATACAATCTCGGGCGGCGAGCCCGCATTAAGTGGCGAGCGTCCATCGTTAGTCGAATTTCTCACTGCATGTGCACGGCTGTATAGCCATGTCGAGGCCATAATGGCGTGGGAAAACGAACTGCGAATGCGAGCCGGAACTTGCGCCGTGAAGAAGCTACTGGTTTTAGACTACCAGGCTTTCCTCAAAGTAGACAGTCTCCTGCACGACTGGAAATCGTCCCTGCCTTCATTCCTTCATCACACCGCGACCGGCGATCTATGGGAGGACCCGCTTGTTCGTCGCCAACGAAATATCCTGCGCGTCCGATATCTGTATCTTCGCCTCCGCCTGCTCCGCCCCCTCATGATGCTCGGGCTGGCCCTGTGCACCAAGTGCAACTGTCAATCCGGCGGTCGCCCTCACGTCACTCCTGATGAACTCGATTCCCCCGATAGCCCAGTGGCATGGGGTTTGGTGCGCGACGCAACCATCAGATGCATTGCCACGGCGTCGGAGTTGGTCCGCATTCTCAAAGCAAACGAGGAGGGCATGCTTGATGGTGGCCCGCACGACAGCCACCGCAGCCCTATCCCGCCGTACTGGGAGAACGTCGACTATCTATACGCGTGTGGGACCGTTCTCCATGCTGCGCGTCTGTGCCCATTTGCCCGTCGCCGTGGACAGGATGAAATGCCCTTGGTCGGCGTTTTCGAGTTGCTGAAACGGTACCAGGATATGGGAACGAATGGGAGCATGAGAGACGTCGCGCGTCAGTATCGCAGCACGCTCCGAAGCCTGACCGAGACGGTTCTCAAGCCCCTTAGTAATGGAACAGCGCCTGTGTCAGCTCATGCTGCAGCACCTGTCATTTTGGACGAGGACAGTCCGCCGGCTAGAGTCCCGGACGGAACGGCCACGGACTTGCCTGTACACCCCCGGCCGATCAAAAGACGTCGTTTGGGAAGTAGCATTGGGCAACAAGGGTCTCTTGGATGGATTGAGAGGCTACCTAATGATTTGATTGGCGCGACGGAGTAATGCGACCTTTGACAGATACCTCTTTAGCGATGAATATAGCCACTACCATAAGTTCTTGTCATTGGCACACCTGCAACCGGGTCATTTCCATGTACGACGAACAAAAAGCGCCGGAAAGTGATAAAAGCGCCATGCCCACAAAACACGCTGTCTCAAGACTTGCCACTGCCATCCGCGATGAAGTTCCACTCTCTTACTCTGGCTGCCGTCGCCACCATGGCGGCTGCAGATTGCAACTGCACCCGATCGAACCGGTACTGTGGAAAGGAGCTGTTGAATATGGATCGTGCGTTGAGTCCCCGTCGATAAGGCGTCACTAAGAAGCCTGTAGAGAAATACTACGGCTCTATCGTCCAGGCCCTCACCAATGACGGGGTTCCCACGGATCCTCGTCATATCACCGATTCGCTCTTTTTATGTACCAACAGCACGAGTCTTCGGTATGTCGAGACGTGCAGGGTGGATCGTTGTGTTCGGGGGCCTGTTGGCAGCGATAGCAATTGTTTCTAGGCAGAATTGGATGGATGCTGGGCTTCTCTCGTACACTAGCATGATGGTACATCTGTCACCGCGTGAATGTATGGCTACTAGTTATATTGAAGAGGGCTTTTGTCATTCACCTACGAGTATAACGTAGTCATCATGTGATTCACAGGCACCTACATCTTACCTACTATCTCTCCTGTCCATCCAACATGCCAACTACCAACTCTCAAGATGTGAGAAAGAGCGCTTCCACCTTTAGACTATGTTGCGCGTAAAATATTCTCGCGCTCCAGTTCCATAAAGAACGAGATTCTATGATGTCCATCTCGATAGCGTTGCATGCCGGAGAACCCGGCCCGCCGAAGTCTACTGCAGCATCCCAACGGAATAAGAACTCCAAACTCTGGATATATTCTCCCCTTTCCCAGCAGTATGTCGCTGAAGTTAATGACGCCTTTGGGAATTTGGATCGACGTCAGCGGGGCAGAGATCGAGATGATCGAGATCGAGATCAAACCCAGTCGACTGCGAACAGCGAACCGATAGTATAGTATCAATGACGCACATGACTGGACCAACAACATTTAAAAGCACAGTCTACCACGACACAGTATCGCACCCAATTCTCTAGATCAGGCTCTAATATCTCCAGTTTCTTTAACCAAAGATCTACACACTCAACATCATGCCCTACCTCAAACTCAAAGACGGCGCCGACCTCTTCTACAAAGACTGGGGCAACCCGACCGGCGAGATCGTGACCTTCTCGCACGGCTGGCCGCTCAGCAGCGACAACTGGGAGAACCAGATGGTCTTCCTCGCGGACCAGGGGTACCGGGTGATCGCGCACGACCGGCGCGGGCACGGACGGTCGACGCAGACGTGGGCGGGCAACAACATGGACACGTTCGCGGCGGACCTGCACCAGCTGTTCGAGCACCTGGGACATCCAGGGCGCGACGATGGTGGGCCACTCGCACGGCGGCGGCGAGGTCACGCACTTCCTGGGCACGTACGGCACGCGGCGCGTCAAGAAGGCCGTGCTACTGGGCGCGGTGCCGCCGCTGATGGTCAAGACGGAGGCCAACCCGGAGGGCACGGACAAGGCGGTGTTCGACTCGTTCCGCGCGGCCATGCACGCCGACCGCGCGCAGTTCTTCCTCGACGTGCCGAGTGGCCCGTTCTTTGGGTTTAATCGCCCCGGCGCGAAGAAGAGCGAGGGCCAGATTCGGTCCTGGTGGCAGCAGGGCATGAACTCCAGCTTCAAGACCACCTACGACTGTATTAAGGATTTCTCCGAGACGGACTTCACCGAGGATCTGAAGAAGATTGATATCCCCGTGCTGGTGGTGCATGGCGACGACGATCAGGTCGTGCCCATCCAGGCGGCCGGCGAGAAGTCGGCCAAGCTGCTGCCGCAGGGGAAGCTCAAGGTGTACAAGGGCGGTTCGCATGCGATTCATAATATCAGCATTGACGAGTTCAATAAGGATCTGATTGACTTTATCAGGTCTTAGGTGGGACTTCTATGTAACTATGAATCAGGATGAGGTAATATGGATTGCGATGGAGAAAATGTACACTTGGGAAAAAGTATCAGTACAATCAGAATTACTATGCTGCCTAGGTGATAGGGGAGGTCGGGATATGCATGACTGTAAGATCGGTTCTATTCTATACTATACCAGCAGGCGCACTTATAGTCGTAAGTCCTAGGCAGGGTGTATTTGCAACTTAAAGCCATTAAACTAGCACCAAGACGAAAAGGAACAGTGAATCTTCCCTCAGTCCCCTGCGGCTCTCGGGATACGCTCCGCCTTTGTCGTTCCACGTTCCAGGTGTAAAAAGGCCGAGTTGCTCCCCAGAATATGCCGTTCTGCCTAGCGGGGGCTTTCTTTGCTTAGGTAATCACTTTGTTTGGACTTCCCATTCTGGAGACCGCCAGTTCGCGTGGGATTTTCCCTCCTCGCCTTGGAATTGACCGTCCTCGGTCCAGAGGGTTGTGAAGGACTGCTGGAGGTGTGTAGGAACAGAAGTAGTAGGGCAGAACAGCGGTAAAGAGGGAGCAAGGTGGTAGAAGCAGAGGCGTAGAAATGTGAAGAGAGGGAAGAGAGTGTGTGAGATGGAGGTATCTATACCCTCAGGAAGCAGGAGATAGTGGCCAGGAGTGAGCTGGAAGTGAGATGAAGATGAGGATTGATACCCCCGGTATCGTAATCACTTTCAATATTCTTCCCGTCACAATGGCTTCAGAAGTATACTACAAGGTGTAGATGTAGAAGAGCTGGACAATGGGTCTAGATGCTGGATCTCTAGTTTAGTACATGTGAGATTAGCTTCGTTGAGGGATGAGATCAGTTAAGACAATGTCGCCCCGATATGATCCCGTGAGGGGTATCTGCACATGACTGTCTTTGCAGCATACAGGTAAACCTCCGACAATCGCAGACTCTGAACGACTCTCCTCCCACACCACAATGCCAAACACAACTCAACTCCACCTCCCCTGCGGCCCAGTCAAAGCAGCCCTAACTGACAACCTCATTCACGCACGAGGAATCCCATACGCAACATCAGCCCGCTTCCAGCCTCCCCAATCCACCGCCAAATGGACATCACCACTCGATTGCACCGCACGAGCACCAATATGCCCACAGCTCCCATCCCGCCTCGAGTCCGTAATGGGCCCCTTAACCGATGGCCATCCCATGGATGAGACCTGCCTCGTCCTCTCCATCACCGCGCCGGCGCGCGCCCAGCACGCCCCCGTGCTGGTCTGGCTCCACGGGGGCGCCTATATCTCCGGCGGCGGAGACCTGGACTGCTACCAGGGCTCTGATCTCGCCGGCCGCGGCATCGTCTGCGTCAACGTGACCTACCGCCTCGGCGTGTTCGGGTACCTTCCCATCGACGGCGTCGCGCCGGCGAACCTCGGGCTGTTGGATCAGATCGCAGCGCTGCGGTGGGTGCAAGATAATATTGCTGCGGTGGGCGGGGATCCGGGGAACGTCACGCTGGCGGGGCAGTCGGCGGGGGCGGACTCGATGGTTTGTATGCTGGCTGCGGAGGGGACGCGCGGGCTGTTCCATCGCGTTATTCTGCTGAGTCCCCCGCTGGGAGAGCTCCACGGCCGCGCGGAGACGCGGGCGCGTCTGGCTGAGAAGGCGGAGACGCTGATGACCAAGGATCCGCGGGAGATGACGATAGCAGAACTGCTGGATCTGCAGAAGAAGCTCCTGCTTGATCCGGTGCGGGGGAGGCTCATGCTGTTCGCGCCGACGTTTGGGGCTTACCCGCTGCCGAGCGAGGACGCGGTTGAGTCGAAGATCGTGGAGGCGGCGAGGGGCGTCCCGGTGCTTATTGGGTGGACGGCGCATGATGGGCGGCCGTTTGCGTCGATGAGCGGACCGCTGTGTAGTCTGTACTCGATGCCGTTTGTTGGGGGGTTGCTCGAGGCGCTGGGGACGTGGTACATGACGCGGAGGTATTTCAGTCTGCCGTCTCAACGACTGCATGCCAGACTGGTACAGGCCGGGTGTGCGTCGACTACTTGCTCGTTCGAGTGGGGTGCGCAGAACAACCCGTTGCAGGCCTGTCATACCATCGATATCCCGTTTGTTCTTGGTGCGCCAGGCGCGTGGGAGAAGGCCCCCATGCTGCAAGGAAGCGATGCCGAAGAGGTCCTGCGTCTGGGCGAAGAGATGAAAAACCTATGGACGCGGTTTGTGCACGGAGACCGATTAACAGGCGAGCACATTGCCATTGGCAAGGATTTTGTCACTTCGGATGATATGTTCATTGAATGAGGCTAGTAGCATACAGAATCCAAGTACAATAGACCACACGTATATAATCGTCTCGTAATCATAGCACGTCCCAAGGCAGGTATCTCTTAGCGTAAGTCGTAGCATTAATGCGTATTAAATCGGGTTCACCATCGTCGGGTGAGGAACCGCTGGGGGCAGCCCGTTCGTAGTCTTCGACACCGGCGGCGCAGGAGATGCTCTAGGCGTGGCCTTTGCCGAGACAGCTTTCTTCGTCGAACCGTCATCTCGGGGCGTCCCAGACGGCGTCGTACTACCCCCGTCCCTGGAGGTCTTCTTCGACGGGCTGTGACCACCCTCGCTGTCGGCGCGCAGCGTTCCCGAACTCGTTCCACCGGCGCTGCTCGTCTTGCCTCCCCGTTTCACCATTTTGCCCAGAATTCCGACAATCTCGGCTGCGTCCTCGAAGCTCTCGTCATCCATGCCCTCCTGCGCATTGTATACGTCGGCAATGGCCTGCTTCGCGAGTCGGCGACAGGCGGTCGAGTCGTGGAGACAGTCGTACAGGTAGGCGGCGTATTCGAGTTTGATGGACAGACGCAGCGGATGCGACCCGGGCAGGAAGCGATCGGCCAGCAGGGCGGCGTGGTTGAAGCATGCTGTGGCGGTGGGCGTGTAGTCCAACGCGGGCAGCAGAAACGAGGACGCGGATCGGGGGAGCTGCACGGGCGCGAGGCCCGGAGGCGCCTGGGTGACTTTCGTCTGCGATGGTCGCGGCGGCGACGGTTTGTGTGGGACGGTGATGATTTCGGGGCTTCCTTCGAACGAGAACCGCAAGCGCGGCTCTTTATGGGAGGATCCGGAGCTTCCGGTGCCGTTGAGGACTTTGTCGCTGGGCAGGCTGATGATGCCTGGCGAACGCACCGCGGGCTGGTTGTGGAACAGAACGAAGATGTGGTAAAAGGACGCGCGGAGCTTGTAGGCTAGAATCTTCAGTTCGAGATACTCTTCCACCCTGGGTAACACGAATTCTTCCAGGATTAGCAGGCCCTCGCGGGAGAGCCAGATGATATGGTGGTACAGCTGGAGCGACTTGGTCTCGCGGGTGGGATCCAGCCGCCTGAGTCGTCGCGCGCGCAGGAGCTTCTTAGACAGCATGACCGACAAGCCCAGGATCTTGTACAGCATTGCCGAAAGCAAGGGTTTTTCCAGGCTCATGATCGAGGCAAAGTTGCCCAGGGCGTTCTGGTCCACCTCGGAGGACGCCATCCACAGATCAAAAGATTCTGAATCTAGGCCATCGTCCATGTTAGCGGTGTTTATTGCGAGGCCGGGCATGTTCATGCAGTCAATGTACTGGGCGTATGGTGGAAAATTGACAAGAATTGAGGACGGTGAGAAGCGCACAGGGGAAATAAATCTTTTGCGATCAAACCCCATGCGGATGATTGACTCGACTGGTCAAGAAAAAGTGAAACAATATGAGCGCCAGAAAAGCCATCAACTTACGGTGGAAGCGCGCGCAAACAGGTAGCTCTCTTAGCTTTCAGGCGCTGTGCTTTCCCATGCTCGTGGCAGCGCTTAGTTCCGAAACACCCTCGGATCGTTGCGGTTCAGGGATGGCCGTGTAGGGATTATCGGGTGAGATCTGATTGAGTTCCGTCGTCGCGTTTCTAGGTCGTATTTAATCTCTTTCCTCCGTTGCCTTTTCAAATGTCTCTTTGAAATCGAACCAGGGAGTCGACAATGATGTTCGGTCGCGCAAATGGAAAGATTGAAAATCACAAAGCCGCCAATTTGGACAATAGAGGTATGTTACATAGGGTCCCAGGAGGACCTTCTTATGGGAGATGACGAGACGCGCAGGTGTTCTGTTGTACAAGGCGAAAACAAAATAGAAGGGCCAGAGGTGTAGAGCAGTCGAGTTAATGCAACCACAGCACACAATTGGCCCGGTGTTGAGGCGCAACGATGAAAATAGCTCGATATAAGGGGATGAGGCTAACAATGCAAGGCGCACACAAGGGAGCAGGTAGCAGGGAGACGGAGGGCAAGGAGCTGGTAGGTGTCAAGTAGAGAGCTCGGACGCATTGTGAGCACCTGGCGTGGCAAGACGTCAATTCATGCTTTCCCGGCTGTGCTGGACTGGCGACGGGTTCTGGTGGCCAGCTGTGAGGTCATCAATGGCGGTTTGCGAGGATTAAAAGGGCCAAGTTAGCGAGACACGATATCAGCCACGATGGACCACAAGTGGGTTTTTCCGATCGCTGCCCCTCGTGCACTGACGGATTGACATTTAAAATGGCCCGGTGGGAGAAGCGCAACGCAAGGGAAAAGGTGTCGCTCCAGGTCAGTTCGTGTCCCCGACAAAACCTACAGGGCCGCAGTGCTGGACTAGACAGAACACAAGGACTGAATCTAGCCGCTACTCCGTACAGTAGAGCCCAAATTGGTTCTAAGGGATCCGTCCGAGCGGAGGGTTCCCAATAAAATGCCATATGGGACGATCGGGCAGAAAGCGCACTGATAGGGGCACCGAAAACCCATGAGGATCATGATGAAATACAATTCCAGTGGAAAAATAATAACAATGGCAGATTGGCTGCGGGCATCCTCCAGACCCCGACCATGAGGCGGGAGGACAGCGCATCCGCTAGGGCGATACGTGTCAGCGCTCGAGTGCTGATTTTCCCTGCCTTGCAGCGTTGGAGCCGGCCCAGTGATGAGATAGGAATAGCACGGTGGACCACCGGTCCCCAGCCTCTTCTCGTTCTGGCAAAAATAGGTCGCACTTGGGCTCTGCAGACAACACAGAACGCATGATTTCCGTGCCTGACCCAGCCCGGGCTGGAGACGGACTAGTCGACTAAACTAGGGCGGCAGCTCAGCGTCCGCGCGCGCTTCCTTTGCTCGGAGATGGGCCGCAGGAATTCACCCGGGTTGACAGCTGGCAGCGTAGATTGCCAGCGTGGCGTCGGAACAATTGACGAATTGGAGATGGACTGGCTGGAATGGACAAATGAAGTTTTTGTCTTGGTCTGATGTGGGTATGATGAGGATGAGCTCCAGGCTTCTATTCCGTCGCGTTCCCAATAATCATGTACCCCGTACTGCGGAGTAGATTGTCTGGAGGATCACACAGCCAGGCGATGGTATTCTCTTTTCCTCCACGTGACGGGATTGCAGGACCCTGCCATGAACAATGCCTCATGCGGATACAACTGGGATGTACGCCTGCATTAGACTGGAAGAGGCTCTGTATTGTGCCTGGCGGGGGTCCATAGATTGGTGACATGAGGCGTCTGCCGTGTACGCGTGGGAGAGCGCTCGACAGTCATCTCGATCGAGTTCACCTCAATCCAATATTGCGGTCTCGTATTAGTCTCACTTAGGGGGCAGCTAGTGAAACCAGAAGTTCACCGCCAGATTGCGAGGCGCTATGACTGTGGGGATGGAGGTTGGAGAGAGGGGTAGAGAGGAAAGAAGAATGTACCGGTTTACCAACAGTCTCACGTGGACAGACGTCATGGACTACCATGGCCATAATATAAACAATCACTATACCTAATGGCTATATACAAACGAAGAAACCCAATGACACAGAATGCATAACCAATCCGTCCGCAAATGCAAGTATAACCGTCTATGAATCGATATCATCAAGGTCATCATCGTCAACCATACCCACAAACGCTCGCCTAAAGAACGTCCGCCACACCCGGTTTTTATGCTTCTTTTTCTTCTGCTGAGGATCTAAAGAGCCATCAACCCGATCGCCTTTGGGTGGGTTCTTGTCGGCAATCCGGGTAGCCAGTTCAAAATAGCTGCTGACGGTAAGATCTTTCATTCTGTAGATCTCGTCGTTCTTCGTGTCGTATTCCACCTCGTACATAAGAACCTCATCGTGCCCCGTTTCGTCCGAGGCGTCCTGCTCAGACATCTCCTCGTGGATCCGAGTGAGGTTGGCGAAATACTGCGTATAACTCAGCCAGGTCAACGGCTGATTTGAATAGGCCGGGCCCGGGGGAGCAGAGGATGAAGGAGGGTCGGGAATTTTAAAGTCCGGCTTCTTCTTTTTCTTCCCTCCTTTCTTTTCCTTCTCCATTGATGCACTTTCGTCCTCGTCGGACGGCACACCTGCAACTGTCGCATCATCGTAGACAGTATCCGCCCAGAGAGCGGCGTTCTCCAGCCCCGTGATGTTATACTCGATGACTCGCATCGTGGGAAAGTAATTCGGTACCACGCTCGGGGACACCAGAGACACACTATATCGCTCCGCCCACGGACCTCCGATTTTCTTCAGGAATCGGCGCTTCTTCTTTCCCAGTATCTGCGGGTCCGAGTCGCCGTCAAGATATGTCAGGGACTCCTCAGCAATGGAGGCGTCCTCCGGGGGAGACGGCATCTTAGACCAATCATCCCGAAGGCTGGACAGATAATCCGTGCGAGACCGAACCGAGATCTCATCAGAGTCACTGGAAGCAGAAGAGTCGTCATCATCCACGATCTTCACTTTGTGACTGTCCTGAAGGATGAAATGATCGATGTTCATGTGGCCGTAAAGACTGCCAACAATGACGTCTCGATACCGGTTCACCCAGAGGGCATATTTTTGCCAGCAGGTTTCATCCCAGTTCCGCTTGGACCCCGATCTTGCCGGTGGGACGTGTCCGATCAGGATCGCTTTCATCTGGCGAGAACGCAGCAACTCCAGCTGCACGCGCAGCCACTCCATATGTTCGAAGCCGGGCTCCGACTTGTCTTCGCATCCGTCGACGGCCGAATTGGATTCGTAGAAGTACATCGTGTTCAGACTGATGACGGCCAGCCGTTTGGGGATCACCTCGATGGTGTACCAGCCACCTTCCACGAAGCTATGACGCTGAAACTCGGGGATGAACTTTTTCCAAATCTCCAGAAACTTTTTCGTCCATTTGTTGGGGCCGCTTTTGAAAATATTATGGGGGAGGATATCGTTGTTCCCGATTGTCGGCACAATAGGAATGGACAGGCCATGAGGGGAATCATCGTGGCGGAAGGTGTCGATGAACTTGTCCGTCAGGTATTGATTTAACCGCGTCGCTTCATCCTCGGTACGGGGGATCTTCTCGTCATTGTCATGGCGGGCCGAGTCTCCCGTCCATACGACAAAATCGATCTCGTCTTTAATATTCTGTTCAATCCAGTGGAAGGTCTCGTTGATCAAAGTGAGGGGAGTGTCGCAATCGGTTCCTGCGGCGCCAAAGTATTTTGCGGAGCCGTGTCCTCGATGACAGGCCTTGTCGTCCGGGTCAGTTCCGGATTTATAATGAGGGTCTGGGTGAAAATCTGACTGAAAGTCAGCTTCGTCCCTCACAAGTCGCCACTCGCGCGGCATTGGGCGCCCAAGGCGAGGAGAAGAAAAATACCTGTGATGTGCAGAAAACGCCCCGTCAGCCCCCGAGGAGAGCCCCCGCCGCTGGCTATACTTTCTCGATCGGCATTGAACTGAGTCGCATGATCAATCAGAGGTTTCTGGTCGAAGAATGGTATGGCGTATACACTGGTCGAGAGCAGGAGCAGACCAGGAAGTTGGTGGATGGGAATCATCGGTGCTTTTATGAATGGCGCAATCCCGACAAGCGGGAGACACAATCGGTGGTCTTGTCAAGTGGGTTCGGATGCATACACCCGGATAGAGAAACGACACACGCGACCGGGGTGGATGGTGTTGAGGGAAGCTCCTGAAGCTGCGGCAGCTTGCAGAGAATAATAGTCAGTCGAGCGCGTGGTAATAACGTCACCGACTTGGCTTAGTTCTCGCCCGAACCGGAATGGCGGCGATCAGGAGCAAATTGGGAATAGCGCACCCGCGAATGCCTTAGCGCCTGAGGTGTCTGGAATATGCACTTGATATTGAGGATCGTTGACTTCGCATCTCATAAATGTCTGCCGTCTTATACCTTGAAAACCGTATTCAAAATCGCCCGATAGATCCCCATGGGACTGTCGCCTGACTGTCCCTCCACAGTATCATCTCCATCTTCAGATGCAAGCGGGATCTTCCTCTCCGGTCGCACTGTCGATCCACGTGGGCCAACAATCGGGACTGACTGGTGGTGTTGGGGGTGATGGACAAAGGACCTTGGGAGTGATAAAGCTTGCGTGATCAACTAGTCAACGTTAGGTAGTCAGGTAGCTTAGTTGGGTTGGAACATCCACCAAGTATTTGCGGCTCATTTGTACTTTTCTAAAGCCATCCACTATGATCCGAAAGAGGAAGACGTCTGCGTATGTAAACATACATGGATGAAGCAACTTCGTAACCACTCATGGATCGAGATATTGCCGTGGTTCGGTGGTCGGCATTAATACGCTCCCTTACCTAGGCACCGGACATGGAACAAACACCCTCGCATCAGCGTTCTCAATAGCGGTGTTCACATGGAGGAAGACAATACCTGGACTTGTGGAAGGTCCGGATGGATGGCCCCTCCTTAAGTGCGGGTGCGGGGTCCATCTCGTCTTCTCCCTGATAACAACTCGATAAATCACTTTCCGTGAGCCATTATCCAACGTCCACACATCCATATCCAAATCACATTGTTCATCCCATCATGTCTGGATTCCCTTCGCTTAAGCCGGCCTTTACGGTCCTGGTAAGTCACGGACCAGTGTATTCAATCCGTTCGATCCCTAATCAACTCTCGAACAGGTCAAGATCGCTCCTCCTATGGCGGTTGGTATGCTGGATGAATCAATTACATATAAAGATTTGGGAAGACAAAGCTGATTCCCATAGGGAGCGCCTCGCGGTCCGCCAGCCTGCAGGTCGTGGTATGTAACCAACTCCAGCGTACTTTCTAGCATTTCTGTTCTTGGATATGACAGCATCTAACCGACTCGGTGGCGTCTAGCCCATGACTGGAGGCACCGTGAGGAGTGCCGATGGCTTCTCCCCGGCCATCGATGCCGAATTTGAAGGCGTCGGAAACGATTATATCCACGCGGATCCCGACGGCCAGCACCTGCGGCTGAATGCGCATGGTGTGCTGAAGTAAGTTCCTATGCTCTTGACAACGGATCTGGTATCTGATTAATGCTTTATAGGACCAAGGACGGCGCGGTATGTCATCTCGTTCTCGAACCTGGGCTATTCACTTATTCATATTCCTGTCCAGCTTCTGTACATGAACTACACCGGTGTTGTCACCCTTGGCGACGGCGAAAAGGCCGTCTTCTCTGGGACTGCTGGTGAGGGTTCGACAGCGTTTGGTAACTCCTGTGAGTGATAGACACGATATCGTTGAGGTATGCATCAGCTAACAGTCCTCAGTCACCCACTTCACCTTCGAGGTAAGATAATATATATCCCTAAATATCCGAGACAGGAAGATTGACGTAGCACAGACTGGCGATGAGCGCTACAAGGACCTCGAGAACCGGGTGTTTGCCGGCCAGGGACGCTTCAATGTTGGCAGCGATAAGTCGATTGTGGTTGAGTACCGGGTGGGCCAGGTGGTTCACGGCTAAGCCATGGATTGCATATAGTGACTCTGACGAAAAAGAGACGCAAGTCAGAAGTTTGTATGAGGGGAACAGTACCATGGAAGCAGAGAGACGTGAGAAATACAATTTGACAGATCTTGTCCTTCTGAGAGAAAAGCGACCTCAATCAAATGGCCTGGTGGTCGAAGAGATAGTTGTAACCCAATCGGAGGGCAGAACCGGGCCTATAAATTGGCAGACCTTGTCGATAAGCTTGCCTGCCTTCTTTGCAGACCCCGCACATCCCCAGACACCCATACATAAATAAATCATCAACACAAGCAGGAGTTTGTCGCCAGTAATGACAGCTCATTCCCCTGCCAGTGGCCTGTGAGATCCCACAGGTTCCAAGTTCCAATTCGGCCCGTTCATACTGTTCGTCCTCGAAGATGGAACTCCCGGTAGACGTGACGCAAAAGTCCATGCAGGCGATGGAGTCGAACGCGACTTTTCCCCTCGATACGGAGGATCCTTTATTCTACGTTTGTTGGCGACGGCAGACGTGTGGATGGTGTTTGGAAGGCGATGCGGCCTGCAGTTGGTGCGCTGTGGTACGTGGCTATCTATATATCTCTCCCGCAATGATCGCCCCTCCGCAGAATTCACATACCATGCGAACCCCCTCAAAAATTTCGTGTGCAAAGGGTTACACTGACAAATCACGCATAAGAGCTCGACCTGCGTCCCGAACCGCGCATCCCTCGCCATTTTATCCCCCCTGGGCTCCTCGCAGATCTGCCCGTTGGGATCGAAAGAGCGATGGGAGCTCCGCACCACCACCTTCGGATGCAACGTGAGCACGTTCACGTTTCTTACAGCCCTAGTATCGGTGGCGGCGACGTTGGCCGCCATCGGACTGGGTTATCTGGCTGTATGGGCATGGGAACAGGTGATGACTTCGCGGAGACAGAAGCACGCCGGCGGCAGCTACGCTTCGTGGATATCCAGGCTGAGACCGCGGAGTCTACGACACCCTGCCATGCAGGCTACACCCAGCGATATGGAGAGAAGCGGAGGAGAGATTGAGGACGACATTAACGACGCAGAGAGAAGACCGCTGCTAGATCGCGGATGAATGGTAGGGATTGCAGACATATCTGCGGGTTCATGAATTCATCTGATTTGAGCCTTTAAACTAATACACAATCCAAAAACTTCGTCTTCTCGAATAAGTCGCTCTGCGGCAGATGCTATAGTCATCAACATGCAACGTACATTAGACAACGCGCTTGACCTGTCATGTCATTGTCAGCCGGGTGCTGTGTAGAGGTCAAAGAGGGATCATGCGACTCTCACCTCGAAAAATCTCTTCAACCACCACACCTGGAAGATACCCTCGCCAATAAGCACGGCCAGCTGGAAGAGACTCCACCACTTGACGCGAGCGTTGGTGCTCTCTGCCGTGTTCCGGTGCACCCGTTCTCTCACCACGATATACGACTGCTCATCCTTGACCTGGGCCAGCGCCTCCGACAACCGGCGGACTATACGGAATTGGTGTTAGCTGTGGGGGCCCTCATGGGGTATGCGTCGCTCGCGGGTGGTCCATACCTTCCACCTCAAGGGGATCCTGGGTCATCTCCGACTCGGGCACGTAGACGATTCCGTGGACGTTGAAGGAGACCTCCTTGGAGTTGGAGGTCCAGCCCTCATTGCTAAAGCAGTAGACGTATTTTCCGTCGGCGTGGGCATCGAAGGAGTAGTCCTCGGAGGAGATGGCTTGTTTGTAGTATTGACGGTTGTTCAAGGGGTCCTCGACCTACAGCATCAACAAACGTGAGCATTAATCCATCCAACAATGTGTTGCGAGGTGTAGTTCTTCATCCTGGGATCGGTGCAAACGTCGACCAGTGTTCGTATCCCAATTCCAAGCCCAATCCACCGATCTCGACCGGGCCAAACAAAAGGGGGGACCGTACCCAAAAGTCAATCTCGAGGTTGCCGCTGCCGCCGAATTCCCGGTCGCCGACCTGGAAGCTGACGGTCATCCGATCGCCGCGGTGCAGGTTCTCGTGGAAGCATTCGCGGGAGTGGGATTTGAGCTGGATGTTGTGTGCGGTCACGGCGGAGAACCATCCCAGTGCGGTCACCAGGAGGGTCGTTGTGGAGAAGCGCATGGTGGGTGATGGTCGTCCTTCCAACAAGCTAATTGCCGGGGTATTAGGGAGAGGTGACGGGGCGTGGTTGTGGTGGAAGTGGTGGTACTGTTCGGACAGCTCAGGTTGAATTGAATCTCCGACGCGCAAGGTGGTCTCGTCTCTTTTGGGTAAAGTTAGACGCTCGGACCACATACACATCCTACTCCTACATAGATCCAGAATATCTACGCAGGTTTACCTAGGAAACTAGGTTCTCGATAATTTCGACTGGAAAAAGTCCAAGATTCAATTGATTATATGGGAAATATTTATTTGGTTTCTTTAACAACCTAGTATTCGATAATTCTCAGCATCAACAACTGGACCCTTCGCTCTCATGCTGACTTTCACAAATCACACCAAAGCATTATCGTATCACCAGTCTTCATTGAGATCCGTCTCATCAGAAAGCTTAGCCAGACAGACCACTCCATGGGCTTCTAGCAGACACATATGATATCAGCTTTGAATCCGGAAGACCAGATGAACTTCGGTCCACCTTGTAAGTATCATAGTGAGGATCATCTGAGGGATGATGCGAGACCAAAGAATACCTTATGAGCTTAGTTCGTGCAAATATATAAGGAGAGTGCTGAGTTGTCAGTTGTCAGTCCTCCGGTTTAATTGGCTTAATCATGAGAGTCTAGTTTGAGCAGGGGGATAGCTTAGCTCATTGTCTCGAAGATACCTCTCTCAGTTCTATAGCGAGTTCCTCGGATAATTGAGACTGTCCTTGCTTATCTAGTACCAAAGAGGAACCAGCTCTGGACATGGACTTTAAAGTTGAATTTCTGAACAAAAACCATTGGAGAGGATATTGTACCGGATGACTTACGGCCTAGGCTGTAGCCCCTGGACAATCATTTATCAAGCCAATATGCCGCAATTAATCCCTACCTAGTAACTAGTCACTATTCAGTGCTTAGCCTATGTATTGTAAGGGGGGCTTTGCGTATCGCTGCATCTATCTACCTGACGATATTCCATGACGCCCGTAGTATATAAGTTTGCGTAAATGGAGGTTTTTCGTTGTATTGCCATGAAACTATTGCTCGTGGGAACAAATATAGTAACTAACCGCAAGGGTCCTTATATGATATTGATGGCCTGGCTTGTAAGAGCTCTAGCGACTGAGCATATTCGCAGGCAATTACCGTGGATGCGATAACAACTAGGGTTAGGCAAACAATTGACAGAGAAATGGCTAATTTTAGATTCCAGCAATGGGTAGGACAAGACCAAGGCTCTCATCAACAAAAGACACATACACGTATTGCCAGCGCGGTGTCTAGTTGTACGACTGCGGTGTTTGATTCCAGGAAATCCAGAACGTTGATGACGACGCTGAAAATAGAAGCCTTCGGTTGCGCCAGTAATAATAATAGGGTAGTTAATAGGGATCGCCGGGGGCTTAGTGGAGCGCACGACGGTCTGGCCGAGGTCGATTGGCCTACCGGGGTGAGGGATGTCTTACCTAACCCTGTCCCTGGGCAGTCCCTGACTTCCGGCACCTTAACGCCGTAGCCACTGTTAGTCAGGGCGAAGACCCTCAGGAGGCAATTCTTCTCCACACGACCCTCTTCCTGACATTCATCTTCTTCCTCCCTTCTTTTTTGCCCTTCGTCTTTTCTTCAACAGTCATTCCTTATCGCTGTTGTCATTCTTTCAATCAATCCCTTCTTTCCTTATCCATTCTTTCAATCCCAATTGTCGGTACTTCAACGCACTGATTATCTGACCCGAGAGGCACATCCGTTCCCTACTTTCCACCAATTCCCGACTCCGAGTCCTTGAATCCCTCTTCACTTCGCCCGCCAAAATGCGTGTTGCCGGCGTCGTTCCTTTCCTGCTCGCCGCTCTCCCGGCCGTCTCCGCCGACCGTGGCACCCTGGGCTTCGCTCTGGGCAACAAGAACGCCGATGGGAGCTGCAAGACCTCGAAGGACTACCAGACCGATTTCGATGCCCTCAAGGAGGTGACCACCCTCGTTCGAACCTACTCCGCCAGTGATTGCCACACCGCCCAGAACATCATCCCCGCCGCCAAGGCGAAGGGCTTCAAAGTTGTGTTGGGCGTCTGGTATGACTCCCCACGTAGCGTGTTATGGGCGATAATCTAACCGCTCTATAGGCCTGACTACCAGCAATCCTTCGACGAGGATGTGGAGGCCCTGAGCAAGAGCGTTCCCGGAAACGAAGATGTGGTGGATGCCATCACCGTTGGATCCGAAGTCCTCTACCGTGGAGGCCTCACCGCCCAGGTTCTCTTGGAGCGGATCGTGACCGTCCAGAAGAAGTTTCCCAAGGTGACGATCGGCACCGTGGACAGCTGGAACAAGTTCGCCGACGGCACGGCCGATCCCATCATCACTTCTGGCAAGGTCAACTACTTGTGAGTTTTTATCTCTGCACGCCAATTGAAATCTGGCTAACGGTTTCAGCTTGGCCAACGGCTTCGCGTACTGGCAGGGCCAGAAGATCGACAATGCCACCAACACCTACTTCGACGACATGGCTCAGGCGAAGGCCCATATTGAGAAGGTTGCGGGCGACAACGCGAAGAACATCCGGTTCGGCAATGGTGAGACCGGCTGGCCGACGGGTAAGTTTCACCTGGGACCGGCGAGATCATGGACCATCGGACTGACATGCAATTTTAGACGGTGGCAGCGACTACGGCGATGCCAAGGCCAGCACCGCACTCGCTCAGGAGTACTACAAGAAGGCTGTCTGCGGTATGATTGAATGGGGCATTGATGTCTTCTACTTCGAGGCCTTTGATGAGCCCTGGAAGCCGAAGAGCACTGGTGACAATGGCCAGGCCTCGGATGAGACTCACTGGGGTCTGTTCACCTCCGACCGCAAGCCCAAGTGGAACAACCTCCAGTGCCCTACTAACTGAGGGACTTTTCTCAAAAGGTTCCGCGTGGTTGACAAAGTCTAGAGGGTTTCGTTTCTCGTAAATCTATTGTGTCTATATCCCAGTTGAAGTGATGCATATGTTCACTTGATTGTACACTGGCAGTTACCTTGCGTTGCGCAACTTGTATCCGAGTATCCAACAGTAGACAAAGAACACGAATAATGGCCTATACATAAGTTTCGACCATCCGACGGTGGGCGGGCAACTATAGTGGAGGAGTCGGCCGAGGAACCGTGGTTCGTAGCGTCAGGTTACCCCTGAACAACAGGCACGAACCAAGGGTCCCTCGCGTCCCCAGATCCTACCCGGGATATTTGTTGATGTTGGGGAAGATGGTCATCTGGTCATCCCCGGTGTTTGACGCGTCGGGAGGCAGTAATAGGATGTCGGGAACTGCGACACCAGCAGGCTCGGGTCGAGGGAAACAAATGACGCGACCAAGAAATCATGGCGTGTCGATGAAGCGGTCGATCCTCGTACCATCGATACCCGTCGGTAAGTAACAGCGCATACCGAACGGGGGGTATTGGGGTAATCCGATTACCAGCAGAAACCACCTAGAAATGGATGGTCCTATGATATCGACTCCTCCGATGAACTAAAAAATTAAGGGCATCTTCTTCTCGTCACTACCTCAACCTCTCTTTCCTAACCTACTTTTCTCCTCCTCCTCCTCCTCCCCCCTGTCCTCCATCTCGATCCAGCCATCCTGCGTATGCGCCATGTCCAAGTCTCTCCCGCATACCCTGGCTGTCTGTCTGTGATTGCTCCGTCTGTCTGTCTGGAAACTCGGTCTTCGGGATCCATCCGCCCCTGAAGACAACTGGGTTTACTCCCCCATCGTTCCCTCCACCACGCTCTCTCGCCGTCCCATCCACCCCGTTACGGTCCCCTTTCGTGTGCCGATCCGAGGCCCCAGCGAGGTGGTTTCAATTTGGATTGCTTGATTTCCATGCTTCAACATTCTGGACGATAAGGAGCGCAGCAAGCGAGTGCTTGCTGCACGAGTCGACACGGAAGGTATGTGACCGTTGGACGTCCCATGACGAACATGAAACGATGAATATTTCATCTCCTCGTCTCAATCGTTTGTCCACCCAACTGATTCCCTTCCCTCATGGCTAGATCTCGATCCCTCCGTATCTTCCGCCAATTCGGCGCATTCTCCGCCGCCGCATTCCACAGACCCCTCCTCCTTTCTACGTGACGATCTACACTCCACCGTCCCATCAATCTCGGCCTTTCCATCTCCAGGAATCTCCAGTGCCTCGGCCGCTGGCTCCCCGGAACAGCCAACCTCCGCCCGGGACCGCAGCGTCACCTCAAACACGCCGTCCGCGCTACCCCCGCTGCAAAAGTATCGCAGCGCCTGGGACTCGGCCACCTCGTCTCCGGAAAACAGGCGGACCGAAAGTAGCGTCTACTACACCACCGCTTGGGGGTCGCCGTATGCCGCACCCAGCCCTCGGAGATTGTCCTGGTCCCTGAGTCAAGACGCGGGTGTTGGTCGTGTGTCCAGAGATAGCTCCCCGGCGTCGATGCGCAGTGGTGTTCCCAACACCATCGAGTCAGTTAACCCCGAGCTCCTGAGACCATCCGCCCTCAGCGGGAGCATCTTCAACCGTTCTCCGAAACGCGACGTGCCAGGTCGGAAAGGGGGAAAGTCGATCAAGGATTTTACCCAGGACTGGATCAATCAGTACCTCTCCGGGCAGCCACGGACGGAACGCAGTAACTGGCTGAGTGACGATTCCGGAAGCGAAGCGCCCTCCTTTTTCACGGCCCAGAATCACTTCGCGGACGATCCGTCGGACGACTGGCTGGGTCTGGAACAAGACTCGCGCGACAGTAGCGATCTCCTGAAAACTCCGACCTTGGCCGATTTTGTGAGCCGGAAAGACCGCCTGGAAGGACACGCGAGCCGCCAACGGACCAAAGAACATCAGCATAAAAGAGAAGACACTCTCCGACAAGAGGATTTCTGGGGCTTTGCGTACGACAAAGACCCTCAATCGATCACCATGACCGAACCACAGGAAACGCAGCATCCTCCGCAACTGGAGACGACCAAGAGCTCTTCTCCGGTCGAGAAGCCATTGCCCCCTCCGCCAGTAGACGAGGGAGGACACCTGGAGGCTGCAGTACCCACCGAGACAAAGACAGCGAGCCCGGTAAAAAGCTCCACGCCGACGCTGCCAAGATTGAAGAAAAAGCTGGTTTGGCGTGGTAAGGCGTGCTTTATTGCCCTTCCCCTGGAGGATAAGCGAGGCACTGAATACCGCCTGTTGACCCAGGAGGATGTCAAACAGAGACTGAAGAACTGGGAAGATGAAGGGTATGACACCCGTGGATTTAGTATATGTACGCAGGACGACGAGTCGGACACCCATCTCGGAGGCCTCAGTCGGCCGCTCTTCCCTGACCCTGCCGAGGCCCTGGAAGACTACAGGACCGGAAACTATGGTGTCAGTTTCCCAAACAAAGGGGAGTGGGATGCATATGTGGCTCATCTCCAAGAGGAGAAATTACGGGCTCTTGGAGTCGACTTGGGTGATGGTCCGCCCCCGTCTGTCTCACCGGCCTCCGCTGCCATGAGCCAGATGGGCCCCTTCCCTGGCCTGGTGTCTTCGCCTCCCATCCCGACGGCATCGGCCGCCAGCAACCCACTGTCCATCCCTCATGCCTTCTCTCCTCAGCTGAACCAATCGGCAAACGTGAGCAACGGCATCGGCTCTATTGCCTCTCCAGCCTCGCCGTTCAGTATACAAACACCGTTCATGGGTGTGGAGCAGAACCTCTTGCATGGATATCATATGCCATTCCAGCCTACTCCTCCAGCGCAAGGCGCCCTCACACCCCAAAGCTTCTTCAATGCCCGCCAAGGAGGCCCTGCTGCAACCATTCCCGGCACTCTGCCCAACTTGACCTCCATGATGTCCCCCGTTTCACCGCTGCATGATCAAGGTATCTTCCATCCTGGCTTGCACGAGGCCCCGCTGCCATCCAAAGAGCCGTTCAACGATCAAATGGGCATGGATACGCAACATCATATTGCAGAAGATCATACCCTACGCCCCGTCCAAACCCCACCGCCAAACCCTGATCATTTCCATGCTTCCACCGTTGAAATCGCTCAGCCGACCCCTCGCGGTCACAGCCGCGGTCACAATTTGAGCGAGACACTCCAGAAAGGTCTGGATCAGATTTCTCCCAATGACTACCACCTGGAGGAATCCATTAACCGACAGCTTGATGAGGGCGAGCGGGATGTTCCCCGTAACCTCGAAGGATCTGAACTCCTACAGTCTCGCTGGGCGTTGTCTGGAAGTGGCGATCGCAATCTTCAGCATCTGCCTCAGCATGTGCATCAGTTCTACGGTGGAAGCTATCTAGGTGACAACACGCAAGAAGGCTCGGACATTGATACCAATCCTAGTCTATCCGGAACACCTCAGGGTCCTCTTGCGAACCACATCCCTTGGCATGAGCCGAAACCGAGTGCTGGCTCCTATGGTGGTGGTCATCGTTCCAAGCTGTCGTCGTCGACACTGAATGTCGACGCCAAGGAGTTCGACCCCAAGACGTCAACCTCGTCGAACCCGTATCCATTCCAGGGTAGCTCCATGCAATTTCCTGCAATGCGCAATCCTATGTTTACATTCGGTTCCGGGCCTGGCTTCAAACCTTCAGCGAACACTTTCAACGTTGCGGCACCCTCGTTCACTCCGGGTTCGAGCTTCAACGGAGGCCAGAACGCTGGAACTGGAGATTTCAAATTCTCGTCTGCTTCATTTAATGTGGCGGCTCCCGCTTTCGACCCAACCGCCAGTGCTTATTCTTCAGCTACGGTGGAGCCGGCCCCAGGACGGACCAAGATCTTTGGAGACGTCGACCTCTCCGAAATCAGCAAGCCTGCCAAGAAGTCAAAGGCCATTCCTATCGTACGACCAGATAGTGGACATGACAAGAGAAACCATGATGAAGGAGATAATGAGAACTCCCGTTCCGCCCCAACTGACCGCCACAAGCGCGCCCGCCGTGGTGATGCGGGTTCTGACGAGGAGGCTCAGTTCAGTGTGCCGGGTGACGCTTTGGCGGAGTCGACAAATGCTCAGCCTACGCACGCTCGCAAACCATCGCATACACCCGCGGATGGCAAGGAGAATGCTCTGCCTGAAGGCGATGCCAACGCGGAAGTGAAACCTGTTTCCTCTCGCGATGATAAAGAAGTCGACCGAAAGGAGACGCCCGTCAGCGAAGCTTCGACCTGGACGCCATCTGACACCAAAGATGAGAAGGTCGCCGCAACGGCTGATACATCCATGCATGAGCAGGCTCAAGAGCCGACTCGCGATGTCTCCGATGAGAAGACTGCTCTGGAGAAGCCCGCTTTGGATGAGACCCAGCCGCTAGAAGCCGGCGTTCCTGTTCAGAAGGAGCCCGAACATACCCTCGAGCCTGAAGAGTCCTACCCCAAGAGCTCCATGCTGTCTCCCACCGCGCAACCATTTGAATTCAAGCCCGCTGTTCCCGAGTTTGTTCCCCTGGCCGTCGAGCAGCCCAAGCCGGCCCCCGAACCAACGCCAGCCAAGAATGACCTTATGGCCTCTCGATATGCTGTCCCAAGTCCTCCAACATCGCCCAAACCAGAACAGACAGAATCTGCTCTGGGTAAAAAGGAGCCTGCTATCAGTGAGGCGCCTGAAGCTCCTATCGAGAGGGAGCGTGCCGTGGGACATGATTCCTCGGACGATTCCCCTGATGAAGAGGAATTGAATGCCATCATGGAGCAGCTCAATGATGATTCTGATGTTGGCATCGAGCGTATCACAACTCCTCTGCCCAAGAACCGTCTTCCAGAATCAGCTATGGGCCCGTCCAAGGAAAAGCGCCACGCTCCTGTCGACATCCGCAGCGACCCGCCCAGCCCCAGTCCGGGACGAGGTCCCCTTACTCAAGCATTGGAGGTTCCAAAACTCGATTTCGATGCCGAGACACCCGGCTCGTTCACTCCTTCAAAGGGTTTTGCTTCTGGCACCCACTCTCCTGTTCGCCAACTGATCCATCAGAACGATCATATCAGCGACTGGGATGATGTCATCTCCTCAGGAGAGGGCGAGAAATTGGCCAACAGAAGCCGGTTCTTTGACCGTCGCATCAATGACTTGATTGGGTCCGTTGTTGATGAGCGACTGTCTCCCTTGGAGCGGGCTCTGGGTGTTATCCAGCAGTCTGTTGCTGCGATCACTTCCAGCACTCAAAACAGATGGACCTGGAGTGCTTCCGTAGAAGCGGAGGAGAGCGATGCCGACGACGAAGACGACGAATACGAGGAGAGCGCGTCGTACCGAGCAAGGTCTCCCCTCCGCCAGAGGGACCGCAAGTTCGACAGACTGAAGAATGTCATCATGGACGCAATTGCAACTCGTGACACTCATCCGGAAGCTGATAAGCCAGAAGTATCTGAACTGGCGCAGCTCCGCGACAGCATCGCCGAGCTTCACCAAATGACTGCACACAAGCTTGCCCAGGATCACACTGCGGATTTGAAAGAAATGATGCAGGAAGTGGTGGCCACCCAGCTCATGAAGCAGCAACCACGACCTTCTGATGCAGAGGAGATTGGTGCCGATAGCCTCATGCTACAGATTGATGGCTTGAAGAACATGCTGCGGATGACGGACGAGCGTGCCGAGCAGGAGTATAAGCTTCGTAGGGAGGCGCAGGACTCGATCGCCGAACTCCAGAGATTGCTGAAGGTTGCCGAAGAAGATGCTGCTCGGCACAGTGAAGCGGCCGAATCTGCGGAGGCACGCTTCCTCCAGTTCAAGGAGGAGAAGATCCCCTACTTTGAACAGGTGCAGTATAGAGCCGATACGCTGGAACAGGACCATGCCAAGCTGAAGTTGACTCTGGCCGAAATTTCGTCGAAGAACATTGCTCTCGAGGGGACCCTGGACGAACATCGTTACACCAGCGACAACCTGAAGCGAGAGAACGAGCGCTTGAAGGGCGATCTTGATGGCACTCAGGAGGAGAACAAGAAGCTCAAGGGCACCATCGATCACCTGAAAATGCGCATCGAAGATGGCCTCAGTATTCGCCATAACCTTAGCGAGAAGTTGGATCACCTTCAGGATGAGATGGTCGCGGTGACTCGCGATATCTCTCGCGACCAGGCCTCTTGGCGCAGACGCGATGAGGAGCTGCAGGCCAAAAACAACGAACTTCAGGCTGCCTACAACCGGGAGCTGAAGCTGCGCGAGAAACTCGAAAATGACATCAGTGAACTTGAACAGCAAGAAAGAGAGGCGGCGAAGCTGAAGTTCATTTTCGGCCAGTCCCAGCAGGAGAACGCAAGACTGGAGGAGCTGGTGGCCAACTTGCGGCTGGAGAACCACGATCTGGAATTGAAGGCCGCTCGTTTCGAGCGTGAATTCAATGAGGCCCGCGAGAGCAGTCGCGTAGAGATCCAGCGCACCAGGACTTCGATGGAAGCTGATCTCGAAGCTGCCAATAGCCAAGTCAACATTGTTCGTGCTGAGCTGGAAGCTCAAATCCTTCGCCTCCAGAGTCAACTCGACAATGTCCAGATGAACAGTGACACTGCTCGGGAGCGGTATGAGATGCTTCTCGAGGAGGCTGCAGAAACCAAAGCCAGTGCCGTTGCTGCTGCGATGGAGTCTAAGGAGCTGGCCTTGGAAGAACAGCGCAAGATGCACGAGCGCGTTCTCAATGACCTCCGCGAGCGTCACGCCCGCGCCCTCCATAACTCCTCCGAAGATAGACAGCGCGCAGAGTCCCATCTGATGGACCGGCTGGCGTTGTCTGATGAAAAGGCGCAGCATCTACAGGACCGTGTCAGCCATCTGGAAGAAAAGCTTGAGATCGCGCAGTCCGCAGCTCGTGCTGCTGCCGAAGCCGCGCAGTCGGCCAAGGCCGCTGGTGCTTCTTCAGGACATGCAAGCTCGCCATCGATGTCATTCAACCAGGGCACTTCGGTCCCCGAGAAGATTTCCCCTCAGGCGTTGCGAGAGTCCATTCTGGTGCTTCAAGACCAGCTGCAACAACGCGAGACCCGTATCGAGGAGCTTGAGCAAGAAGTTGCGGCTGTCGACAAGGACGCACCGCTCAAGATTAAGGAGAAGGACACCGAGATCAACTGGCTCCGTGAGCTCCTCGGCGTTCGAATTGACGACCTTCAGGATATCATCAACATGGTGTCGCAGCCGTCATTTGACCACAATGCCGTGCGCGACGCTGCTATTCGGCTGAAGGCAAATCTCCAGATGCAGCAGCAGGAGAGAGAAAGGGCACACTCCGGGCAGAGCTTCCCATCGCTCCGCTCTCTTTCGGAATTGACCGCATCCCCGCGATCTCTTCCTCTGGCCGCCGCTGCCGCGTGGGGTAGCTGGCGCAAAGGCCGGGAAGCTTCTGGTTCTGAACAAACGCCATCGAAACAGAGCAACGCCAGCGCGTTCCTATCCGGCCTCTTGACCCCGCCTAGCTCTCACGTTCGACAGGGTTCTGCTGCCAGTTCCGGTGGTCCGTCCACCGCCGCATGGAGACAGCCCTCGGAAAGCCGCCCTCTCAAGAACACCGACACCACGCCGCGACCCCTGTCGTCGCGGGGTGGCCGATCGCGCGAGCCCCCCAAAACCCCTCCCCTCCTCCGTCGGTCCAGCTACGACCATGACGCGGAGCCGACGGACTATGGCGAGAGCTCTCTCGGCGAGGAGAACGAAAGCACCGCCGACGGGTTGGTATCTGCGTCGCCCAAGGACACAGACGGTCCATTTGGACCGCAAATAATGTCATAGATTGGTTGTTTTATTTGATATGTGATTTTTCATTGACTAGACAGAACCATGCCAGCCTGTTCTGTCGGACTGATCAAAATTGTATTTGATGGCTACGATCTTTCCCCTTCGTTGTGTGTTATTTTCTACCCATCTTTTGTTTCGACATGCGTTACTTGCTATTCCCCTGATACCACTTGTCGATTTACTCGTGATTCGCAGTGTCTTGTTACTGAACTCGACTCGTCGCTCTTTACTTTCCCTTACTCTTTCCTTCTGTCCGTTGGATAGTCCTGTTTTCCAACCGGGTGACATACTATCTATCCCCTTATACCCCTGTTATTCCCGCCGGGTCGCCGGTGGTGTAGATATTGGTTATTTACTTAATTGGACATAATAATACAATTGATATATCGCAGTTCTCGGCTGTAGCTGTTCTAATCTAATGCGTAGATACATGCATACACAATTAGCAACACAAATATGAAACTATTCAGCTCCCCTCAACCGCCACCGAATGACGTCGCTGCCGGAATGCCCTGTAACGGTGTACTCCCGGCTGCCATCTTTCCCGCGCGACGAAGCGACATGCAGCGTCTCAATATCCATCGACGTCCTGTCAAGCAAAAACGGCCACGACGGGATGATATCCGGCGGCTCGTACCGGCTATCATTGAACGGATTAGCCACGGCCATCTGTAATCTGTCGTAAATGGTCCCTGTCTCGGAATCGGACTCGCTCCCGTCGTCGCCGCGGAGAGGCGAGCCACCCGCTGCCGACGAGGACGAAGACGGGGCCGTCAGCGGCAGCGCAGAGGGCTGGTACACGGCGGCGCCGTCGCCCATGGCATAGACGTACAGCGATCCGCCGTCGACGATGCAGCAGGAGTGGCCGGCGCCGGGTTCGTAGACGACCAGGAGACGGTGGTCGTTGGAGACGGCGAGGAGCGGCGAGGAGAACGTCGCGGAGGGCAGGTTGATGGCGTTCCAGCGCGAGACGACCTCGCGCAGGCCGTAGGTCATGTGGTGCTGTTCGCGCTCCGTTGCCGGGACCGGCGGGTACAGGCGCGGCGGGCCTTCGGTGCGGGTGCCGGGGATGGAGTTGCCCGGGCGGAAATAGATGGACGGGAAGAGGCGGTGGATGCGGACGGGGGTTGATGCGGCGGGTGTCATCTGGCCGATGCAGTAGCTGTCTGTGTGGCCTGTCTGCAGGGACGCGATGAAGAAGCGGTCCTCTCGCGCGCCGGGTTTGTCGTCTGGGGCAGCGGGTGGTGGGCGGCGGCGGGCGTGCTGAGAGCGAGGGTGGTAGGTGCGCGGGAGGAGACGTAGCCCGCGTAAAGTGGAGCGGTACTCGTCGTCGCCCGTGAGGGCGACGGCCAACGCGGCCGAGTCGAGGTAGACGTGGTTGAGGTGCTTGCGCCAGTAGTCGAAGGGCGGCGGGCTGGTGTGCCTGGCGTCTGGGTCGGGATGGCCCAGGTATCGGACGCGGGTGGGCCGGTGGATGGTGGTTTCCTTTCCGATGGCGACGCGGAGGAGGTGGTCGTGGTCGGCGAACTCGAGCGAGTCGACGACGCCGTCGGTGTCCTCGTACTCGGCGCCGGGGCTGCTGGCGAAGACCATGTCGCTCTGGCCGAGGACGTACTCGGCGGGGACGCTGCGGTCGTCGGCGTCATGCAGACTGTATATCTGGATGACTCGGCCCAGGCCGATGGCGACAAAGGCCGCCGTGGAGGAGACGGCGATGCGGTGCTTTGCGTACCGCTGGTTGACGGACATGCGGCCGGCGTTGCGGTTCTCCATCAAGGCACGACACACAGATGTCCAGTGCGGGTACAGGCTGGAGGCCAGAGGGAATTCGAGAATGGGTTTGTTGTCGGTGTTGTCGGTGTTGTCGTAGACGAGGGTCTGCGCGCCTTGCAAAACCACTGTCTGCCGGCCGTCGGGCGTGGTCGCCAGAACAGACGACGAGGTGCATTCTTCAGGAAGAACACGCTCAGACACGGTCTTCTCAACGTGGCTGCGGTATCCCAGCAGGTTCAGGCGGGCGACCTGGCTGAAGTAGTTGTTCCATTCCTCCGTGGACAGTAAGCTTGACGCGCTGGGCAGCGACACGGGGACCTGCTGGAGAACATTGCGGAGCATGCATGGGGCTGATGCTGCGGATCGCCAGGGATAGCATGTTTGCCGTACGGCATGGTAGGACTCGACGTCTAGGTAGCAGAGGATGGATTGGATGATTTCTATGGGCAGGGCCGCAGCATTTGTTGGTGGAGGATCGGGGGGGCCCATTTTCCTAGCTACTTCCCCGGCTCGCACCCGCAACGGAGAGTCAATTGTTTGAGGCTTAATCGAAAGATGTGATAGAGAAAGACATGTAGCGTTCTAGTGTATTTTTAAATGTCCATTATCTTTCATTAGATGTGGCGCTGTCGATGTCTGGTGGGGATGCATCCGGGAACGGACATGGAGTGACCCCATATTTAACCAGGGTAAACTTGTAGTTTCGGCCCAAACGCTGCATATCGACTGGATTTGGCCATTATGTGCGTCAACCAGGCAGGCTCATCTTGAATCCCCAATGAGCGAATCATCGATTCGGTAGCCGATCCATGGTTGCGGACCGACCGGAACCGTGAGAGGCAGTGATGATGTTAGATCTGATCATTAGATCGGATTATTCAACAATATAAGGCCGAATCTACCTGGCTTGTCCGTCTGATACTTGGAAATTGGAGATGGTGAAAGTTGTGATCGACTCCAATCCATGTGACAGGTAGATTTGTGTCGGTCATGGCGTCGTGCATGCATTGATGAACTGGCTTCACCGCTCAGATGACTGCGAAGAGAGCGGTGACTAAGTAGTTGTCTGTGCAGTGGCCAAACACAAGGCCGAGTGCTAGAAAGCCAACGTTGGCTTATCGAATAGCAAAGTCTTCCAGAACCCTCGACAAGGCGTGTTGGCTTGCGTCCTACCCCTTGCTGACCGGGACGGATAGGTGGGTGGTGTCAAGTTTTAGTGGCTCAGATGATGATGTTCTTCTCGCGTTTGTACAGATCCTTGAGAAGCTTCAACTGATTGACACCCATGCTTTGGCGTGGAAGGGCGTTGGGCAAGTCGACAATGGCTCTCCGCATCAGTCCCAGACCAATGTGTCCGAAGAACCCGAATATCCTCTCCGCAGACGACTTCAACATGGCCGAAAGAAGGATGACATGTGTTTCTTGGATTTCGTCAACGGGAATACTCAGAATCTTGTGCATAGCGAACCAAAACAGGTGGTTCGGAAATGGGTTCTTGCGGGGAGTTTTGCCAAAGTTGCGCAGGGTGATGGAAGCAAAACCCGCACCCAGAGCTGTCATTCGATCGGCATGGCCCTGCTCACTGATGTATGGACCATCCGGAGATTCGCGCCACCAAGCCAGGGCGCGGCGGCCACCTTCGGTCTTCTCGTTCCCGTAGAAACCCCAAAGCGCTGGACACACGACCCGGTACTTTGCCCACAAGATGTCCACCATAGGGCAGCCCTTGTAGATGAAGGCATCCATGGAGAAAATTTGTGCAGCCACTATTCCGACGGGCTCGGCGTGGCCCTGATTGAGGGATGCTTCAGTGAGAAGCGCAGAGATCAGACTCTTCGAGAAGATGTTCAACCCGTAGATCAACATCGCGGGCACCTGGGTATCACCGGAGTTGGCAATCTCTGGCGGGGGAAACGCCAAATAATCACAGATGTTGACGGTCGGCTCCGCAATGGAAGCGGCCTTTTCGAGAGTGTTCCGGATCTCCTGAATCTGTACAGGGCGAATTAGCTTTGGGCGGATGTCTCAAATCGAACAAAAGCCCTAACGTACCTGATGCTTGTTGGTTCCCTTCCCTTCTCGAAGCTGACCGACACATTTCTTGATCGTCCGACGGATCTCTCCCAGGTTCTGCTTGATAACCGGGTTTTGCTTCGACTCATCCTTCATCCGCTGTCGCAGTGTCTTCAGTTGTCGATGCAGCTCGACGTAGCGACCCTGGACTTTCACCTCCTCCTCAGACAACCGCCCGCCGCCAAGTTTCTTCTGTTGCTCCGCCTGGAGCTTCTGGGCCTTCTCCTTCTCCACCTGTTCTAACTCGGCCTTTTTTTGTTCTTCCTCGCGTCGCCGGTTCTCCTCCGCTTGCCGCTCCATCTCCTTCTTCTTTTCGGCCAATTCAGCCTCCTGCTTCCGCTTCGCCTCCTCCTCTTCCTTCTTCTTGGCTTCTGCGGCAGCCTTCTGTCTGGCCTCCTCCGCTGCGGCCTCCTCTCGCTCTCGCCGCAGCCGCTCCTGCTTCTCCCGCTCCAGTCTGGCGAGCCGCTCAGCCTCGCGCCGCGCCTCTTCCTCGCGCCGGCGGTTCTCCTCTTCAACCGCGCGCTGGTGACTGCGGAGGGTCTCCTCGGCCTCCTCGAGCACGCGCTCGTGCAGGGCAGCGACGCGGTCTAGGGCGGCATTGTGTTGAGCTTCAAGTTCGCTGTCGATACGATCGAGGTTTTCGTAGAACGAACGGCGCTCGTATGCCTTAACTTTCTTGAGCTCCGTATTGTGGACGCGTAGTTGCTCCAGGTCCCGGGCCAGATCGAGGACGAGCTGGCGGGAGGGACTGTCCAGTTGTGGGGGATAGCTTGAGCGGCCCATTGTGATGTAGGCTGGGAGAAGGACCGGACGAGAAGCTCGGACGATTGTAAATATTGGTCACTTGGGCGACAGGAGGTGGTGGACCATCGCTTGTGGAGGTGTTTGGGGTTGTTGATTGGTGTTGGAGTTCAGTCCTGGCAACGGAGGCTAGTAAACTTGACGACGAAATGACGGATTGGAGCCAAAGAAGGAAAGGAGTTGGTGCAGTAATCCGACAGGTAGAGACTGATCCGAACAATGAGTATGTGGAGAGAAAGAAAGAAAGAAAGGAGAAAAAAGGGCGTGAAGTTCAGTGAAAGAAAAGGCTGGGACGCGAATCCGTGATTCCGTCCGGGATGTGTTCGACGGAGTGCTTAGTCAGGGGGGTGTGTACTCGTGTGGTGCCTGAGAAATCGGGATCGCCATTTGGGACAAACGAGGCAAACGGGGGCGTTTGGTTCCTCGGTCGACGCAGCGGCAAACGGGGCCTTTTGCATCATGACGACCATCATAAGATCGACCGACGCCTCATCACCCTGATGCTGATGCCGATGCGGGCATGACAGTGGACGATGTGAATGTTTCCTCCGATCTAATAATGGAGTCCAACACAATTCATGCAGCACCTATCGCGATTCTCCCTGCGCACATCACAATGGAATTTGTCAAGTGGCTCGCGGATACGGATAGGGAGCTCTGGTGGGTCGGTGGGAAAAGTGGCTTTTATTGGAGCGGATTGCTCAGGTGGTCTTCATGATTTTCTTGAATTAAACTGGATCCGAGGGTGAGAGGTGTACGGGAGATGTTCAGCCGGGGGGAAACAGCTGCAGATCCATGGATGGAGGAGGAAGGATTCAGGTGAGGTGAGGAGCTCTTCCTCCAATGAGTCTGGGGCGTGTCGAGCTGCAGAGAAGGATACTGAAGGTGTGCGGAGTACTTCGCATTGATATATCTCAGGATTTGGACGGCCTGTCAATTGTATACTGGTGTCAATTGAAGGTAAATGACAAGAGAGGTGGAATGCTGGGGCATGACATGACGGACGGACGGACGGACGATGACACAACCGGAAACCAAGATATCAGAACCAGACCCTGATCTTCCCCAAGTTTGGTAGCTTTCACTAGTGAGCCGGGAGGATGTGGTTCTCTGGAGTAGCTTTGTGACAGGCCTTGATGGCATTCTTACGTCTGGATGTCTGGAGAATAGAGATTAAGAGAGGTACCTGGGAGACATAGGCATTGAGGTATGTACTCCGTACATTGGAGGTACCTGGGATAGGTGTGAGATAGTATGCACCAGGATGTACTGCGATGGAGCTCCTTCTAGCAGCTTAGACTGATGTACAACGCCTAATTAGTTCAAGATCATAATGCCATCACTCCGTGTCTTTCTTTTCGTTTCACTTTTATTCATTCCCCCATTGCCCATTCTGGTCACTCTCCACGAGGGGGCCCTCCATACAAGACGCCAACTCACCACCAATCCTGAAACCTCGTCTTCCCCCTTTTCGGACTCCTCTGGATGGTTCTGCTCACTATCCGTTCCCTCCTTACCCTTTAACAATCAACAAAGGGGGGGCAAAAAAGAAATCCAACAATAGGAAACAAGAGAAAAGCAGACAAACCAAGAAGAAAGAAAACCGGTCCCCCCCCCCCCGGAGAAAAAGACCGTGGGCGAACTATCCACGGACGCAGAAAGCAAAGGTGCCCCCCCACTTGGGAGAAGCTTTAGTTCGTTAGGAAGCAGTTTAGTGAGTGGTTTTGGTCGCTTGGATGGGATCGACCGCCATCCGCTGACTTCTCCTTCTCTTCCTTTCTCTTGACGCTCTCTCTCTCTCTCTCTTCTTTTCTTCTCTCTCTTCTTCCCCTCCATCCGCCTCCCCTCATCCTCTCATCACCCTCCTATCCTTTCATCCATTCTCGTCCCTCTCTTCTCTTCGCTTTCGCACACTCTCTCTTTCCGTCTCTCCCTTTCAGATCAGCTCAGCCGGTGCAATCCCGCAGTGTCGGCGGGATTCCCTGTCTTTCCCCTCCCATACCGAGCGAAAAGGGGAAAAGAGAAAGATCGAAAAGAACCGCCCCCCAAAACAGAAAGCTGAGGAAATCTCCTCCCAGACGTCATTCCATCCATCCAGCGTTGTCCCCCTTTCTTCCCACGCACACGCACACAAATATCCTCCCACCGCAGCATTCCTCGCTGTCGGTCGATCATTATTCACTGCTTGATTGATTGATTGATTGATTGATTTGATTTGATTTGACTTGACTTGGAGTAAGTACGAACTTAAGCTACTTCTTCCCTTTCCCCCCTTCCCGGCACTTTAATTGCGTCCTTCATCTTTTCCCCCCTCCTTCCCTTCCCGTTCGTTGATGTCACCCGTATGGGGTAATCGCCCTCTCCGTCATCACCATCATGTCTCCTCCCCCAATTTTCTCTTCTCCCTCTTCACCATCCTCTTCGTCTTCATCTTCTTCTCCTTCCTCACTCTTCTCTCCTTCTCCTATTCTGTCCGTCTACCGCTCCCTATCCTCTCTCCCATTCTCTCCATCTCTCCTTTTCCTCCCCCGTGTCGATCTCCACCCCACTTCGTCTCCGTTCGTCCCTCCGGATCGTCTTGGGCAAACCTCAACTAACCTATCGTCGCTCGTATTTCAGTACCCTGACCATCCTCCGGTGCCAATCTCGCCCTCTCCGGTCGTTGTCCTCGTCTTCCTCGCGGTCGGTCCACGTCGCAGCATCGCCCTCTCCTCCTGAGTGGCCACCCCGTCATCGACGTTCTCTGTGCTTTCTCGCCCCGTGCCTTTCCTTGTAGAGTCATACAGAGATAATCCGCTCATTTCAACCGGAAGATGGATCAACAAGGTCAATCCGGCCCTCCCGGCGGCCGCAAGCTTCATATCGCTCACCGGAGAAGTCCTTCCGAGCTGACGCCCCTCATGAGTACGTGACAACTCCCCAACTACCCCCATACCGTCAACCGGGCTGCAGAGACTGACCATTTTTCTTTCCAGTGGAACAACTGGCAATTTCAGCAACAGATCGAGCTGCTCCAGCAGCAACAACAGCAGATCGTCGTCACACACCAACAATACGTGAACATGGGTCTGTTACAACCACAGCAGTGGGCCAGGTTTCGGGCCTTCTCCGCTCTCCATGCAAGGCGGTGCCTTCCGTTCTGGCGGGGTTCTCCTCCGCAACTAAACGTCTTTCCAGTTTTCCAGATGGGGGCAACAGCAGCTGGGCGTACCCCAACACTCGCACCGACGCAACCAGTCGGCGCTTCCAGGCATCGGAATGGGTCCTCCTCCGGCTCCCTCCTCCGGTGCTTCCGGCTATACCGATTATAACCAGCAACAGCAGGGACATCAGCCCAAGCATGACAACGGAGGCCACGGTCGTGGCCGGGGCGGTCCACCCGGCGGTGGTCACCAACGCCGTCACTCTCTCGCCCTTCCCGAAGCCAAGAAGGCCGCCGAATTGGCCCAGCAGAAGAGAACCGCGTCCGGTTTCCAGTTTCCCGCTCCCGGTGCGGGTGGCGAGTCGTCCGACAGCGCCGCAGGTTCCGAGGAGAAGCCTTCTACTCCTACCCCTCAGGTTCCCCCGCTGGGATTCCAGCGCGCCGGCAACATTCGCGCCGGTGGTCATGGCCGCAGCCAGTCCATGGCCGTAGGCGGCAACCGAGGATCCTTATCGGGTCGCGGGGCCGGTGGCTTTCAATTCCCCCAGTCCAACGATGGATCTGAGAACCACCGCCGTGGTAGCCAGCCGGGACACACCCGAACCTCTTCCCGCAACTTTGACAGCAACTGGCGTCAACCCAACAACCAGGGTCAGGGCCAGGATCAGCAAAAGGGTTTCGGTCAGGGCGGTGGCTTCCAGCCTGGTCATCGTTCCCGCGCCTCTATGAACCAATCCATTGGCTCCATTGGCCAATTCCAGTACCCCGGACAGCCTCAACTCATCCAGCTTCCTCAGGGTCAGGTGATGATGGCCCCCCCGCAAATGTTCGGCGGCGGTCAGCAGTTGAACCCTCTCCAGTTGGCCCAGCTCCAGGCTTTGCAGCAGAATGGACAGTTGAATGGACAAGGTCTCGGTCTTCAGGCCAGTCAGCACGCGCCCCCGCAGCTGTCTGCTCAGCAACAGCAGCAGCAGCAGCAACAGCGGAAGACGCTTTTCACCCCCTACCTGCCCCAGGCTAACCTCCCCGCGCTCTTGAGCAACGGCCAACTAGTCGCCGGTATTCTCCGGGTCAACAAGAAGAACCGCTCCGACGCCTACGTCACCACCCCCGACCTCGATGCCGACATTTTCATCTGCGGTAGTAAGGACCGCAACCGTGCCCTCGAGGGCGATTACGTCGCCGTCGAATTGCTTGATGTGGACGAGGTGTGGTCCCAGAAGAAAGAAAAGGAAGAGAAGAAGAAGCGGAAGGACATCACCGATGCCCGGAGTGGCAGCACGGCCGGCACCGAGAAGCTTGGCCGGTCTGAATCCGGTTCGAATGGAGACCGCCAGGAAGTCGGTCCGGATGGCAGCATCCGTCGTCGCGGCAGTCTTCGCCAGCGACCGACCCAGAAGAAGAACGATGATGTGGAGGTGGAAGGCCAGAGCCTTCTGCTCGTGGAGGAAGATGAGATCAGCGATGAGCAGAAGCCTCTATATGCCGGTCACATCGTGGCCGTGATTGAACGCATTGCCGGCCAGATGTTCTCCGGCACTCTCGGGCTCCTTCGTCCCAGTAGCCAGGCGACCAAGGAGAAGCAGGAAGCCGAGCGGCTCGCCAGAGATGGCGCCCATGGCCGTTCCCAGCAGGATCGTCATCAGGAGAAGCCCAAGATCGTGTGGTTTAAGCCCACCGACAAGCGCGTTCCCCTGATTGCCATCCCCACCGAGCAGGCGCCCCGGGATTTTGTTGAGAAGCATCAGGACTACGCCAACCGCATCTTCGTGGCCTGCATTAAGCGCTGGCCCATTACCTCGCTGCATCCGTTCGGAACTCTGGTCGAGCAATTGGGTGAGATGGGTGATCTGAAGGTGGAAACCGACGCCCTGCTTCGCGACAACAACTTCGGCTCCGACGAGTTCTCCGAGGCCGTGCTTAAGAGCATCGGCTTCGAAGATTGGTCCGTCGCCAGCCAGGGCGAGGCTCTTCTGGCCACTCGTCGGGACTTCCGTCAAGAGACCACCTTCACCATCAGCCCTAGCGGCTCCAAGGAGCTGGACAACGCCTACCACTTCAAGACTCTGCCCGACGGTAAGGTTGAAATTGGCATTCACGTCACCGATATTGCCCACTTTGTCAAGGCCAATTCGCTCGTCGATCGGGAGGCGAAGAAGCGCGGCACGGCAGTCTATTTGACCGACCGCTTGGTCAACATGCTACCCCCCCGCGTCTCCACTGAACTTTGCGCTCTCCTTCCCGATGAAGACCGTTTGACTGTCAGTGTTGTGTTCAAGGCTAACCCGGAAACGGGTGCCGTGGACGACGATGTCTGGATCGGCAAGAGCGTTATCAAGAGCTCGGGAAGACTCAGCTATGATGAGGTTGACGCTGTGATTCAGGGTGGCTCGAACGTTGCTGTCCCAGGCATCACTGCCGATACGATCCGTTCCCTTGCGGTAAGCAGTCCTGTTTTCACCATCGACCTACCTCTGACTAACTCGAACTAGACTGTGACGTCCAAATTCCGCGAGGCGCGATTTGGAAACCGTGCCTCCAACCTGCCGCCTCTCCGCCTCCTGTATCAGATGGATGATGAGAATGTGCCGGTCGAGGACAACATCTTCAACGCAGCCCCCGTGCGCGAGCTTGTGGAGGAGCTGAGCCACAAAGCCAACTTCTTCGTCGCTCGCAAGATTGTGGCTGCTTTGCCGGACAAGGCTTTCCTCCGCCGTCAGCCGTCTCCCAACCCCCGCCGGCTCAACGCCTTCATTGACCGGATGAACCGGCTTGGCTTTGGCTTGGATGCCACGAGCAGTGGCACTCTGCAGAGCAGCCTTTGTCAGGTTCAGGACGATGATCTCCGCAAGGTAAGCCTGCCCCTCCCTGTGGCTTTGTCGCCGCATTAACGGTATCTAGGGCATGGAAACGCTCCTGGTGAAGGCGATGCAGCGCGCCAAGTATTTCGTCGCCGGCAGCGTGCCGGAGGACCAGCGCCAACACTACACCCTGAACCTTCCGGTATACACCCATTTCACCAACCCTTCCCGTCGCTACACCGACATCATTGTTCACCGTCAGCTGGAGTGTGCTCTGTCTGATGGCACCCTCGAGTTCACGGACGACCTCGAGTCTCTGAACAAGACCGCCGATTTGTGTAACAACAAGAAAGATTCCGCCCACAACGCGCAGGAGCAGAGTGTACATATCGAGGCCTGCCGCAACATGGATAAGAAGAGACAGGAGATTGGCGGAGACCTCATCAGCGAGGGTATCGTGTTGTGCGTCTACGAGTCTGCGTTCGATGTGCTCATCCCCGAGTACGGCTTTGAGAAGCGTGTCCATTGCGATCAGCTGCCCTTGAAGAAAGCCGAATACCGCAAGGACACCCGTGTTCTCGAGCTCTACTGGGAGAAGGGGGTGCCATCGTCAGCCTATATCCCCGAAGACGAGCGACCCAAGCCCGCCAACTCCCGTGCGGCTCAGGCCGCCGCTGCGGCGCGTGAAGCCGAAGCTGCGAAGGAGCGTGCGCGCGAACGCGAGGAGGCCATGCGTAAGCAGACCGAGACCGGCACCATGTCCGCGGACGATGTGGATGCTCTCTTTGATGATGACGACGATGTTTCGGAGGTCACTGAGATGGCGGCCGGCGTGTCACTGAACTCTTCCGCCGATCGATCGACCCAGAGCATGCCTCCATCTCCGACCCGCAACGGGCATCTCCAGCAGGGCCCGCATCGGACGCGCTCCGACCCCAAGATTGCCACGAGCACCGGCGACGCCCCGGAGGCCAAGTTGACCAACAAGGAGAAGTACCTTCGACTCTTCCAGCTCCGTGAAGAGGATGGAGAGTATATCCAAGATGTCACAGAGATGACCCGCGTCCCCATCATTTTGAAGACGGACTTGTCGAAGAGTCCGCCGTACGTGTTCCTGGTACCCTTTTGTTCGTCACTGTTCACTAACTCCTGCACAGATGCCTGACTATTCGCTCCGTGAACCCGTATGCCCTGTGAAGGGTTGAACTGGCCAAGATGTTTCGTGGTGCTTCGACTGGTGACGATATCGATTTTGGGCCCCCTTGGGCAGATCATTAGAGTGGTCGTATAATGGTATACATTGGCTATCACCGAGGTCGTCTGCGACGCTGTGTTCCGGTCTCCTCGGATAATATTGATTTAATCGGACTAGTTCTAGCGTGTTGATTCACTGTTCTTATTTCGCTATATGCCGCGGGCCACGGACTTGGTTCCTGTTATTCAAATATCAGCTGCAGTGCGCACTCATGGGGAAGAAAAGTCTTGCGGACAGTCTCAAGTGGTGATTCGAACCCAACATAGCTTTGTGCCGACAGTGGGAAGGATAATCCAATGTAGGAGGGCAGGATTGGATTCCTAGGAAAACTTGTCTATTGTCTTAGATGTTGCATAGCTTAGTATCTGTTCATGAAGAGTCGTCTTTGGCTGAAGTATGGATGGAAAGCCGAGGGTACTTCTTATGTACAAATTTGCTAACCTCTGCAAGCACAATAAGTACAGACACGATACCCTTTGTACCTTGCCAATTAATATCGTATTATGTAAAGCATTCGAGTCTTGCGTGGTGACCACTGGAAATGAAACCAAATCTATGTCTCCAAGTCTGATCTTACCCTGGACCAGACCATTCTTTTCAACGGCAAAGAAATCACGACCCCAAAGAACCTTCATCCCAATCCACTGCACTATACTGCATCAGTCGCCGCTGCCTTCTTCTCCTTCTCCAGCTCTTCCAGACGACTCGCCTCCTGCACATCGAGACCCGTCTTGTTCATTTTGTGGTCCCGCGAGAGGACCTGTTTGCTAATGAACACGCTCAGCAGCAACGCCGCCCCGGAGAGCGCGGTGTAAAAGATCCACTCACTCCGCAGCGCCGTGTTGTAGCGATCCCTGACGAGACTCCGGGCGGCCGCGGGCAACGCGCGAATCTGGTCGGACGCAGTCGTGGCACCGCCGGACGTGATCAGCTCCGTCAACTCGGGAGACACAACGCCCTCGATGTCGCTCTTAAACGCGCGGATACGGTTCTGGAAGATCACGCCGCCAAAGACGATGGACATGGCGGTAGCGATATCACGAGCGAAGAACACCGTCGCGGCGGCGCTGGCGGTGTCGGCGGGCTTGGTGAGGGAGAAGATGGCGATGATGGGCGCCTGGAAGAGCGGGCCCAGGCCCAGGCCGGCGATGATCTGGAAGATGATGATGCGGGCCCAGCTGGCGTAGGGCTGGAGGTTGATGTACAGGCCATGACCGAGGATCATCATGACGAGGCCGAAGTAGATGGGCGGGCGGTAGCGGCCGGAGTGGCTGATGTAGAGGCCGGTGGCGGTGGAGGCGACGCACAGCGTGACGGCGACGGGGAGGAGGTAGACGCCGGACAGGGATCGGGGAGGCGCCGAGCACGATCTGGAAAGTACAGCGGGAGGGTAGTAGAGGGTCGGCCGATGTAGGCGAAGGCCGTGGATGTAGGCGGATGCCGAAGGTGGCGAAATTGGAGGGGGGATTTGAACAGGCGCAGCGGCGTGATCGAGTACTTGGCGACCTTCCATTCGATCAGGGCGTAGACGACGATTGTCACCGATGCCGAAGACGATCAGGCAGACGACGGTCGCGGAGTTCCAGGGGTAGGCGATGCCGCCGTAGCCGAGGCCGAGCAGGAACATGACCGTTGCGCCGACGATGGTGATCGTGCCGAGCCAGTCCATGGCCAGAAGGCCTTCGATGATGGGCGTGCGCGGCGTGTGCACTTCCAGGAAGAGGAGGACGAGGGCGCCTGCCACGCCGGCGACGGGGACTGAGGTTGTTAGGTTGAGCGGGTTGGGGGAAGATTGGGGTAAGGACGTACGGTTGATCCAGAAGCACCAGCGCCAACTTACGTACTGGCAGAATGCACCGCCAACGATGGGACCGAGCCCGCAGGCGACGCCCCAGGTCACGCCGAGCACACCGTAGTATTTGCTTCGTTCACTGCGATGGTCAGGATGCGTCTGGAGAACTGGAGACGGGGACGAGCGTACCGAGGGCTGAAGACGTCGCCGATGACAGTCGCAGAGAGGCCCAGGATGCCGCCGCCGCCGGTGCCTTGGATGACGCGCCCTGCGATGAGCATGTCGATGTTTATGGCGAGCGCGCCGATCAGAGATCCGATGAAGAAGACGACGATGCTGATCATGAGGACGGGCTGCGAAGGTTAGCTTTGTGTCGCGAGGAAGGAGTCTATCAGCTTACCTTGCGGCCGAAGATGTCACTGAGTTTACCCCATGGTGGCGTCGAAGCTGGATTTTGTCAACAAAGCAGTGGTATGGAGTGTTTGGGGGGGCTATACCGGCAGCAGGGAGAAGATAGGCAGTTCCAATCCAGGTGAATTCCAGTTCGGTGGTGTGGAGAGAGCGCGAGATGGACTCGGCAGCCGTCGAGATGATGGTCTTAGGTATTCCGTCAGACTTAGTCTGCCATTGGCAATTTGGGCCACCTTACCTGCTCCAAGGCGGCGATGAAGGTAGAGAGCTAGATGCTGTCAGCGTGTATACTTCCATACTTCGGATCAGTGCACATACACAAAGCGACGACACGAGCAACCACGCCTTCATCGGGCTCAATTGCTCTGCATCATCATCGCCACTGTCCGCAGGAGGCGTTTCCTCGACTGGCTTTTCGGTGAGGTCCTTGAGACTGGCGTCCGTCGAAGTATTGCTGCTCGCCATGGTGAATGCGCTTGTGGTGCTGGCACAGCAAACGACGATGCAGCGAAGGAAACGCGGACAAGAAAAAGGGTCAGTCCAGAAAGTTGATTTCTAAGCTTCGGGAGAAGCGAATTCCACACAGAGTCATGATTGAATCAGCTGGCGAAAAGGAAGGACAGCGAAGTCGATGGCGAGCACCGAAAGTGATGCTTTGATTGTACATAGATTCGGCGCTGACAAAGAGCGCCGAATCGCCGAATGCGCCAACCTTAATTAAGTCGGCGCACCTGCATTAGTCCTGTTTAGTGACTTTTAGCGTCTTTTAGGGCTGTTTAGCGCCGGTTAGCGGCCGTTAGTGGCTTTTAGCGCATCGGCTATCGGTCCGGACCCGATCAGCTGTCGAATAGTACAAAAACACTACTCAAGATGGGGTAGTCAACATGAGAGGACAGCCAAACCAACCTGCAACATGACCCAGCGCCTCCTCCGTCTCAGCCTAGCGCACTACCGCAAGGACTCCTGCACCGAGGAATCCTGCCACTATTTCGGCACCGCTCTGCACGCTAAGCAAGCCGCAACCCTGCACGCCAAACACGGCACCCTGCAATATTACCAGGTAGGCGCCATCTCCCCGATCTGCAAGTCAAAGTACTCCAGAGTAGTTATCTCATGGCGTGGACAGGTCTACAGCACGCAAGCCGCTCGCGATGCCCTCGACGCCTTTCGGCGTTCTCTCGGCGCCGACTGGACTATCGACCAGCATGATCTGACGGTCGAGCTGTACATTCGGGATCTGCAGACGCTGCGCAACATTGCTGCGGATCCGGAGTTCGCTAGCTTCTACCATCTGGAGGAGCCGTATCTCAGCCGGCGGCATGTCGTGGCCAGTCTGGGGTGGGTGGAAGCGTATGTGGAGGAGGGCAAGGTGGTGAATGTTACTGATGAGGGATCGGAGTACCGGCCTGGGTTTGGGGAGTTTGTCGGTAGTGGGGGAGAGTTGGAGAAGGCGCTCGCTTGATTTGATTTACGTATTCGCTCATTTATTTCGGGGTAGTTGGTTCACAGCAACAAGTCGAGGCTGTTCTAGAGGAAGTTCTATTGCCGCTAAGCAGGCTAGGCCGCTAGTTCATACTCCGTAGTGATGGTCGGTGCTGAACATGGCACCGGCTAGGCTCCCGGCTGGATCCTGAGGAATCCATATTACTCACGTCAACAGTCGATCCGGGACTAAGATCTCAACTACGCCAAATGCAGTCAATGAAGCCTGATTTCAACCGAATCGTTCACGCCTTGGCGCCGGTTAGGGGATACACTACCACCGACCGAGATCACCGATGCTTCGTTGCAGACGCGACCTCCGAGGGAAACAGCATCGGCGTCGGCCGACTGTTCTGTCGGACCTGACGAGACCTCAGGCGCGGATAGAGTAAGTCGTACACAGTGAGTAGTCGTTTATATTGGCCAAGGACAGACAATGTGATTCAGGTCGATTAGTATCCGAGTACTCCCATTTCTGGTTCAAAAGCATCATATTACGCACCATGTCCCCGGTCAAACAACGCCTTCTACGCATCGCCGTCTCGCACAATCGCCACCCCTCCCTCAGCGAGGAGCAATTCCATCAATGGGCGACCAAGGAACACTGTGCCCGAGCGGCTCGGATCCATTCTCGACACGGAATCGAAGCATATGGAATGGTACGTGACGAGCTGAACTGATCGAAGGCTTCAGCCTCTAACGGACACATAGCTCTTCAGTCCTGAGACCGCCCGGACCACGGTCCAGAACCTGAACCGCCAACTCGGCGGGCGCTGGAAGATCGACGAGCATGATGTGACGGTCGAGTTCTACCTGCATAGTCTCGACGAACTCACCTCCGTCTTGGAGGACCCAGAGTTCAAGGCGCTCCAGCAGGAAGAGGAACCCTACGTGAGCGGGGAGGATATCGTGGCGACTCTGGGCTGGGTGGAAACGTACGTCCAAGACGGCCGAGTGGTGAATGTCGACAGCGAGGGTGTGCCCACCTATCCCGGCTTTGGCGTGTTGGCGGATTTTTCCAGCGAGCAGGTGAACCAGAAATGAGGTGCTTGCTGCAGGGGTAGTACTAAGGAACTAGATTCATGCACGAATACGAATCGATGAATGCTACAGTAGCTTCTACCAATTTCCCTTTCTGCACTATGACCCATACCTCATTGGAATCTCCGATGGCGACAGCACGGAGTACCTCGGTTAACACTTGGTGGACATGGCCGTGTCGGAGGCTGGTGGCCGGTTCGGAACTGCGTACATACATAAAGGACTATGGCCAGCGATGTTGTGATCCGTTGTTTAGATTTATAGACCGTCTTTAGTTATTTATTCAGATTCTATCTTGTCTTTTCTATTGTTTAGAGTTGATGAAAGCTCCCAGGATGATTAGGCGACCGCCGGGTGGCTGATGTACTTTGTCTAGCGCTGACTCCTTCGCTTACAGGCGGTGCCCTTCGTGAAGGATGATGAGAGAGATCACGTAATTCCCGCACAATACAATCAATCAGGCCAGCCATGGGCTGGGTCTACTACTGGTCCCTCTTCTGAAGGAGCGACATCCTGACCCTTATGCTGACCTGCATCGCGACGCCTCCCTCTCGTGGTGTCGCCGTTGGTGGAGATCTCTCCGACAAGATTGTCGCTGCAGATGGCTCCTGTCCACGTTACATGACGAATGGAATCTTCAGGAGGTCGACGCCCATGTGCGATTGGAAGGCTCCCTCACTTGGCACTCTAGCGGCGTCTTAAGAGTGCATGTAGACACGAGGAAGCCAGACCATGCGGCCTCCGGCTTCTTACGAGAAGAGAACTACAACTACTTAACTACCGGTTCTCTGCACGTTTCATGCATGACTTCACCAAGGGCAGTGCCAGAATGAACAGCCCCTTGATCAGCATGGCAAACACCCCGATTGACCCGATTCCCTTCGAGTTGATTCAATTGCGCCGCGCTTGTGATCGATGCCATTCGCAAAAGCTCCGTTGCAAGCGCACGGGGGGCGGCAATTGTGATCGTTGCGAGAAGACGGGGGTGACGTGCGTTTTCAGTCCGTCTCGTCGGATGCGCAAGATGAGCCAGCCAAAAGATGGTGATGCGAGGTTGTCCGTGTCGGGGGCCAGCAGCCACATCGGGCTCAACGGTACGTTTCCCCTCTGCATGTAGCCATCGGGGGTTGGTGACTGACGACCCTCCAGACAACATGTCCCTAGATGATCTCTTGCATTGGGACCTGGCTACGACCGAGTGGGCTTCTCAAGGTGCAGACCCGGTAGGATACGACTTTGAGAACAGTCTATCATCCGTCGATCCGGGCGTGGTGGCTGCGCCGGAAACTATGAACTTCCACATGCTGAATCCCGACGAGTTGTATATGAATTCCGGGAGCTCATTGAGCGACCAATCCATCTCCGATCACAGTGCACCAGACCATGCCGCTCCTCCCGTTACTGAAGCCGGCCATCTCTCGCCACACGAGCAATGGATTCGCAAAATCTCCGATCTGAACATCAAGATTTATCAGCATGCCGCCGTATTCCCACCTGCCGCGTCTGGAATCCGCCGCACATCGCAACACCCGTCCGGTCTGGAGGGAGACGGCACAACAGACCAGAATCGAACTATCGCCATCGACCGAACCTTTAACTTCACGACTGAGGTTCTGGAGGCGCTGGAATTGGTTTCGTCCCCATCGCCCGGGAACGGGCTTCGCAATGGCATCGAACCGTTGGACCAAGGCAGTTTGCTTTTGATCCTCTCGCTATACTTGCGTCTTCTGGACCTCTACTATGCGATTTTCGAACCGCTACAGAAACTCCTGCCCAGTCCCCGCTATCGCCCCTCTTCCTCTTCCTCCCATTACCCGCCGTCTTTTGTGTCCACCGACTCTCCTTCTCCCTTCCCCGAGCGCGCTTTGGACGGACGTCTGCCCCGTTTCCCCGTTCTTCGCATCGGCGAATTCTCCCTCCAGACCTCGCCCAGCGTTCACACCTTGATGACCATTCAACTGGCCGAACAGTTACTAGGTCTGGTAAATAGAGCGGTTCAAACTATCACGCGAAACCAGTCGGCGGCGAATACGCCTTTTCGATACGAGAAGCAAGAGTACTTTATGGGGGAGGAGCACGGGCTAGATCGGCTACGAGACAGTAGCGGCATGGATGTCGCTGAGCTTTCGCTGAAAGCAGTTGAGAAACGACACATGGAGGTGATGGCGGTGGTCAAGGCAATCAAATGGGCGCTCACTTCCCGATGACGAGTTATGATGATGCTTATGCTTAAAAGCTAGACGTGTAGATACATTCTGTAAACATCATATAATAGATTAGTGATGACCCCTATCTTGTGAAGTCGACTCGGTAGTATTGCATCAGTCCGTTATCGCCAGGTACCTTCCTACGTAGTCTGCTTCCTGCGGATTAGAAACTTGCTGCGCATATGCCGCGCGGGCCGGCAGTATGGCGACAATGCGCCATTCTGCAGGCATGGGTGCTTACTCCGAGGGGCTGGTCCCCTGCAAACCATCGCCGACGCCGACCCCCGACACTAACTAACGACCCCCGAGCACCTGCATACCAAAGTGAGGCGCTGAGTCCATAACGGTGTATAAACCAGATCCAACACGGAGTCCACCATGATTCAATCTCCCAAACAGTCTCGCTCGTCAGCACAATGTTCCAATTCTTCAAGTCCCCATTCTTCCAGTTCGAGTTCCTGCGGCTCCTCGCCATGACCCCCTTTGAGGGCGGCGAGATCGCAGAAATTCTCGACGCTGCGAGCAAAATCAAAGACCAAGACCCGGAAAGCTGGTACAGCAACTGGGTCGAGGTCGGGACCAAGGTCGAGCAGATCGCCCAGGAGGCCGAAAGCACGGGTGACCGCGTCGCCGCGCGACGGGCATACCTACGTGCATCGAACTACCTGCGCGCCGCGCAGTTCATGCTCAACGAAGGCCCCCTCGGCCACGACAAACGCGTTCTGCCGACAATCGAGCGCGCCATTGACGACTTCCGCCGCGGCGTCAAGTACCTCGACGGCGACGTGCACTTCCTTGACATCCCCTACGAGAACAACGTCAAGCTCCCCGGCTACCTTTACCTCCCGCCGGCGGACAAGCGCCTCCCGCATGGCCAGAAGACCCCGATCCTGATCAACACCGGCGGCGGCGACTCCACCCAGGAGGAAATCTACTTCATCAACGCCTCCGTCGGCCCCAGCCTCGGCTACGCCGTGCTCACCTTCGACGGGCCCGGCCAGGGCATCGTCCTTCGCCGTGACCGGCTGCCCATGCGCCCAGACTGGGAGGTCGTCGTCGGCCGCGTCCTCGACCACCTCGAGGAGTTTGCCCGCGCCCACCCGGAGTACGACCTCGACCTGGACCATATCGGCATCACGGGCGCCTCCATGGGCGGGTACTACGCGCTCCGCGGCGCGCTCGACCACCGCATCGCCGCCTGCATCAGCGTCGACGGCTTCTACTCCATGGAGTCGTTCGCGCAGGGCCGCATGCCCGCGTGGCTGTGGAAGCTCTTCAGCGGCGGGTACCTCTCCGACGGCGTCTTCGACACCGTCATCGGCGCCATCTCCGGCTGGACGTTCCAGACGCGCTGGGAGTTCAACCACATGCGCTGGGCGATGGGGCGCGCCTCCGACGCCCAGGTCATCCGCCGCATGCTGGACTACACCCTCGCCAAACCTGGCGGCGGCGAGTGGCTGCACGAGGTCAAGTGTCCCGTGCTGGTGACGGGCGCGGGGTCGAGCTTTTATTTTGATCCCGAGACGACGACGCGCAGGGTCTTGCGGAGCTTGAGCCATTTGCCTGAGCACATGAAGGAGGAGTGGGTGGCGAGCGATGTGGTTTTTGGCGGGTTGCAGGCGAAGATTGGGGCATTTGGGTATTCGATGCAGAGGACTTTTGCGTATTTGGATGGGAAGTTTGGGGTGCAGAGGGAGAGATTGGTTGTGAAGGATGCAACTGGGAGAGTGTATTGATTTTGATGTATTGCCTGTTCCAGTGTGCAGATATATATATCGAGGTACTAGTCTACCAGACCGCATCTTGGATAAAGCACGTTGTGTGCACGTAGATTGAGTGCGTCATAAACATCAGTCCTGTTCAGAGTCTCACACACCAGGTAAGCTGAACCACAGGAAATTGTATTTGCAAGTTTCACTGAAAGTGTCTGTAGGACAATATCGAGGCACCGTTCGCGCGCGTTTTCCTAGATGGCTGACCAGTCTTCATCCAACAAGACCACAATAAACGAGTAGCCTTCGTTGAACATAGCGGGCTTAGTCTGAGCAGTCTTCAAAGGCGTCTCGTAGGTTCCTATCGTACTCTTTTTTATCCGCTAACTTGCGCCCTGCGACTCTGCCCACATCCTTTTCGAAGAAAAATGGCATGACCACCCCGAACTCCTCATTGTAGTCCTTGCAAAACAAGGGTTTGATGTGATTGCTGAAAATGGTGAACAATCCTGAAGGACTCGACAGGGCCAGTGCATACCAAAATGCCCCTGTTTCCCAAGTTCGGTTCATCACATCGGAAAGACGCAGAAGCGCAGATCGGTCATTACTCTTGATCAATGCAGCACAGCCTAGTTCTTTCTCTTCGGCGGCTAGCAGCTCCATAAATTGCCGGCGAATAACATCGTATTCCGCTGGGACCAGCTCGTCCACGCCCTTGTCTGTAAGCCAGTATGGAGGCATCACCATCTCAATCGGTCGAGTGCAGGCCCATTCCAGATCCACGAGGCATGTTATATGCCAGTCGGAGTCAACGAATATGTTGCTTTGATGGAGATCAGTGAATACAAATACAAACGGGCCTCTGCGGAAACTCCGAGTGAAAACCGACTGAAAGATTGTTCGCATGGCAGTCAATACGGATAGTTGGTAAGCACAGTCTCCAAGATTATTCACAGCATTAGGCTGATACCGAAAACGGTTGTCATGGGCACCCAGTACGTCGATCACATATGAATCAACAGTTGAATAGGTATACTCGCGAGGAATGTCAGTTGGGATATTCTCGTTCTCTAAAAGTTCTATTTCAACCGACAGTGGTCGGTTCGCCAGACGCAGAAACCCGTTATTATCGATGATAAATGAGCCGATGCTTGGTAAGGGAACTCGACAAAGACTCAGAAAGATCCGGCTGAGATCACGCAAAAGGTTTGTCCGTAGCTTGGTATTCTGTTGTCCTTCTCTCCATGTATTGGAAAGCATGGCCCCTCGTGTGCTCTCAATGAACTCCACTAGAATGTAGCCGGCACCAACCACTTCATCAGTGGCGACCTGACGGGTATTCTGACGGGGACAGTAACTTGAAGGAACTGGTTTTCCTAGCCACGATAAGATCCGACGGCGCATCAGCTGGAAAAAGCGAGGCCAGACCGGCAAATATTCTATCCGAGTGTACTAGAGTCAGTTAGTAGGATGCGACTGGAGCCGGTGTACACAGCTTCATACACTTTCACCCGAGGACAAAGCAAAGCCGTACAAGCGCGGGATGGGCACTCCTGCACAATTCTCTTGGAGCCATGCGTAGGTTCCTGCTTCACACCGAATCTTCTCATCGCCATTTCCGGGCCTGAAGGCCTCACCGACACGATATGGCAATGGAAACCGAAGAAGAGCCCGCTTTCCATTCCAGGTGTCAATGGCTATCGGGACACAGACATTGAAGCTACCATGTAGCCATTCTTCAATTCCTGCAACATGGCATGCCGCGGGAGATACGTTGAGGTGGTGAGCAACAACCGTTTGCATCCAGCTACGTCTGTCAAGGAGATGAGCAAAGAAACGGCTCTGTTCAGCATGATATCCCAGCTGACGGAGAATATTGAACTCCTCGTCTTTGACATCGGAGTACGTGACCTCATTTCGAAGAAGGTGCCTTTTCTTGGGCATACCGACTGAACTGACGCTTTGTGTCATATGTTTATTCCAACCCTTAAAAATATTGATTGGTAAGCTCCGAATTAAACTACCCCGACTGTAGGCGTGCTGACCCACGTGATCCACCTGATCGGCCCGTTCCTTTTATTGTATTCATCCCCCACTTCGATCTTCCATCTCTTCCACTCCCAGCTGATGTCTCGACCTCATCATGGCCAAACCCAACCAGCGCCATGCCTGCGACCGCTGTCACGGTCAAAAACTGCGATGCATCCACTCCGGGGGTGGGCCGTGTGTACGCTGCGCCAAAGCCAAAGCCACCTGCAGCTGGAGCCAGTCCTTGCGTTCCAACCGACTCAAGAGACATAACGTGCCGATATCTGATGTTCCTTTGGCGTGTGCGCAACTAGCAACCCAGTCGACCGACCCAAACACACCTCAATTTGGTGCATACATGAGCCAACCCTCCTCCGCCGGCGTTGACATTGACATCAACTTGCTGCAGACTCAATTCACCGACAGTACTCCCTGGGCTCTGCCGGCCGGCCGCTATCCCTCTCCAGCATCACAGGAAATGGAGACCTACAATGTGGGTCACACTGAGGCGGACCTTCCGACCACCGCGGACTGGATGTGGCCCGCCGTCGCCAATGGTCCCGTTCAAACGACTCCCCCGGCAAATTGGCAGCAAGCATTCAATCAGGAATGGGCTATGATGGCGTCCCAGCACCCTGTCGCAACGATGAACACGCCGTCTCGGACCTCGCCAGTAAGCGACGCCGTGGACCCGCCGAATACGGTGTGCCTTCTTGCGACCATCCGCGAGTTGTCAGAGCTTAACGTCGACCTGTACGCACACGAAGCGACGGTCCCCAGACCTCCTGCATCTCTGGACGAACCGATCAGCTGGAAGAACAAGGATTTCGCCATCGATCGGACTTTTCACCTGTCCCAGCGGCTCATTGAGATCGTCAACAAACGATATCCGCGCTACCTCGAGACCGCCCGCATGCAGACCCCCGAGGGGACTCCCGAACGGACCTCCGAAAGCAGTCCGTCTGGCCCGCCACTTGACCAAGGCTCATGTCTCCTCGTTCTCTCATGTTACACTCGACTCATCGAGACCTACGATCGAATCTTTGCCAATATGCAGGGATGTCTGGATCGTTCCTCGGTCACGGCCCGAGAAGACTACGTCAATATGCCGTCGGTCCAAGTCGGCTCCTTCTCCTTGCCACACTCGTCCTCGTTGCAAATCGTCCTCATCCTGCAGTTGGCGCGTCAACTCCTAACTCGAATGGGCGAGATCATCAAAGCCGTTCAGCCGGAGAAAGGAACTAATTCCGCTGATGTCACCTTGTCCGAATCCGCAACCGGGGGTCTCCTACTGTCTAGCGCTTTGGAGACCGTCTCCGCCGAAGAAGACCGTCTGATGAAAAGAATCACGAAACTACGAAGCACCTTGATTGAGCTGAACATTCTGTGAGGAACTAGATACAACGAATTTTCCTTCAATTTCATAACCAAGCCATCTGATTTTGCTGATCCTTCCGCATCGCACATTGATACCCGTCAATACCATTGCCTAGACTTTCCCCCATTTCTTTGAGCTTTTGTTCCATATGTCGATGTGTCGAATCACACCCGCAAATGCCCGCCTAGCGGATCTCGATAGCGTTGACCAAGGCGGCGAGGAAAAGGAGAACAGCGGGAAGGTTGTTGGTGTGAATGCGCCACCAGTTCAGTCGCAGCCAAGGGGGCAGAGCGCCCAAGTTCGTCTTGCCCGGCAAGGAGCTGTCCCAGATGCTTCCAATAATGCGCATGGCGAACTTGCCATACACGAGATGACCGATGGCGAACAGACCGCCGGCAAAGTACAGTCGCCGAGTTTGGTCGTCCAACGAAGCGCCAGGGCTCCCAATGCCGTTCAGCAGGCCCAAAACACCCCCCAACGGGTGCAGAATGCTGACCACCCAGATGAGTTTGCGGAAGATGGCGGGAAACCAGTGCGGGAGAACTGCGCCAGCTGGCTCCTGAGGCACACCGCGGTCAATCCAGGACGAAAAGGCAAATTGCTGGTCCCATGCGCACATATAGCCAGCGGTCGAGGTAATGAGAGGGGCGACTCTCAGGAGCTTGAGTCCAACGAGAACGGCCATTTTGAAATGATTCGCAAGAGGCTTAGAACAGCAAAACCAAACGAGACACTTTCAACTAGACTGATAATAAACGATTTGTGCTGATTTATTCGACATGTGTTTTTACCGAATTTTATAGTCCTTCTGTCTATACGTTTCCATTGTATGATGTCGTGACCTGTTTTACTTGGACATTATTGCGGTGGGTATCCCGACGCATTCCTGCTGGAGACTATCGTCTGACATGCATGGGCGTTCGCTCATCTCCGGTGGATGTAATCCGACACACTAACTGCATATGTTTAGTTCGTGCGCTCGGCGGTCGGCTTTATTGTGGATCCCCGACTACACCGATCAGCAGGAATCAGCCATCCAGCAACGGACAACGTCGATTACACCATGCCGGCTTTGCAGGCGGAATAATACAATGAAGCTATTCACGCCAAGCCGGGGGCCCTGGATGGCCTATACCGGTAGGCCGTGCCCAGGCCATGTATCGCGTGGCACACGTGCTTTGCAGCTCACATCGCTCACGGAGTATGTACTCCGTACTGGGGATATCGGCTGTCAAACGACAAGGTTCGAATGGCAGGGCAGAATGATGTGGATACGAAGAGAATTACGTTTACTGCCGAGTCGTGAACAGACAATTTAAAGATTTCGATATCTATCCAAATTCGACAGAGCTCTGCTGGGAACTCCATCAGGCCTGTTGACACATCTTGGTTGCGCTCCAACTGCACGTCGTCGAGGATGTCTTCAAACGAGCCGATTGCCATCATTGGCTCCAGCTGCAGATTTGCAGGTGGCGCATCATCTCCCTCGAAGTTATGGGACCTCCTTCTCAAGCCCAAAGATCTGTCCAAACCGCCACCTGAAAGCCGATTCAACCTCGAGGGCTTCTACCACCCAAACGCAGAGCAACATGGAAACACCAATATCCACGGGTCCTACTTTCTCGAGGAAGATCCGCGGTGTTTCGATACCGTCTTCTTCAATATCTCCCCAAAAGAGGCCGAAGCAATCGACCCTCAGCAGCGCATCCTCCTCGAGGTCGTGTACGAGGCAATGGAAGCAGCCGGCCTGACATTGCAGGGCCTCCAGGGAAGTGACACATCGGTCTACGCAGGCCTGATGATTAGAGACTACATGGATGTGCAGGTGCGTGACCCTGATTTCTTCTCACAATACATGGTTACAGGAACCTCGAGCGCGCTCAATGCCAACCGCATCTCATACTTTTTTGATTGGCACGGCCCCTCGTTGACTGTCGACACGGCGTGCTCGTCGAGTCTGGTGGCGGTCCACCAGGCCGTCCAGGGACTACGGGCCGGCGAGAGCCGCGTTGCCTGTGTCACCGGGTCGAATCTGCTACTTGGTCCGGAACTGTTCATCTCGGCATCCAACATGCACATGTTGTCGTCTAGGTCGAAGATGTGGGATGTTAGCGCGGAAGGCTATGCTCGTGGAGATGGCTTCGCATCGTTTATGTTGAAGACGTTGTCTAACGCCATCGCGGACGGCGACCACATCGAGGCTATCATCCGTGAAACAGGTGTTAACTCGGATGGTCGCACGAAGGGTATTACTCTACCCAGTCCCCAAGCTCAGGCGGACCTAATTAGAGATACGTATCGTCGTGCCGGCTTGGATCTGTCCAACCCTAATGATCGCTGCCAATATTTTGAGGCACACGGAACCGGGTATGTGGTGTCAGCCCATGAGAATCCCATTATGCTAACGAGATTAGAACCCAAGCTGGTGACCCACGAGAAGCCTCCGCCATCCACGATGCCTTCTTTGGTGCAGAAGGCGATGACAACAAAACCGGTCCGAAACTTGTGGTTGGATCTATCAAAACTATCGTGGGTCATACGGAAGGAACGGCTGGTATGGCTGGCATGCTGAAAGCCTTGCTTGCAATTCGTCACCGTGTCATCCCACCCAACCTGCACTTCAACAACCTCAATCCTTCAGTCGCCCCATTCTATGATCGACTGACTGTACCTACGGAGTCAATTCCTTGGCCTGTGGTGGCACCAGGAACGCCTCTGCGTGCTAGCGTCAACAGCTTCGGCTTCGGTGGTACCAATGCTCACGCTATTGTGGAAAGCTATGAGCCTGATAATCGCAGCTCAATCACCGGCCAGAACGACGGTATTGTACTTCCTCTGGTACTATCTGCACATTCCGATAAAGCCCTCGCGTCCGTCGTGGAGAACTACGCAGCATTCTTGAGACAAACCCAGCAGACTCTCTGTCTCCGTGACCTGGCGTGGACTTTACACTCGCGGCGATCCAACCTGCCTGTCAAGGCTGCTTTCTCCGGCCTATCCGCCTCCGACATCGCACAGCAGATGCAAGATAGGCTCGAATCGGTCAGGAATACTCCAGGGACGGAGCTTGGTATACGGTCACCAGCTATCGCAAGTAAAAAGCCGTCTCTATTAGGCGTCTTTACCGGTCAAGGTGCCCAATGGCCTACCATGGGGAAGCACCTCATTGAGAATTCAAGAACATTCCGTGAAACTATTGAGCGACTCGAGAAATCTTTGTCTGAGCTCGACGACGGCCCCGACTGGTCCCTCAAGGGTGAGATTCTAGCACAGAAGGCCCAGTCGCGCGTTGCTGAGGCCGCTCTGTCGCAGCCCCTCTGCACCGCCATTGCCATCGCTCTGGTGGATCTACTTCATGCCTCAGGTGTTAGCTTCACTGCCGTCGTGGGCCATTCCTCCGGCGAGATCGGGGCCGCCTATGCTGCTGGTGTTGTGACTGCAGAGGAAGCGATGAAAATTGCGTACTATCGAGGAAAGTATGCCAAGCTAGCAAAAGGCGAACATGGAGCAAAGGGCGGCATGCTTGCAGTTGGCATGGGGTTCAACGAAGCCAAAGAATTCTGTGATCAGCCTGCGTTCAAGTCACGCCTAGGCGTCGCCGCCAGCAATTCTCCCACCAGCGTTACTTTGTCGGGTGACTTGGATGTTGTTCGTGAGGCCAAGGAGCTGCTTGACGCCCGCAAGACGTTTGCTCGGATGCTCCAGGTTGATACTGCGTACCATTCGCATCACATGTTGCCGTGTGCCGACCCGTACGTGTCGTCTTTGAATGCTTCGAGGATTCAACCAAATGAACCTGCAAAGTCATCCTGCAGCTGGATCTCTAGTGTTTACGGCTCCGAGGGTGATCCAACAGCGGAGGAGCTCAGCGCCACCTACTGGAGAGATAACATGGCTCAGGCCGTACTCTTCTCTCAGGCTTTGGAGCGTGCCATGATCGAGTGTGGTCCATTTGATGCCGTGCTAGAGGTTGGCCCTCATCCGGCGCTTAAGGGGCCCGCGTCGCAGACGCTACGGGAGCTCAGCGACGGTCCTCTCCCTTACTTTGGCGTCCTTGATCGCAAGCGCAACGACGTGGTAGCGTTTGGAGATGCGCTCGCCTCTTTGTGGCTTCACTTCGGCCCCTCTGCTGTTGACTTTGAGGGATACGCAGCTGCTTCAGGACCCGAGGATTTACCTCCCCCGAAGCTAGTCAAAGACCTCCCTGCCTATCCATGGGACCACTCACAGATTTACTGGCGTGAATCAAGGCTATCGAGAGAATTCCGGACCAGAGCCTCCCCTCCTCATGAACTCCTTGGCCATCCCTTGCCCGCTGGGTCGTCCGAGGATGGTCTTCGTTGGCGAAACATTCTTCGCATTGAAGAGGTTCCGTGGATTGGTGACCATAGGTTCCAAGGACAGGCGCTTCTGCCGACGTCTGCGTTCTGCTCCATGGCAGTCGATGCAGCTTTGAAGCTAGCAGCAGGTTCTGTGGATCCAGTCGCTGATGGTATCGAGTTGCACGATCTTGTTATCCACAATGCAGTCAGCATCCCAGATGGATCCCAGGGCGTCGAAATAATCACATCGATTCAACGACTCGAGGTCACGAACCATCCACTGGATGCAGAGGTCACTGTTCTCTTTGGTCCCCCTGATGGTAGCAAGGTGCTAAAAAAAGCTGCCTCCGCGCGTGTAATCCTGTTGCATGCGAATTCTGTTGATGAGCCCGCGACTCTCCAGGCAAGGGAGAAGAACCTAAGCTCCATTGACGTGCCCCAATTCTACCAGTCGATCGGTAAGATGGGACTCCAGTACGCTGGCTCATTCACAGGCCTGGAACGGATCAAGCGAAAATGGCAGAGAGCTTCTGCAATTTTCAACAAGCAAATCGCCAATATCAAGCACTTGACACTTGATCCAGCTTTGGTGGAGGGCTGTATCCAAACCGCGTATGCAGCATTCTCGGCACCTGGAGATGCTTCATTGCGGCCTGTCTTTCTTCCACAGAAGATAGAAAGGATGTCGCTACGGCTACCATCAGTATCCTCCTCGGACTCTTGGCTTATTATCGACAGCTTCGTGACAGGCGTGGAAAAAGCAACCCCAAACACGAGTCCCGCATTTCACGCAGATATTGAAGTCGCTGATAGTGTCAGCGGAAAGTTGTTGGTTGAAATTGAAGGAGTCACTATCTCCTCGTTCAGCCCTACGTCTGCGGCTGACGACAGAGAATTGTTCCTGCAGACTGTCTGGAAGCCGGTCGTGAGCGAAGGCCTTTCTGTTGGCAACGAACAACGAAAGGTCGCCAATCAAGCCGCACTGGATATGGAACACCAGTCAATCTTATATCTCGAAAATCTCCTCGCGAACAACTTGTACCTTTCTGGTCATTTGTCGCAGGAATTTGAGTGGTTGCTTCAACTCAATCTGCCAAGTCATTCCAAGGGCCGTCAGCACAACGATGGTGCGGAGGATGTCTCCCATCTGGACGACTTCGAAACACTAAGAGCGGTTGCAAAGAATCTGCCCGAGCTTATACGGGGCCGGCTACCTGGTGCCGACATTGAGCGACAGCTACAGGCGTTTGTGGAGACCAACTCTGTCTTTACACGAATAAAGGTTGGGTTGCATACTCTGATCGACCAGATTGCGCATCGTTTTGCACACCTCAATGTTCTCGAGATTGCCCCGGCACATTTGTCTCCTTCGTTCGATGCCTTCAATGATCTGGTTGAGTCTATTTCATCATACACATTGGTTACCAACTCGCCTTCCAAGGACGTTGCGAAGTATGGCAAGAAGCTCAAGCATATTGGAGTGGAGGCATTACACAGCGACCCGTCCGCCATCGCGTCTGCCCTTAGTGGACAAAAACATGACGTCGTCATTGCTTCATATCTCCTCAACGGTCAGACAGCTTCCTTCAGTGAGGAGGCGCTGCGACAATTCCGGAAGGTCTTGAAGGCAGGCGGCTACTTGGTTCTCGTTGAACCTACTCAGGAATATGTCTGGTCCAGGATCTTCCTAGGTGTCTTACTAGGCTCAGCGAGCAATAGCGATCATGGGAGAGATATTGGACATCATGTCTCTAGCGTGAGTCTAGATGGCTTGTTACGGAAGGTGGGCTTCTCCGGGATAGACTCTTTGCTGCCTCGAGATGCCAATGGACCCGGTGACGCCATATCGTTATTTGTGACTCAGGCTTTGGATGAGACCATCGATCTACTTCGCCACCCATTGCAACCATCTGCTCTGGGAATATTGGATGGTAGACGTGTCCTAGTCGTCGGCGGTAAAACACTGCAGACTTCAAGATTATGGCACAATATTGCCTCTATTCTACGGCCTTGGACAAAGGAAGTCCATTGCATAGAGTCCTTCGAAGCTCTTGAGGAAAAAGACTCGACTGGCATTGCAGGTGCAATCGTTCTGACCGACCTTGATGAGCCAGCGTCCAAACTGCTCACGACCAAATCGTACCAGGCCATTTCCGGACTGTTCGCACAGGCTCCTCATGTACTATGGGTGACGCAGGGTGCGCTGGAAGCCAACCCCGAACAGGCAGCATCAATTGGCCTAGGCCATTTCCTAGCTCAGGAACATTCGTCCGTTCATTCCCAGTTCCTTAACCTCGATACCGTCGAGGAATCTGAGTATAAAATCCTCGGTTCTTTCATGCGACTGTTGATTCCTGGTATACACGACCCGCAAGAGTCCCGTCTCTGGACCACTGAAACAGAAATCTCCGTCAAAAATGGCCGCGTTTTCATTCCTCGTGTTTTCCCAGCTCGGGGTCTGAATGATCGTCTGAACTCACACTGGCGTCCTATCATCCAAAGCGCGAACACCCTGAACGACACAACTTCTTTATCTGCTTCTGGCTCGCTCCATGCCGCGACCTTTACCGCTCAACATTTCAGTTCGTCAAGCTCAGCCGAGAGAAGACCGATTCTTCGCACGACCCAGTCCATCCCTATTGCTATCAATGTCTCAAACGGAATCTATCTCTATCTCTCCGCGGGACAGGTCGACGACGTGGGCGACGTTCTCGCATTCACTGATACTATGTCATCGCGTGCGCCTGCACTTGCAACATGGAAGGTTCCTCCAGCCGAATCTGGCCCAGTTGAACTCAGTAACATCTTAGAGCTGACTGCAAATGTCTTGGTCGCCCAACACATTTTTGATTCCCTTCCTGCGGGAAATTCTGTTCTTCTGGAGCCCAGTTACACTCTTGCGACAATCATCAATGAGTTGACCAAAGGTGCTGACAAGAAGGTCCACTTCTTGACCACTGCAGCGCGTGAAGAGACAGGCAGCGTCACATGGACCACCATCCCCCCTCTTGCGTCTAAGAGACACATCCTTTCGGCGCTTCCACCCTGTCCAAAACTGTTCTTTGACCTCTCACCGAAGCCAAACCGCCTCTCCTCTCGCATTGTATCGTTGCTCCCTGTGGACTGTGCTCTTGTCGGCCCTGGAGAGCTATTCCAGTTGAGCTCTGAAGGCGCAGAGGAAGTCTCGACTCCCTGGCTACAGCATGTTCTACTGACTGTTGCATCATCTGCCGTGAAGCTCTCCCGAAAGGCCACATATCCATCCTCTTCGACTTTGATACTAAGTGATCTACTTGAGCATGGGATTCGAAACGCCAATGCCGTGACGGTTGTCGATTGGACTCAGCAAACAAGTGTACCCGTCACGGTAGAGCCATTGGAACCATCACAGTTCCTGTCACCAGCTGGAACATATGTGCTCATCGACATTGAGCAGCCCTTGATCCAGTCCATTGCTGATTGGCTAATTGCGAACGGTGTGCGGTCTTTGGTCGCTATCAACTCGTGAGCTATCCACATTCTATCCTTGCCGGGACGTTCTAACAATCAAATAGTGACATCGGAGAACGGAATGGTCGAGAGTTACTGGATGAGCTGAAGGTGAAAAGGCTCAAGGTAGATCTTGCCAATCTGCACGACGTCAAAGATGTCTTTGACGGATTGACAAAAGTGACCGGTGTCATCTACGGTGGTGCATCAGCGGCAATGGCCAATTTCGGGGAAGATGACGCTCCGTTACAGACTCTTCAGAATGTGGAGCAGAGTGCACATAATCTGACTACGATCTTGGAGAATCAAGAAGTCGGTTTCTTCATTATCTTGTCTTCCCTCCAGAAAGACAGAGCCCCAGTCAATGCAGTATGTGTCTCTTCCGAGCGATAACTCTTCTGAGTACTTCCCTGCGATACTAATTTGATTCACAGTACTTCACTAGCCTCGCTGCTCATTGGAAACAACGGCGACTGCCAACGGCCGTCCTCTCCTTAGAGTCCCAAGTGCATTCCGACCCGGAGGGTCCATTCACCCACCTCAGCGAGTCAGATGTACACTACGCGCTTACAGAGGCCATATCAAGTGCCCAGTCTCAGAATGACGTGTCCGCGATCTGGACCGGTGTTAAGAGGTTACCTCGTGATATTCCTGCCTCATCGCAGTGGAGCTGGCTCTCAAAACCTTTGTTTGCTCACTATACACAGCGTGAACAGGAAGCTGAACCAGGCAGCTCTCAGGGTGAGGCCCAGAGCATGGTGCAGAGACTTGCAGCCTCCAAGTCCCACGAGGAAGCTTCCCTAGTCATCCAGGAGTTCTTCTTGACACGACTGGCTGTGATGCTGACCCTCAGTCAAGAGAGTCTGAGTTCCAGTAATGATCTCACTAGTCTAGGTGTTGATTCGCTCAGCGCATCGGACATCCGGGCCTGGTTTTTGAAGGAGCTGGACGTCGATGTATCAATCTTGAAGATTCTTGGGGGGTCTACTATTGCAGACCGTATGGTGTCCACTTTTGTTATCTTCTTAATGTCCTCTGCTAACCTGTTGCAGTATGTAATGAAGTTGCTGCTGGCTTGACCCTTCAAATTGGGTCGCAGGAAGAAGCCGAATCGCAACCCGCCGTCAACTCACCCGAGCCAGTTACTGCCGCACCTGTACCTGAACAGCCCACTGTCGAACGCCATGTCGAATCCCAGGAGCCAGTTGTCGAAGCTGCTGTTGTGGCCTCATCGAGCGATTCATCCTCAGAAGGGACAATGACGCCTCCGAGCAGCCGGGGTATTAATACTCCACACACCGAAATCACTAATCTGCAGCTAGAAAGTGTCAAATCGAAGGCCTGCACTGCTGTCCAACGGCGTGAAAAGATGTCTTTCAGCCAGAACCGATTGTGGTTCCCAAGTGCCTACTTGGAACAAGAGACCCCGTTCAACTGTACCACATCATACACCTTGACGGGTCCGCTCGACACTGCGCGTCTTGAGAATGCCTTCCAGCGCCTGATTCAACGACATGAAAGCTTCCGCACCGCGTTCTACACTGACGAAGTGAGTGGTGCGGCCATGCAACGCGTACTGGCCTCTTCCCCATTCCAGCTGCGAACAATGTTGGGAAATAAAGACGACATGCAGCGTGTGTTCCGCCAGATTGCCAACTATCATTTTGATCTCTCTGTCGCAGATACGCTCGTTGCAACGTTGATCTCTCATGGCCCCAAAGACCATACTATTGTCTTCGGCTACCATCATATCATCATGGATGGTGTCAGCTGGCAGATTACCCTGAATGATCTTGCTCGATTCTACGAATCAGATAATCCTGAGCTTCCCCAGCTATCGCAGTATATCGAGTTCTCAGTCAAGCAGCGCCAGCTTGTCAGTAGCGGTGCCCACGATGCCAAGCTATCATACTGGCGAAAGGAGTTTCCGTCCGCACCGCCCTTGTTGCCTTTGTTCCCTTTCGCGAAGGTCGGGGCCAGGAAAGCCCTGACTCGGTACGACACGCTCGACTATATATACGACGTGGACGTCTCCCTTGTCTCCAAGATCAAAAAAGCCAGTCTCGCAGCAAAGACAACGACGTTCCATTTCTACTTGGCCGCTTTTGTGGTTTTGCTTAACCGCTTCTTGGAAATTGATGATGTGTGCTTGGGCATCATCGACGCGAACCGCTCAGATAAAACATTCCTCAACACAGTCGGCTTCTTACTGGATATGCTGCCTTTGAGACTGAAGGTCAACAAAAAAGAGCGCTTTGTCCACACCCTTCGCAATACCCGAGCCAAGGCATATAATGCTCTGGAGCATTCTGGTGTGCCTCTCGAAACTATTTTGAAGGAGCTCCAGGTACCAACCTCGGCGACGAACACCCCACTGTTTCAGGTCCTGATGAACTATCGTATGGGAGCTCTGCGCGCGCCACAGATGGGTGACGCTAAGATGAACTTCCTGGACTACGAGGATGCCAAGGCGCCTTTTGATCTTGCCATTTCTATCGATGAAAAAGATGATGGCACGGGAATGTTGACTTTCTCCATGCAAGATTACATGTATGACTGGGAAGGTGCCGAGCTCCTGGTGAAGACTTATGTTCACTTGCTGGACACCTTAGCGACTGACTCATCCCAACGGATTAACGAGGTGTCGTTATTCGATGAGTCTTTGGTCAACCAGTCCATGGTCGCTGGAACCGGGCCTGTTACTGGTTTGGACTGGGCCGGAACGGAGACAATCTCACAGCGTGTGGACGCCATGACAGCTCAGCGGCCTGACGGTGTTGCGGTCAAGGATTTGAATGGAAAGGCTAGGACTTATGCTGAGACACAAGCTAGAGTTTACGCTCTGGCTTCGTCCCTCCAGCAGGCTGGCATCACTTCTGGTGCGCGAGTTGCCGTGTACTGCGAGCCGACGGTTGACACTGTCGCATTGGTTCTCGCGATCTACCGTGTTGGAGCAGCTTATATCCCTCTCGACGTTCGAAACTCCCATGAGCGACTTGCCGATGTCGTTAGAGAGTGCAAACCAACCCTCATCCTCTACCACGGTGCCACCAAGCACACGCTGGTTGACGTGGCCGGCGATGGTCAGGACGCTCTTGATATTGATACTGTCCCACAGTCGGCAGCACCTATTCCCGATGTTTCGAAGCTCTCCGACCCAGCTGTCATTCTTTACACTAGTGGTTCCACTGGGAAGCCAAAGGGTATCATGCTGACCCACGCAAACCTCTCTCTTCAATTTGCTTCCATCAGCAGTGCTTTGGACCTCACGGACAGAGATGTCGTATTGCAGCAAAGTGCCCTTGGTTTCGATGCCTCCTTGTCCCAGATGTTCATGGCACTGACGAATGGCGGGACCCTGATCCATGGGAGCAACCGTGGTGACCCGGTAGATCTTGCGGCATTGATAGAAAGAGAAGGCGTCACTCTGACACTGATCATGATTTCCGAAATGTCTGCTCTACTTCAGTATGGAAGTGATATCTTGTCTCGCTGCCAATCTTGGCGGATTGCCCTCTGTGGTGGCGAGGCTTTCACGGTCAATCTCCTTCGCAAGTTCCGTGACCTCAATTTGCCGAATCTGGAGCTCTACAACGCTTACGGTCCAACTGAGGCAAGTATTATGTCGTCTCTCGGCAAGGTGGCGTATCGCCGTACGGACTGGGGTGACGGATCCGTTGTCCCTGTTGGACCTCCTCTTCCCAACTACGGTGTGTATGTGCTCGATGAGAACTTCCAGCCTTGTCCTTTGGGGTGGCCAGGCGAGCTGTGCATCTGTGGACCAGGTGTGGCAGAAGGCTATGTCGGCTTGCCGGAATTGACTTCTTCCAAATTCCAACCGGATCAGCTGCGCAAGCCTCAAGGGCCATCATATGATGGTTGGGTCCGGGTTTACCGTACTGGAGACAAAGCTCGGCTTCTTCAAGATGGATCCTTTGTTTTCCTGGGCCGCATGGATGGAGACTCGCAAGTGAAGCTGCGCGGTATCCGGATCGAACTGAATGACATCTCCAACTCAATCGTCAAGACCTCCAAAGAGGCTATTGTGGATGCAGCGACTATTGTCAAGGGCACAACAAGCCAGACTCTGGTTAGCTTCGTGGTTTTTGCGCCGGCCAAGGTGGTGGACCTCGAAAGATCGAACTCATCGGCGTCTGCTTATCTCCGCCAGGTGATTCAGTCCCTGCCTCTACCAGTGTATATGCGCCCGGCGATTGCAGTTCCACTGGAGCGTTTGCCTTTCACGGAACGAGGCAAACTCGATACCAAAGCTCTTGCGGCTATTCCGATTCAGGAGGATGAAGAGACGGTGAATGAAGAGCTGAGCGAAACGGAGCAGAAATTGAAGCAAGTGTGGCAGGATATCTTGTCAGAACAAGGAATGTCGCTTGAGATCCGTCGGCAGTCCGACTTCTTTTCTGTTGGAGGAAATTCTCTCATGTTGATGCGAGTCCGCGCGAAGATGCTGGAGGTCTTTGGTGTCTCGGTGCCGTTGGCCGAGTTATTCCAAGCAAGCACGCTTGAGACACTGGCTTCACGGCTTGATGGAAACAAAACCGCTGAATCAGACAATATTGTGTGGAACGAAGAGACTGCTCTGGATGTCTCACTTCCCCCTGCTATTGCTCATCCTCGGGATCACCCAGAGAAAGACCTATCGGTCATTCTCACTGGCAGCACTGGGTTCCTGGGCCGTGCGATCGTTCGACAGCTTATCGCGGACCCACGGATTTCCACAATTCACTGCCTTGCTGTCCGACCTGGGCGCACGCTACCAGAGGAATTGGTCGGATCTTCGAAGGTGATTGTTTACACTGGAGACTTGGCGGCTAAGCGTCTTGGATTGAGCGCGCCGCAAGCTCAGGAAATATTTTCATCTGCCGCAGCCATCATCCACAACGGAGCTGAAGTTTCCCATATGAAGTCCTATCATTCTCTTCGGCCGACCAATGTGGACAGCACCCGCCAACTTGTCGAACTTGCACTGCGCTCCTCGATCGACTCTGCAGTTCGCACCCCAGCTTTCCACTACGTCTCGACTGCTGGCGTGGGCCATCTTCTCGGGATTCCCGCTTTCCCTGAACAGTCTGTTTCATCGTCCCCACCACCAGTCGACGGGTCGGATGGTTACGTGGCTGCCAAATGGGCCAGCGAGCGGATCTTGGAACAGGCATCGGAAAGGCTCGGATTGCCTGTTTTCATTCATCGACCCAGCAATATCACCGGTCCGGACGTTGGCGACCGCGACATTATTCACAATGTCTGGAGGTGGTCTGAGGTGCTACGAGCGGTTCCTGATCTGGTGGCAGCGGGTGCCAAAGGAGCATTCGACTTTGTGGGCGTGGAAACCTGCGCAAAGGGGATTACTGATACTCTTTTTGTTCAGGCATCCGCCGGACATCTCGCCTACATTCATCAGAGCGGGGAGAACGTGATTCCAGTTGAAGAGTTTGGGGAATGCTTGCAAAGGAACGGGGGAGCAGATGTCGAGTTGGTTCCCTTTGATCAGTGGGTGGATAAGGCTGTGCAGGCTGGATTGGACGATCTCGTTGCCTCGTTCCTGCGCGGGACAAAGGGTGCGTTCCAGATGCCGTTTCTGCCTAAGGGATTGAGGCAGTGATTAGATTTTGATGTATTCTAGGAGAGTGGAAGAATGATTTTGTATAGATCTGCTAGAGTGCTAGATATGTGATGACTCAGCTCCATTAGACTTCCTAAAACGCGTCACTCCACGCGTCTCTCACGTGACTGTTGTTGTTTGTGGCCGTCATCCAAAACAACCTCCGACGGGGGCAACCCACAAGCAAGCAATCATCATCTCCGAGATCGACACCGGCCATTGTTCTGTCCCGACCCGGCTGCATGCAATCAGCCTAGTGTAATTGACCTGTTTTCCTTTTGCTTTCGCTTCGGATTCTGGCCGGACGCTCCATCGCCACTTGTGGCGCTTGATCTAGCTACAACATGGTACGTCGTCAACCGACCGTCCATAACACCCGAAGTTGTGCCTTCACTTTCGTGCCGGAGAGTATGACCGATCAAGGACTCCCTACTAATGCACCTCACCTTAGGTCTCCGGATTCCGACGTCTAGCGGCGGACCATGCGGCCCTACACGACGAACTTCCTCCGAACTACTTCTTCCCGTCCGACGACTCCTCCGCCGATGACCTGACACAGCTGACGACATACCTGGCCGGGCCCCAGGGAACACCGTACTCCCAGGGTCTGTGGAGACTACACCTGAAGATGCCAGACGACTATCCCAAGAGCCCACCGAAAGCCACATTCAAAACGCGCATCTGGCATCCCAATGTGGAGGAGTCGACGGGAGCGGTGTGCGTTGACACGTTGAAGCGGGACTGGAAGGCCACCCTGACATTAAAAGACGTCTTGATTGTACGTTTACATTTCTCAGGAGTGTCGCATGCGCGCTAACCATCTCTATCGTTAGACCATCTCTTGTCTCCTCATCTATCCCAACCCCGACTCAGCGCTCAACTCCACGGCCGGCGCGTTGCTGCAAGAGAACTACGAGGCGTTCGCCCGTCAGGCAAAGCTGATGACCTCTATCCACGCCCCGGTCCCTACCGAATTGAAAGATACTGTCGTGGAGGCGAAATCGCGCGGCGAGGATGCGGGAGCCATGCCCATCCCGGAGGAGACATCAACAACAACAACAACAACAACAACGCGATCTCTACGGTCCCGAAAGGGAGCCCCTGTTCAATCTGTCACGATGAAGAAGAACACGCGACGAACACGCGCACCGTCGCCACCTCCACAAGCGCCCGCAGCAGACCATGCCGACCTAGCCGAGGCAGAGCCCAGCGACACAGACTCGGACGCGGAGACCGTCTCCAACGCAAGCAAAGAAAACGACCCGTCCCTATCGCCGTCGCCGGTCAAATTTGCCCCGCCCAGTCCGCGCAAGAACGCCCTCGGTAAACGCCCACTCTCGGTCCTCACAATGCCGCTGGAGTGCGACCCGGATGACGACCTCGACGAGGACTCCGACGCGGACGGTCCCCCGATGACGGCCTCGGAGAAGAATATCGCGGCCAACGCCCGGCACGCGGAGTCGGACCGCTCGCCGCAGCGCAAGTCGCCCAAGCTGTCGGTGCTGCACCAGGGCGTCAACGCGTCCGGACGCATCCGCGACGACATGAAGATCTTCGAAGACGCCGTGGACATGGTTCCGGCGGACGAGTTTGACCGTCGTCGCAGCGGAGACGGCAAGGAGAACCATGCGTCGTCTTTTGGCGGGGCCAAGACGGGGTCGGCGGCTCGTCGACCCGGTCATGGCCAGGGTGCGGCTGCTCTTGTGCCGTCGGCGGGAACCGTTGGGTCGGGCTCCAAGACGGCGCGGCCGATGCCTGGGACGCGCAAGGTATCGGGATCTCAGGGGAAGAAGCCGAAGCCGCGGATTGGAATCCGGAGGTTGTAGGGGTGAATTTGTTTTCTCATATGGCGTTTGTGAGGACGGGCATCAGGGTAAAACTGCATCTGCATAGCATGGGTGGTTGCATACATCTATTGGAGGGTTTTGGTTGGGTGGTTATTGAATACATAATTCCTTACATGGATTCCTCTACGATCACCATCAGATGCACAATCATCTAGTCATGATGATATTAGTATATTAACGTAAGGAAGGTAAGCGCTAGCGTCGCTATGCATCATTTGGAATAACAGATGGGATTCACCGACAAGGTGTCCCGAAGAAGAAAAAGGCCATTACATTGGATATCCCCCACTACCACGATCAACATTCACCATCGAACCCAAACCCCACAAGCAGCCACTCTTTACAGCAGAACAGCCAGCGCCGCACCGGCGATGAGGCCGACAGGACCGGCGGTGGCCATGGGGACGGCGGCACCACTGCTCGTCGAGGCGGCGGCGCCGGTAGACGACGACTTGGAGGCGGAGGTGCCGGACGACTCCGAAGAGGACTTGGTCTTGGTGGCGGTGGCGGTAGAGGTGCTCTTCACGGCGCTGCTGGAGCGGACCGAGGTCGAGAAGGAGGCACCGGGCGTTGAGCCCTGGGCGCCGGTGGAGGAAGAGCCGCCGGTGGGGATGACGGGGACAGAGGTGGAGAGACCGGTGGTGGAGGGAGCGGTGGGCTGCTCAGTGCCGGAGGCCTGGGATGGGTTAGAAGTTGGGATGGATGGATGGATGGGTTAAGGACGTACCGAGGCGGTGCTAGTCGGGAGGTCAGTCGCGACGCCGGTGGAAGACTGGATGGCAGTGCCGGTGGCAGACTGGACGCCAGACTCGGTGCCAGACTGGGCGGCGGCGAGGGCCGAGAGGGCGAGGACGAGGACGGAGGCACGCATGTTGTAGAGTAGAAGTATAGAGTAGAGTGTGTAGAGTGTGTAGAGTGTAGCGAGTGTATAGAGTTGGATGGAGGTAGTATGTAGTATACAGTACGTAGTATGGAGTGAGTAGTATGTAGAGCGGACGATCAAGAGGACCACGACAACCCTTAAATACTTAATACCGAGAGCAAGAGGATGTTGCTTTCTCAGCCCTGCTGCGAGTCCTGCGTTAGTGGCAATCGCGATCCACCGCGGGAAATAAAGCGCAGTCTAGACGTCTGGGGAGTGTAAGTATCGTTACGATGGTTGCGTATGCATCTATTTTTATTCCGCCCTGGTTACTTCTCGAAATATCGAGACAACAGTCCTCCGTAACAACAAACCCCATGTGGCCATCCACCGATGGCATGTTCCACCGCGGAGCCTAGAATCAGTCCACTGTCCGCCAGACAACGGGACATGTTTCTCGTTGTCTCTCTCTATAAATAGTGGTGGTGTCTCGCCATCCCGTCCGAAGGTGTCTGGTTACCAACCTCCCAACCTCCCAAAAGCCCAGCACAAGGCTGGCTCAGCTAACCCTGTCTCACATCCGCCGTCGATCGCAGGATCGGATGCCACCCAACCCTTCAGCCTCTTCAGGCGTCCATGGGGATGAGTCCAGGCAGGCCGAGGGCCGAAGGAGGGCATTGGTGGCGCAATCACAACAAGAGCTGGACCGCGCCCTGTGTAGGAGGAATGACGGTTGTTCATGTGCAGATTGCGCCCAGGGACCGCCCTCGTTACTGCGTACGTAAACCCATCGTCGGGCACAGCGTTGATAGGTCTCGCGAGCGAGAGTCCACGTACGCATCTGCAAGAGACTCGTCGATCCCAGGGTCACCTAAGACATCACGGGCCCGAATGGGCAATCGGTAAGACTAGTAACCAATTCGTAAGTAATAAAAGTAATATAGTAATATAGTAATGCCTGTCAGCACCCATCGACGAGTTTGTCTGCAAGGATGATTTCTATTTATGTGCTTTCAGGGTCGTCGTGGCTGTTCTGGTGGAGCGGCTTAATCTATGTGAGGTGAGAGAATGCGGGTACCCTTTTCGTGGAGGCCTGCATAGTTAGTAATTAATATCGGCTGGTTATGTTGTGATATTGCGGTATGTTATTTTGTTCCTGCAGGCATCAGTGCACTGCTATGCTAGGTAGTATCCTAGAGGTAAACAACAATATATCTTTCCCTCTTGAAAACCATAGATTATGATCAGCTATAGTACACAGTCCACAAAACAATCACTGCTTCAACGGATCCTCCGCCCGAATCCAATCCGCAAACTGCTTTCTCTTCGCCTGCGCCAGTCAGCCATCCAGCCCAATCTCACACCCCTCCACAACCAATCCCCAGGAAGAAAACTCACCCGCACATCCCAAAACCCATACCGCTCCTCCAGCCGCCGAAACGGGTTGCGCGCACCGCCCTCGCGCTCGATCTGGCCCGCCCACTCGCTCCAACTGATGGGCTTCAATTTCTCCGCACCCAGGACGAGGCCCACGGAGACCACCACCAGCGACGCGAGGGCTTCGACGACGATGTCGTGCGGGAGGGCGGTCGATGCTGACGATACGCGGACGTTGCTGTGTAGGACGGTGTGTTCGTGCGCCGAGTAGCCGCTGTTTAGTGCAGTGGGTGGTTAGTGGGTGGTGAGGACCGGAGCGGTCGAGGTGACAGTGGACTTACGCGTGGGCGAGGAGGACAAGCCCGAAGAAGGTGATGATTCGGGAGAGGAAGCTCATAGTGAGGGGATCTGTCTGAGATTGGGCGTAGATGGTTGGTAATCGACGCAGGAATATGAGGTAGCTGGACAGCTGTCGTAGAGGTTGGTAGCTCAGGACTTCGGGTGACCACGGCTACCATTAGTGCAGTGCCCCGCCAAGCAGCATCACTGTAGTGACCTACGTATGATCAGTATGCGTCCACATATTCCGCATAATTGACTGAAATTGCTGTAAATGTTGCATTATCTACTCAGGCAGAACCCCAGTCACTTAAAACTCCTACAATCTTATCCTTATGGGTATTTTTTTATATTCGTCAAACCGGTAGCCGGTTATTCTAGTATTTCATGACAGATAACATCAAATCCTTCATCACGCCATTGCTCTCATGACTGGACGTTTCATTTAAATCTTCTGCATAGCAGCAACATCGGTGGACTGGACGTGGTCCTCGTCCTCCTCGATCTCCTGCTGGAGCTCGTCCAGAGAGATCTTCTCGTCCTCAATGACGATGTTGATCTGGAGCTTCTTGATACCGTAGCCAATGGCAACGAACTTGGAAGCACCCCACACGAGGCCGTCCTTCTCGATGGCACGGACGTTGGCCTCCAGCTCCTCAAGGTTGGTCTCGTCATCTACATTCGTTAGTATGGTTCCAGATAGATAAACAGGGACATGGGACGGAACATACCCCAGGGCTTGACCTCCAGAGTCACCATGGACTTGGCAACGGCCTTGGGCTTGGCCTCCTTCTTCTTCCGGTACTCGGCCAGACGAGCCTCACGCTGCGCAACGACCTCGGGGTCCTCCTCCTCCTCGTCGCTGCCGAAGAGGTCCATGTCGTCATCCTCAGCGGGCTTGTCCTTGGGGTTGGTGGGGAGCTCGGTGGACTCGGGGCCGTAGGTGGTGTAGGCCTTGGAGGCGTCACCGGGGAGAGAGGAGAACTCCGACTCGTAGGAGGCGATGTGCTTGTACCAACGGGCAACGTTGGGGTACTTGTCGGCGTCAGGGGCGCCAGAGAAGGCCTTGAAGGTCACGACATCGGCCTGAGAGGGAGCATCGCTGAGGGATTATTAGCCAATGCCATGGTATACGTCGAGTGACAATCAAAATAACTCGAAACAAAACAACAATGACATGTACTCCTGATCAGAAACGCGATTTCTCGCAAAGTTGTGTAATCTTGCAGCGGGGTCTTAATCCGCCTCATAAACACGGACCAATTTGCTTTCATCATAAAACAGGAACAACAAGCTAACAATGAAGGTCGGGGAAAGAAAAGGGGGTTCTTACCCAACAACGTAGCTGCGGCTAGCAAAGTAGTTGTTGGCCACTGAGGGGTCCAATTAGTGCCTGAAAGTACAGAAGACGGGGGAGAAAACTGAAAACAAGAAAGAGAAGGACATACGAGTGAGGCCAGCCTCGGAGACAAAGTCGGTGAAACCCATTGTGATTGTGTGTGAAGGGGAAGAGATGTGTTGTGTGGGAGAAAAAGGAGAGGAAGAAGAGGAATAAATAGGAGGGGAAGAACAGGTGTGGAATTTTTTTTCATGGCGCCAAAAAAGCCCCTCAGCAACCCGCTGTGGAGGCACGTGATCGCAGCGAGCATTGGGTTTGGCTCAATGACTAAGCTATAAATCAGGTGACCTCGCCGAAATGGTTGGTTCATGATATCATCTTCCCGCGGCTCCCATAGATCGTCCTAGAAGCATCACGAATCACTGCGTCCCTTCTCCCGCGCCGGGGGCAAACAGCTCATCGTGGTACTAAAGCTCATCAGGGCGACACTCGATCGTGTGGAGCTTTCCTCGGTAGGTATATCTTGCGCGTGATGTTCCCCAGATCTCCAGGTTAGCAATTCGGCCGACACTCACTGTACATACATAGAGAAGCATCGCAATAAATATGGCATCACGACTACAAGTCACTCGGAATCGACTCCTAAGAGCCCCATTACTATCCTCCATCCGTGTTACCCATCCTACCCGCACCCTCCGTCTGCTCCCGCAAACCCGCCTTCTTCCCCCTCTCGCTGTCGGTGTCACCCATTGCCAGCCGCTATACGCAATTCGCAACTATGCAAACGGACGACCCCATCCGCCCGGTGGAACGCACCGGATGAACCTCGGTGGCGAACCAGAAAAGTCAGCACTGGAACAGTTTGGCGTGGACCTGACGGCGAAGGCCAAGGCGGGCAAGCTGGATCCAGTCATTGGACGAGATGCGGAAATCCATCGAACCATTCAAGTCCTCTCGAGACGGACGAAAAACAACCCCGTCCTCATCGGTGCGGCTGGTACCGGAAAAACGGCTGTCCTCGAGGGTCTCGCCCAGAGAATTGTGCAGGGAGATGTTCCGGAGAGTATCAAAGACAAGCGGGTCATCTCGCTCGACCTGGGCTCGCTCATCGCCGGTGCCAAATTCCGCGGTGACTTTGAAGAACGCCTGAAATCCGTGTTAAAAGAAGTCGAGGAAGCACAGGGCGGTGTGATCTTGTTTATCGACGAACTCCACACTCTGCTCGGTCTAGGGAAGGCCGAAGGCAGTATCGATGCGAGCAACCTCCTCAAGCCTGCCCTGTCCAGAGGCGAGCTCCAGTGCTGCGGTGCCACGACTTTGAATGAATACCGCCTCATTGAAAAAGACGTGGCTCTCGCCAGACGATTCCAGCCCATCCAGGTTGGAGAACCTTCTGTTGCGGCGACGATATCGATCCTGCGTGGTATCAAGAACAAATATGAAGTCCACCATGGTGTCCGAATTACCGACGCCGCCTTGGTCGCGGCGGCAACCTACAGCAACCGATACATCACCGACCGGTTCCTTCCTGATAAAGCTATCGATCTGGTGGATGAAGCCGCCTCGGCTCTCCGCCTGCAACAGGAATCAAAGCCAGACGTGATCCGAGAACTGGACCGTGATATCACCACCATCCAGATTGAGCTCGAGTCTCTCCGCAAAGAGACAGATATCAGCAGTCGCGAGCGGCGGGAAAAGCTCCAGGAAGATCTCAAGGCCAAGCAGGAGGAGGCCGCCAAGTTGACCGAAGTGTGGGAGAAAGAGAAGGCCGAGATCGAGTCCCTCAAGCGTACCAAGGAAGAGCTGGAAACCGCTCGCTTCCAGCTTGAACAGGCGCAAAGAGAAGGAAACTTCGCCAAGGCCGGAGAGCTTCGGTACTCCACCATTCCAAGCCTCGAGGCCAAGCTGCCGAAGGAAGGCGAGGAACAAGGCGCAACGCCTCAGACGAGTCTGATCCACGATTCCGTCACTGCCGACGATATCGGAAATGTTGTATCCCGGACGACCGGAATTCCGGTCAACAAGCTCATGGCTGGAGAGGTTGAGAAACTGATCCACATGGAAGATACGCTGCGGCAGTCAGTCCGTGGACAGGATGAGGCTCTCGCGGCAGTTGCCAATGCGGTCCGCATGCAACGCGCAGGTCTCAGCGGAGAGAATCGACCTCTTGCATCTTTCATGTTCCTTGGTCCTACTGGTGTTGGGAAGACAGAGCTGTGCAAGAAGATGGCGGAGTTCTTGTTTTCAACCGAGACTGCTGTTGTGAGATTCGACATGAGCGAGTTCCAAGAGAAGCATACCATCAGTCGCTTGATCGGTTCGCCAGCGGGCTATGTGGGCTACGATGATGCGGGTCAGCTCACCGAGGCTGTGAGACGCAAGCCGTACGCTGTCCTGTTGTTTGACGAGTTCGAAAAAGCACACCGTGACATTTCGGCGCTCCTGCTGCAAGTTCTGGATGAGGGATTCCTCACCGACTCCCAGGGCCACAAGGTGGACTTCCGTAACACGCTTATTGTGCTGACCTCCAACCTCGGTGCCGACATCCTCGTAGGTGCGGATCCCCTTCACTCTTTCAAGGATTTTGGCGACGAGGAGCTCTCTCCTGAGATCAAGAAGGCCGTTATGGACGTCGTGCAACACGCATATCCTCCTGAGTTCCTCAACCGAATTGACGAGTTCATCATCTTCAAGAGGCTTTCGAAAGAGGCTCTTCGGGACATCGTGGACATCCGACTCAAGGAACTCCAGTCGAGGCTGGATGACCGACGGATGGTGCTGCAGGTTGATGACGAGATCAAGGACTGGCTGTGCGAGAAAGGTTATGACCCCAAGTACGGTGCTCGCCCTCTCAACCGCTTGATCGCCAAGGAAATTGGCAACAAGCTCGCCGACAAGATCATTCGTGGCGAAGTCACTTCTGGACAAACGGCCCATGTCTCCTTCAATTCCGATAAGAGTGGACTCCCTAGATCACGCCAAAAGGCGCAAAAATCCCAGGATCCCACAGAATCTGAAGAACCGTAAACATTCTTTCCCCTGATTTATGTCGATCTCTTTTCCTGCGTTTGTTTGAGATGGCTTTGGTGGGTTTGGGCGACTGAAAAATATGATTGCATCCTCACTCATGTGTACACTTCATTGTCTCCTCTTTTGTATTATAGCTGCATTGTTGGAGTATGTCTATAAAATAATAATTGTACATTTGCATTACCAAAACATTTGATCGATATACAAGATGGAACCGAATAAATGATCGTAGAGATTTGAGGCCTGAGGCCCACTCGTGTTTGTATAGATTGCCTCCACGTTATGCATCACTACTCTTCGACCTACACCTCACCCACAGGAACTACAGCTGCTCGAACACCAACCCTCCAGCATGGAGCCAGTCACGAAAAGAAGACGAACAGCCTCTCCTCCCTATATCACCCCTCACACCTCCAATTCCAGACGAATCTCGAGGAACGATGGACGATCCATCACCGTCGTTCCGCCCGCAAGGTCACAGCGAACCTCAACACCCAGACCCCCAACTAGCAGTGTCATGGAAAATCCCATTGTTAACCGTGGGGAGCATTCAACCGATGATGACTTTGAGCAGATCATCGTGGCCATCGACATCAGGAATTCGGGCACCGTTGGCTGTTCATATTACTCGGCACAGGAAGAGACACTCTATCTCTTGGGCGACCTGCAATCTGCCGGTGCAGAATTAGTGGATAGCTGTTTGTACTTGGTTTGATCAAATTTTGCTATTGACTGACAGTGTCTAGTGGTTCTCCAGACGAAGCCCACGGTGCTCCTGACTTCACCGCGCGTGGATTCTGTGGATTCGCCGAGTAACAGAGGCCTCGGACAAGACGCGAGTAAGGAATGACATGATAAAGGCTCTACTCGTGCTAACGGTTTCCATTCAAGACACCCATTCGTACCTCCCTTACCAACTCGATGCGCGGCCTTCCCAAGAGTTCAACTACGTGAATGCAAGGAACAAGCTTGCAGCGTTGGAGATATCGTCTACGCACGAGAATCGGATCAGGTTCCTGGTGCCGCACAATGGTCTGGTGGATACCGAAGAACTGGACACCGACAACTTAGACTTCACCCTGCAGGAGGGAAGACTGTTGCACATGGCCAGTTCCATCGACATGGCTAATGCGGTAACAATCGGCTGTGCTGGTGCAGTCCTTACCCACCTACAACGACGGAGGGCGACAATATCAGAGTCCAGTGACCAATCTTGCGGCGTCTTTCGAGTGAACTCCATCGAGATGTTTTGCTTGACTGGGACCATGTAAGTATTCGTCACACCCATCCAGGACCACGGGGTATTCACGCTGGGAAGGTTCGTCAATGCAAGGACATTGGTAGCCCTCCAGATCATGGAGTCCGAATCGCACCCTAGTGCCATCAACCAAGGGCCGGGAACAAAGTCCTCCAGAGCTAAGGAAGGCTTGTCTGTTTATGGACTATTTCAACGTTTCGCCCATACGCCGCAAGGTAGAAACAGGCTCAAGCAGATTTTCCTTCGTCCAAGCATTGAGTTAGACGTGATCCGTGAACGACACGCCTTCATCAGTGTGTACCTGCGTCCCGAAAATTACAACCCCCTTGAGAAACTCGTGAAAAGTTTGAAGCACATCAAGAACCTGCACTATGTCATGGTCAACCTTCGCAAGGGCATCAGCACTGGAAGTGGGAAGATTACGGGGTTCAAAACCACAGTTTGGGCGACTCTATTAGCTGTGCGCCATTTATTGTTTTTCATGAACGGGATGCAACTGATTTTTTATAGTTTGCTTTCTACGGGATCGATATTCACGAGGCTCTCAAAGAGACTGTCGGCGGAGATGGACTAGGATTGCAACGAGCGGCAAGTGTTATTGCTCCCGGTACATGCGGATGCTGATTAGTTACCAGGCTCTTCGGGCTTTTGAAGCAGCCCAACTGTACAGAGTTGGGAGGATGATCCAGGAGATAGTAAGAAACCTCACACCCTCTTCAATTACATAGCTGAATAGTCCAGGTGGATATCGATGGCTCCGAGGAGCAGGGAAGAACGGTCGTAAAGCCAGGACTGGACAGAGAGCTTGATAAGATGAAAGACAACTATGACGGTCTGAGCAACCTACTGAAGCAAGTTGCGATAGAGATTGCGGCCACTATCCCAGAGAGCCTGGACATCGACGTAAACGTGATATACTTTCCTCAGCTTGGCTTCAACATCGCCATCCCCTTGAATGATAGAGGAGAAGCAGCCTACGATGGCACTCGTGAGGGCTGGGAGCCCGTGTTCATCACGGAAAACCGAGCATATTTCAAAGATTTTCGGATGAGAGAAATGGACGAAACACTGGGTGATATCTATGGGCTTATTTGCGGTACGTTCAAGCCAGCATCTCTGCTACTCTTGCTGATGGACTGTCACTGCCGTTAAGAAAAGGAGATCGAGATTGTCTATGACCTGGCACAGAGAGTGCTTCAGTACGAGAAAGTGCTCTTACAGGCCTCCGATATATGCGGACAGATCGACAGGTCAGCAGCCTATGCGCGTTTACTACAGCAGATGTTTGACACGCACTAGTCTCATTGCAATGGCGCAAGCAGCGAGCTTCTACAAGCTGGTATGCCCTAACATGGTGCAAGAGAATATCATCAAGATCAGTGGAGGCCGGTGAGATGCCCTAAGAATGACTTCTGAGCTTAGCTAACTGGCAGATAGGCATATCCTTCAGGAATTAACGGTTTCATCATACGTACCAAATGATACTCTCCTCATGGGAGGGAACTCTGATTCAGTAAACCATGCTCCTCGTGATGGTATGGGGGTCCATACCCCACGAGTAGTAGGCTCCGAAAGAGCTCCGAATATGCTGCTATTGACAGGACCGAACTACTCTGGGAAAAGCGTCTACATGAAACAAGTAGGTAATATCATTGAAGGTGGTGCAGCTAAGAGCTAAATGTGGGACAGGTAGCTCTCATCACCTATCTGGCCCAGCTAGGGAGGTATAGGACCTAGATATGACATCTACGCTCAGACGAGCTGACAGCAATAGTTTCGTCCCCGCAGATAATGCCGAGATTGGCATTACTGATAAAATCCTGGTGAAATCCAATTCCGAAGACAGTGTCTCCCAGGTACCGAGGATGCTAGCGCACAAATGACTTGCAAGATGTGCTTATCCTCGCAGATCCAGAGTACCTTCATGAACGATCTGCAGCAGATATCATTCGACTTGAAGCAGGCCACGAGCCGTAGCTTATTGATCATTGACGAATTCGGCAAAGGCACAAATGAAAGTGGTTAGTCTTGGGCATTTTATCCACTGCATTCAATGCTGAATACCGCCATAGACGGGGTCGGTCTAGCATGCGGTATCTTCAATTACTTGCTGCAATGCGAAGAGCCACCGAAAGTGATCGCCTCAACACACCTCCATGAAATCCTGGAAAATGGATTCCTCGAGTTAGGTCCTCGACTTCAACTTGGACATATGGAGGTCAAGATCAGCGAAGATTCTCAGAATGCAGAGGACCAAATCACTTACCTCTACAAGTACGAGATGCCCAACAAACAAGAGCCATACAGCTCCGTAAGCTAATGGTATTTCTAGCTTCCGCTTGGGCCCCAGCACCAAGAGTTTTGGAACTATGTACGTCTCGAAACCCCTGGCACGCATGAGACGGTCTAATGAATATCCTATTTAGCTGCGCGGCGATGAATGGGATTGATCAGCGAATCGTCGCTCGCGCAGATGAGCTTGCATCTCTTGCTGCACGTGGAGAGAATCTAGTCGCTGCCTGTGCAATCTTATCTGAGAGTGAGATGCGTACATTGGAGGAAGCGGTATGAGCGCAATCCCCGTGTTTTTCATAGATTTCACCCTAATTGGAATGGTGCTCAGGAGCAACTGGCCAGAAAGTTCCTGGCGCTTGACTTTTCAGATGGCAAGAGCGGCAATGACATCCGCGACGAACTAAATCGTCTATTCGAGGTACCGGAGTGACGTCGACAAGCTTATTCTGCGTTCTGCTTCTATACCGATATACAGGTCGACACTTTGATGGCTCACGATGATGGTTCCAACGAGCTTGTCTTATGTATTATATGCATGCCCACGTGCTTGTGTTGCTATACTGCCAATTTTAAAAACCAACAACACTATTATTGGCTCTATCCTCTTCGCCAAACCATTTAGTACATCTGATGCGCCGCAGTCTTCCGCAGTAAATGCCGCCTTCCTTTTCAGGATGCGTGCTGATTGAACTGTAGACGTTGCGCCATAAAAGTTGATTTTGGCGAAACGACGACTCTCTCCACAGTTCTACCATGCTGGGGAAGGGGGATTCCCGCGTCACATCGGCGCAGGTGTACGCCGATGGGACGGTAGTCTTTTCGAAGGCTATCTATGGCCGTGTGAAACTTCCGCCCAAGGCTGGTATGAGACCGCATAATCCGTAGGCTGTGTGATGTGAACTGGACTATTGATCAGCCCCCAAGTTTTAGAAATGGATGCTCCATCAGTTCGCGAGCTGTCTTCCTCTCCTCCGGGAGCCAGTTGAGCACTTGTCGAACGAAAGACAACAAAGCCTCTTGATCCTTCTCTTCGAGGAATGAGGTTGTGTCCGCTAAGCTTCGGCGAGGGATCAATTCATTATGGAGAAATTCATCTTGCACGGTCAGTATTTCAGGTATTGACGCATGATATAGTTGGTCAACCCACCTTCTGCGTTAAAGAAAGGCCCATCAAAGAATTCTCGGGCATTATTGCAGAGTTCTCCTGTGTCATTTGTGACAGGCTCAGGCCAGTTGTGCTCTGACATGGCCTTCGATTTCGCTAGCAATACCTTTGGGGGCGGGCCGAGCAGGGCAATCATTTCCGCAAGATGCGACTTTGCGTCGTATTGGCCCTTGGCGTCATATACCTGCTGGAACAGCTCTTTGCTCCCAAGAATATTCCACAGCTTACCAAACAGGATGGTCAGCCCTAGGCCCACAGAAGAAAAGGAAACAAAAGCCTGTTGTATAGACCTGTTGGAAAACAGTTACAGGAGTCTTACCAACACCCCAAAATTCCATATATCTGCCTTGAAGTCCCAACCGCAGCCAAGTATTACCTCCGGAGCACGGTAATAATCCGGTTGGATAGGATAAATACCAAGATGCTCCCCTGCCATTCCGTCTCGAGTGGAAGGCTGGTCGAGCCTTGTTGCGAGCCCGAAGTCAGTCATTTTGGGAACCATGTTTTTGATTTCTCTGGCGTCAAGAGCACCAAAGTCATTATGGCAGCGGTAGATAGTCCGGCCACTCTCGCCATCAACCTTGTGTTGCATCTGTTGCTGTTGCTGTCGTTCAATGAAGTTGGTGAGTATGTTTTCGTTTTCAAAGCTCATAAGGATATTTCCCAGCTTTAGATCTGTCACGTGGTTAGGTCTTTATACTTCAGGTATACAGCAGAATTGCTAAAAGCGAGTGACTCACCAGTGTGAACAACTCTACACTCGGTGTGAAGATAATCAAGGCCAACAAGGAGAAAGTAGATATAGGCCTTCGCAATGGGCAAAGGAAGCTGGCGATCAACGAAACGCCTCTGTAAGATCCAGAGAGGCTCTCTCATCGGTTCGTACACGAGGCACATGTGCTTTCCTGCCGGACCTGCTACTTTGAAGTCATCTAGGCGTGTGCGCAGAATCACACGGCCACGATGCTCTGAACTTTGCTGAGTAATATGGTCTTCAATCTCCTTCTCATGACGAGCATCATCGGCATCATTGCTGTTGATTATCTTCAGGGCCACTGTGTGTTCAGATTGCCATTTGAGTCTCGCGGAAGTCAACACGAAATACAGAGAGACACGCGATCACGGGCGCGGGTACCTTGAAATGTCACGGGCGAGCCACACGGTCGACTGTGATCCCCAGCCAATTTTGACAAGTAGTTGGAATTTCTCGGCCAGCACTTCCCCAGGCTTTGCTGGATAGAAATTCGCCGAATCGTAGCCAGGACAAAGCTCCTCGTCGACAAATTCCTGCTGAGGAATTGGAGGTCCTGAATTGGGCGGTAACTGCCAGAGCGACTTTTTGGCAAAGGAGAATATAGTACGCCGTGATACCAAGGTTAGCCGCCGAAGATGTGACATTAGGCCATCCAAGCATGTTTGGAAGGCCCTGGAGAGGAAGCTGAATCCCCTATTGAGCCCAGGTTTGGTTGTAACATGACTAAGCACATACATCCACGCTCCAAAAGTACCTACCCCGGTGTCAATACGGATCTTGTTATTGGACTAGTCCAGGTGCTCCATGCATGGAAGTTATGTATCCCGTCCTGTAGGGTCATCCACAGAGTTCAAGTGGCAGAATCTGTAACCTGTTGCAGTATGGTGTATTGAAGTAGACGACTCGGATAGCACTAACTCAAGCTGTCAGAATGAATTCGGGACATGCTCCAACTCCCTATACTAGTAAGTGAAAAGCGAGGCGACTAGAAAAGAAGTATGTATGTATACAAAAATTGCCTTTTTATATCACACTTTGAACGCCGGGGACACGCATCGCAACATCTAGAGCTTAACACTCTTGACCACGTTCTTCTTGATACCAGTAAGCTCACCACCATATCCACCAGGACCTTCTCCGCCCTTGTAGATTTGGCGGATGCTACCCAGCTTCTTCTTCTTCTCCTCGAATCTCTTTCTCTTCTTGACACGAGGATTGCGGGAGTCCTTATTGCGCTTGGGAGCCAGGCCCTTGTTCTTCTCGATCTGGTACGTGATGGCTCTCTTGCCATCCGGTCCGATCTCCTCCTGGACCTCCACATGACCTCCCTCACGAGCAGCAGCAGCATAGGCTTCGGCACGAGCCTTCTTCTCGTCCTTCTTCTGCTTGGAACGTGCAGCCACCATGTCGTAGTAATCATCGTCGTCGGATTCTCCGCCGCGGAGCTCATTGGCCACCCGGTGGTCTTCGTCGTCACTGTCTCCGCCGAGCACTTCAGATCCCTTGGGCTGTTGTCTACCACGCTTCTCGGCCTCGGCGTTCAAGCGAGCCTGGCGATCCTTCAGACGTTCGCGGTAAGGTAGATCCGCATCACCTCCAGCATCCCGGCCGGCGGCACTGCGCTTGTTGGCCTTCTGGGCCATCTGCGAAGTATAGAAGCGAAGGGAGCGTTTCTGCTTGGCCTTCTCCTCGGCTTCCTTGGCAGTAAGCGCATCTTCGTCGCCAAAGTCGGAATCGTCCGAATCCTTCGCGGATAGCCCGGTCTTCTGGACGACACGTTTCTTCCCCGGCGCTGCGACGAGGTTCGACAGATCTGCCAGATTAGCTTCCGTCTCCTTGAGTCTCTCCGCCCTCCGGGCCTCGGCCTCGGCCTGTGCGGCTTGAGCAGCGCGCTCTGCCTTGGAGAGTTTCTTGTTCTTCTTGCGCTCGTCAGAGAGCTGGGGCTCCTTGGTCTTCTTCGATTGTTTCTTGGGAGTCGGGGCGTTTTCAGGTGACTTGGTAGTGGTGTTGTCGGGCTTGTTGTTTATTTCCGGTGTTTCGGGAGCAGTGAGGTCTTTCACGGATTCCCAGAGCTTCCTAAATTTAACCAAAGAGGCCATAATGGGATGTGAGCGCATTTGGGCAGGCGACAAAGGTCCCGGCTTCCCATTCGCATCATTGCCAGATGACAAAAGCATGAAATACATGCTGATTGCACCCAGATAGGAAGACAGCGCACGGAATTTGATGACAGCAACAGGGGCAGGACGGATGTCGTCCTCGGCTGTCGTCTTGGGAGCAGCTTTGGCAACCTCCGCAAGTGATTTATGAGTTGCTTGAAGATCGGTGAAGTCTTTCGCCAATGGCTCAAACTCCGGGTATCTCGATTTCAGGATCTTCAGTTTCTCCTGTTCGCCCATTTCATCTGTGATCTCCAACTGCGGCAAGACTTCCGTTACCACGCCGGTCTCATCTTTGCCGTCGTCTTCGTCCTTGCCCGTATCAGCCCACTCTGATTCGTCAAAGCCGAAGTCTGCCTCATCCAACGTCTCGAGGTGTTTTTTCTGCAGCCGTTTGGCTTCCTGCTCTTCCTCCAAGGCATCCGCTTCTGTTTCGATTTGATCGGCGTTATAGAAATCCTTCTTCGAGGAGCCCCAGGCAGCGAGGCCGCCCTCATCCTCCTCCTCCGAATCAGCCCCGCCACGACTCTTCTTTTTAAAACCTAATAATGCGTCGTCGTCATAATCGTCCTCATCGACTTCCTCATCATCGACGTCGTCTTCGTCAACCGACTCGTAACCGAGAATTTCCTCGTCAGAAGCCTGGAGCACTTCCTCTGAAACAGCCCACGTTAGCAATTATAGCGACGACAGAATGGCACATGCAACTAACCATCTTCCACGAGTTTCCGCCGGCGTTTTGCGTCTGGAGCCTCCTCCAGAAGAATGTGATCTCTGCCAGCCTGAAATTCATCTTCGGAATCGTCGAATCTCTCCTCGATGTCGAATTTGGTTGGTTCCTGCGCCGTCGCATTTCTCGCGGCCGGGCGACCACCGGCCTTTCTCTTCTTACCCATAACTGAAGCGGCGATGGAGGGTATGCTGTCGATGCGACTGTTGAATTTGATAAACTTCAGAGATAAAATTTTGGGAGGGACGCCTCACCGCCTTGGGACGCTAGACCCGATGGGTGGTGTTTGCGCTGTTTGCTGTAATACCATATTTGTAAATAATTGCCATTTTTCATCGGCTATACAGCGTTTACGGTTACTTGCGTATTGATATGTATCCATCAAGTCTTCCCCTTTTGAAGTGCCATCACTTCATCCTCGCGTCCTCCCCATCGCTCTCTATTCTTCACCTCCATCTCTCATGTCGGCCATACTGTCGAAGCTCCCCTACGACGTCTCTCCCTCCACGCTGGGGATCTCTGTCCTCCTGAGCAGTCTTCTTCTGTACGGAATCAGCAAGATGTTTGGGTTCAGTGCTCGCAACGAATTCATCGTCGATGGCCGGGTATGATGTTCTGACTTGAACGCTATGTGTTTCTCTCTGACTTTGGATCCTCAACAGACGGTTGTCATCACCGGCGGCTCGGAGGGAATGGGCAAAGCGGTCGCGTGTCAACTTGCCGCCAAGGGTGCCAACATTGTAATCGTTGCACGTACTGTACAAAAGCTCCAGGGTGCCATTGAAGATATCAAGGTGAGTATCTGTCCTTCATACTCATCGGTCGATGACACTCACCACCCTAGCGCTCGGCTGTGGACCCCAGCAAGCAAAAATTCCACTTCATCAGTGCCGACCTGACCAGCGCCCTGGAGTGCGAGCGAGTCATCCAGGAGGTCACCCAATGGAACGACGGCCGCGCTCCTGATGTAGTCTGGTGCTGCGCGGGCTACTGCAACCCGGGTTTCTTCGTCGAGACCCCCATGCAGACCCTCCGGGACCAGATGGACACGGTGTACTGGACTGCCGCCAACACCGCCCATGCCACTTTGGCGAAGTGGCTTGCGCCGGCTCAACCGGAGGGTCAGGCTGCACTTCCTCGTCGTCATCTTATCTTCACCGCTTCTACGCTTGCCTTCTTCCCCATCGCTGGTTACGGACCCTACTCCCCTGCCAAGGCTGCGATCCGGGCGTTGTCGGATACGCTTAGCCAGGAAATCGAAATGTACAATGGCAGCCGTCAGTCCAAAACCGCGGGCAGTTCCCCTGCTGCGGATGTCAAAATCCACACGGTCTTTCCCATGGGGATTCTCACTTCTGGGTTTGATAAGGAGGAACAACTGAAGCCCCAATTGACCAAGCAGCTGGAAGAAGCTGATAAGCCGCAAACCCCGGAAGAGGTCGCCCGCATTTCGATTGAAGCCCTGGAGCGGGGCGAGTATCTCATTACCACCATGTTTGTTGGGCATATCATGAAAGCCAGCGCGTTGGGAGGCAGCCCCAGGAACTCGATCATTCGCGACACCTTGACCAGTTGGCTCACTAGCTTGGCGTTCCTGCAGGTGATCCCTGACCTCCGTAAGAAAGCGTGGAACTGGGGTGTTAAGTATGGCATTCCGTCGTCTGACGGGAAGTAGGGTGCTTGGTCTGTATACGGCTTTGTGCGGTGGCTAGTTAGATACCCTATTAAATAATTATTCTGTAAATAACATTCTCGCGTCTCCTGGTATGAGACATGCGAATATATCATGAGTGACATGATATATTTGGCGGATATATATCGATGAGGTGGAGACAAGCGTTTTTCGTACCAAGCATCTTCCTTTGTCTAATTGAGTCTAATATTTTAGTTCAAGCCTAACATCTACTAGTACGTCGATAGAATGATTTACAGGTAGTAGTATGTCGAAGGACTGACATCATCGATGAGAGGCGCTAAGGAGCAAGGAATGCGGCGAGTCTGACCGCAAACGGCCTCGATCGCGACGACGATGCGACACTCTTCGCCCCACCAACTATATATTGACGTGGATCTATTTGCTTTGTTTCACCTTTTCGCACTTTGCAGCCTCTTCCTCAGCATGCGCTGGTGATCCAATACAACTGACACATCTCTACGAACTACACCATGGGCGCATTCTTTTCCCTCCCCGTCCTCTCTCTATTCCTCGTCCCCACGATATCCTCCTACAGCACGAGCCTCAACCTGATTTTCTTTTACATGACATGGACGACCCTCGTGCTGTCGCATCCACCCCTGCGGGTCGAATTGTTCGGCACCGCGATGGTGCGCCTGCTCTTCTACCTGCTCCCATCGCTTCTCTTCTTCCTGTTTGACATCCTGACCCCCTCCGCCGCGGTCGTGGTCAAAGCACAGGGCGAAGCCGGTCTGCCGTCGGGCAAGAAGCGCGGCAAGATCCGGCTGAAAGAGCTCAAGGTCGCGGGCTGGGCCATCGCGAACCTGGCGCTCAGCATCGCCGCGCAGGCGGCCATCGAGGAAGCCCGCACACGACTCTTCGGCCTGCACAGCGCGCTCAAGGTCTCCATGCGCCTGCCGCTGCCCTGGGAGATCGTCAAGGACATGTTTTGCGGACTACTGGGGCGAGAGGTGCGCCCGCCTACCTACCTGCCTAGCCGTCCAAGTGGAAACTGACTGACTGGATCCGCAGGTCCTCGCGTACGGCATCCACCGCTACGTGCTGCACGCAAAGCGCCGCTCGCGCCTCACCGACTCCCACGCCGCCTGGTACCACGCGCTGCGCGCGCCGTTCCCGCTGACGGGCCACTACGACCACCCGCTCGTGTATCTGATTGCCAACTTCGTGCCGACGTATCTGCCCGCCATGCTCTTCCGCTTCCACATGCTGACGTACCTGCTCTACCTGGCTATTATCTCGATCGAGGAGACCTTTGCCTTCTCCGGGTACTCGGTGATGCCGACGAATTTCTTCCTGGGCGGTCTTGCGCGGCGCACGGACATTCACCTGCTCAGTGGGGCGGAAGGCAATTATGGCCCGTGGGGGATTTTGGACTGGGTTTGTGGGACGACCGTCGGGGATGAGGAGGACGAGGAGAACGAGGAGGGGGCCCAGGAGGATAGTGTTGAAGAAGAGATTAGGCGGTTTGTTGAGGAGGCGAAGCGGAAGAGGAGGGAGGGTCAGCAGCGGCTGCGGAGACGGCGCAGGGAGGATTATTATTCTTAGGGTTCCATGTATTTAGGTCTGATATATACGGAGTACGGAGTACTATATTATTGTTGATGTGCTACTGGAGTCGCTTTGGAGCTGAGCAGGTCGCTCGGAGTCATGGCATAAGGCTAAAAATAACAAGAACTGATTCCCAATTTTAGATTTCCGCCATTGGAGTATATCGTACTGAACATTAATGAAAAAGCACTTCCAGCCGCACGCGAAGGGGACATGTACCAGCTGGAACGGGATTCTTCTTTTTGTTGGCTTTTTTTTCTCATTTCGGCTCTTTATAGGATCCTGCAGATCGGCCACGCAGGAGGGAACTGATCGTGAAACAGAAACAACAACCGGTTTTTCCGAATTGACCGTAACCTAGTAAGTAAAAACGGAGCCCGAATCGATTTACACATTTCATGAGCCGTTCCTCCCGCGCTGCTGAACGCTTTCCCATAGTAGGAACGCCAATCTGCATTCAAGCCGCCCCTCGATTCCTCCACAATCAATACCGAACCCGCGGCCACCACGTCGCACGTTTACCAGTTCATCTCGTGGGGCTTGTCGCCGTTCCGGAGGCTGAAGGTGCTGGCGAGGTAGGAGCCGAGGAAGGCCTCCTTCTTGACGTTGGCCAGGATGGACTGGTCAACGGCCTTCTGGTCGGAGGCGCGAGCGCTGGCAACAACCTTCTTCTATACACATCATCAGTATACCGTGTCCCAAAGCACATGCCGACCCGTCTGGCTCCAAGCCTTAACCGGGCCGGCCTCGGATATCCACATACCTGGGGCTTCTCTCCCTGCTTGAAGAAAGCCTCCTCGGACTTCTTCTCCTTGCTCTTCTCCTTGGTGAAGTAGTCGGGGGAAGAGACCTTCTCGAGGGTCTTGGCGTCAACACCGCTGATGTCCACACGGGTGCTGGTGGCGATCACATAGCGAGCGTTCACACGGCGGAGGGGAACACCGTTGACCTTGAAGGGACCGGTGACGAGGAGGACACCCTGGTCGAGGTGCTTGAGGAGGACGACACGCTTGCCACGGAAGCGACCGGCGAGGAGGATCAGGATGGTACCGGGCTGGAGGCTCTCCCGGAGCTTGGTGGGACGAAGAGCCTTGCGGACCTGTAGTTGCAAAGTCATGTTAGAATGTCTTGTTCCTGGCATTTCGCTGTCCACTGTTTTTCCATGCGGAGAGACTGTTCGGAGAGGGAGAGGGTGTGCGGCCACGATGCGATTCCATTATCAACCGTTCCCATCGCACTGGCCCGGAATCTCACCGCATTGTGCGGAGATATATGGACCGGCGCAATTGTCGCATTTTGTTCATAAGAAACCGCATCGCATCGTGCACCCTGGGAGATCGATTTCCAGTGGTTTGCAGTAAGGGCACATCAAAGTACTGACTTTCTTGGGCTGCGACTCGTCATCGACAGGGTACCATTTCTGGGCCTTCTGAGCCGGCACGGTCCTCTGGCCCTTTCCAAACTGCTTCGTCTGGCCAACAGTAGAGTCCGACATATTGGCTGCTGGGGACGAAGAAGAGTCGAAAAGAATGAAGGAGGGGGGGGTGGTGGGTGGTTGTCGACGGCGGGTGGTTGTTGGAGATTGATGTGTGACTGCTACTCGCGGCCCAGAGCGGGAAATCCTGAGGGTTTGTGGGAACGCGAGCCCTATCAGTTAGCCGAAAGGCGCTAGTGCCGTTTTGGTGCGCCGATAGTGTCGATGCCTTGATGCCTTGATGCCTGACCCGTGATGTAGCTGACTCATCTTCATCCTCCGGCACACCACAACCGCCCAAGACGAAGTCGAGCTCCAGTGACCAAAACACTCCCGATCGACTGACGTACTACCTCACCTTACCTCTCTCTCTACCTCTCGGATATCTCTTTCATCTCTTCTCAGGTTGTATCCATCAGCCTACCTCATATCTTCTTCCACTCTCTTACTACCATCCCCTTCCATACTCTTCCAAATACATCCATTGAGCTCCCTCCGTCATGTCGATAGTTCCCATCATTACCTTCAAAGCGGGTATCTGTGACCTGGATGTATGTAGCTTTAGGTCCAACTTCTTCTCCCACTCCTCCTGTACTCACCTGACAATTACTTCTAGCACTCCAGCGACCCTCCCACCGTCAAGCCCAAGCCCACTCCCGGTTACATCTACCTTTACTCCGAAGATGACCTGGTACATTTCTGCTGGCGCCCACGCAGTGCCCCCCACACCGAGCCTGAAATCGACCTCGTGATGGTTCCCTCAGATGGAAGCTTCACACCTTATCAACCCGCCGGAAAGGGCGCGCCCACAAACGGTCGCATCTACGTCTTGAAGTTTTCGTCTAGCTCCCAACGCTACTTGTTCTGGCTACAGTCGAAGTCTCAGCATGAGAGAGGGGAACTGAGCTGGTTCAGCCCAAGAGACCTCCGACTGGGGGAGATCGTGAACACCTTGCTCCAGGGCGAGGATGTGGATGTGGAACATGAGATTGCGAACCTGCCGAGAGGCCCCTCCGGTGGCGGCGACGACGACGAGACCATGGAGGATGTGGAAGGTGTCGACCACGATCCCAATCACAACCACGGTGGTAGCAGTGGCGGAGCAGGTCCCGACGCTACGGGTGGAGATATTCGAGAGGAAGGGGAAGAGTCGCGGGAAGGAGGTGCCGACGGCGGAAGAGCGTAGGTACATATGTCTGCTGTTCTTTTGTTTGGTTGCTGTGAAAAGCATTGGTTTTTTACAGGAATCTGATGCTTGTGTTGCGCATTCGCCTCTGTTCACTTCCGAAATGCATTATCTTTGAATTCTAAAACTAATCTTTCTGTTTTCCCTAGAGCTGCCGCTGAGTCGGACCCCTCGTCGGTGGTGCAGAGCTTGTTGCAATCTTTACAAGGGAATACCGACCAGTCCCAAGACTCGGAGAGAGCGTTTACTACTCTACAAGATCTCCTTCCGCCTTCCAGCACCCTCCCTTTTGTCGAGTCGGCCGATGCCAAAACGGTGGACCATCTCTTGAGCTTTCTCCCTCCGGCCCTACTCCTACTGGCCCAAGACGTGGATGATCTGTCTGCCGTGGACAACCCGGAACTGGCGGCTGCCGTGATGGAATCGCTTGACCTCTCGCAGAAGAAAGTCATTCTCAAGAAAGTTCTTCACTCGCCTCAGTTTGCACAGAGTCTGGCCAGTTTGACGGTGGCGATCCGCGATGGCGGATTGCCAAGCATTAGTGAAGCTCTGAAAATCCCGGTTGAGAATGGAGGGTTTATGCGTCACGGAGGTGTTCCACTGGGTGGTGGAGATGCTGTCGAGGCCTTCCTCCGAGGCGTCCGGAACCATGTCAAGGAGTCGGAAGGAAACCGCATGGAGACGGATTAACCCCAATCTGGATCATCTTTTCCTCGACAATTGAACTTGGTGCATTCTTCTCTATGCTATTCGTAGTAGGGCTGGCTGTGCTGAGACTGGGGTGGAACATCATTTCCTAGACTGTCGGGGGTTATTTTTGGGTGTGGCGGGGCAATCCTAGGCAACTTTCAATTGGTGTCAGGTTGTTTTACCCTGTATGTATGCATCAGACTCGAGGGAATAAACAGAAAGAAAGAAAGAGGGAAAGGAAGAAGAAAACAATATAGAAGAAGAGATAAGTCTAGAACCCAGCTGTGTAGGCAGGTACCGAAGTCTGGTTCTCTAATGAGGAGCGGAACCCTGAAGCCGCCGCGGCCAATTTCGGCCCCAGTCAATCTAAACAGTTCAGTCCCATTGTTAGTCCCGGCTTAGTCCAAGTGTCAACGCCGTGCTTCGGGAGATCTCTGGAGACTCCATACCCGCACTTCCCTCTTCTATCTCCTTTTCTTCCCTCTCCTCTGGTTGTGACAACCTCCTCTGGCCCTCATCAACGCGTTCGGGCGCAGTACCATCCCATCAGATCCACCAGCACCATTCCCTCTTGCGACAGTCTGGCCACGCTGTGCGACCTCGGGCGACGGCGCCTCGAATCTCTGCGCTCCATCTCCTCCCTGCGGTCGGCGATGTCTCTGTTCGGCTAGCATATCTACTTTGCCTACGATGGCTTCGAACAGCCATGAGCGCGGCACCCACGATACCTCACCTCCGACGGATCACTCCATCCCACTCCAAGACCTGTCGGGGCCACAGGAACGAGGAACGGAAGGGAATGCGGGGAGCAGGTTTCTCCCAACGCGTTCTTTGACGAGAAGCTCGCGACTGACGCGAGAATATGAAAGGATAGCGGAGGATTCCCCCGTCGACAATGCGCCTGCGGCTGCAGCACACTCCCTCCCGCACGGCGTTGAGGAGGCCTATGTTGACGATCTAAGCGCCTTTGCGACAGCCTCCGTCGGACTCAGTCTAGGTGATCCGCAAAGCATAGATCCGCCAAACCGACACAGACACAGCAATGCCTCATCCGACCTGGGTACTAGACCTTTCGACTTTGAAGACCACTACTTGACCCCTCCCGTCGCGTTCCCCGACACTGCGCCATTGACGGATACCGAAAATGTCCAACGCATCACCGGCGCCCCCGGCGGAAGTTCGAGCAGCTCTCTCATCGACCAGCACGAACCACATACAGATCAGGATCCGTCGGGTTCGCGATTGGGCGATGACCTGGAGACGGGATTCAGCGGCAGGCCGCGCGGAAGTAGCAGTGCTGGCGGGAGGCCGCGCGGACTGTCTGCTTCGTCGTCCGGATCGGCCTTACAACGCGCGGGTTCCATGATGAAATCCATGTCCCAGCGTGTCGTCAACTTGAGTAATGAACCGGAGGTGGTAGAGCGATCGATCTTGCGAGAAGAGTCCCAGAAGAATGCTCGACTGGAAGAACCCCCAGCATTGCCGGTCCTCTCGGGTTACGCTCATGATGCGCCGTCAACTGAGGCACTGAACCAACCAGCGCCAGAGAAGCCGTATTCGCGGACAGCCTGGAGATACCACAATAACCCATTGCGCGGAAAGTCTCTCGGACTGCTGGGCCCGGACAACCGTCTGCGACAGTGGCTCTGCGACATCTTGGTTCATCCATTCACCGAACCCTTTATTTTGGTTGTTATCTTTGTCCAACTGATCTTGTTGACCGTCGAGTCTGCCAAGGCTGTGTGGAAATACCCCCGGGATTGGGGTAAGAACCCCATGGATTACCCTTATTTTGCCATTTTTATCATCTACACCTTGGAATTGATTGCCAAGATTCTGGTCTCTGGATTTATCATCAATCCCTCCGAATACAGTACCATAGATCGATCTTTGGGATTTCGAAAGGCAGTGGTGGAGAAGGGCAAGAATCTCATCGCTCCCCAGCGTCAGTTATCCACGAGGAAGGCTTCGGTGCTCCCCGACCAACATCAAGCGTCCATCATACGCACCTTCACCGGTGGTTTAAATCAGCTGGATCCCGGTTTTGTCGACGATCCTCTCCAGAAAAGCCGCGTGAGACTTGCACACCGTGCTTTTCTTCGCCATTCATTCAACCGGCTCGATTTCGTGGCGGTCGTGGCCTACTGGATTTCGTTCCTCCTCGGTATTGTCGGGGTGGAAACTCGCGAGCAGATCTATGTTTTCCGCATGTTGAGCTGTCTGCGTATCCTCCGTCTTTTGAACCTGACCAACGGGACATCGGTGAGTTTGGCGGCGTTCGTTCAGTGTCTTCCGCCTGCTAACCCATAATTAGATTATTCTTCGAAGTCTGAAAAGAGCCGCCCCGTTATTGGTTCATGTGGGCTTTCTCATCGGCTTCTTCTGGCTTTTATTTGCCATTATTGGCATTCAAAGCTTCAAGTCCAGCTTCCGGAGAACGTGTACATGGATTGGTGTTGATGGGCAGGAAAATTTTGCCCTGAACGACCCAGATGGTACTCTCCAATTCTGCGGTGGCTTCATCAACGAAACGGGCCATACGGTATCCTGGGTTGACCGATTTGGTGTCCCTAGCGATGCCAGTCCCAAGGGATATATCTGTCCCCAGGGGTCTAAGTGTATCGAAGGACCCACTAATCCATACAATGGGACCATGAGCTTTGATAATATTCTCAACTCCCTTGAGCTCGTGTTCGTCATCATGAGCTCGAACACCTTCACCGACCTTCTGTACTACACAACCGACAGCGACTACCTCGCGGCGGCGCTCTTCTTTGCCGCAGGACTTGTCATTTTGAGTCTTTGGTTGGTCAACCTGTTGGTCGCTGTCATCACACACTCCTTCCAGGTCATCCGAGAAGGGAGCAAACGGAGTGCCTTTGCGCGTGAGAAACTTGATGGGTTGAACAAGGAAGATCATGAAACCCGCAAAATAAGCAGGCTCAAACGCCTTTACGACAAAACGGAGTGGTTCTGGGTCTGTGTCATTATTTTTGATCTTGTTGTTCAGGCATTGAGAAGCGCAACGATGTCTGACGACCGGGCTGAGTTCATCGACACCACCGAAACCGTTGTCACCTTGGTTCTCCTTGGTGAGATCATCTTGCGATTCGCATCTGACTGGCGAAGATTCCATCATAAGCGTCGCAACTGGGTCGACCTGGGGCTTGTGGTCATCACCTGCATAATCCAAATCCCTGCTATCAAGCACTCCGGCCGCCCTTACTCGGTTCTCACGCTCTTCCAGATCCTCCGAGTCTATCGGGTGGTGTTGGCCTTCTCTGTTACACGGAACCTGATTATGGTCGTTTTCCGGAACGCCAAAGGTCTTCTGAACCTGATTATCTTTGTGTTCTTGATGACCTTCCTCGCAGCCATCTTTGCCACGCAACTTTTTCGCAGTCAGATACCCGAAGATGACAATGAGTGGAACTTTTCGGATATCTACAATTCGTTTCTTGCGATGTATGTGATATTGTCTAGCGAGAACTGGACGGACATCCTCTACATGACCACGTTATATACGTCGCACTATAAGACCGCGTGGATATCTGCCACCTTCGTCATCCTGTGGTTTATCGTGGCCAATTTCATCATCCTTAACATGTTCATTGCAGTTATCCAGGAGAGCTTTGATGTTTCTGAAGACGAGAAACGGCTTCACCAGGTGCGAGCCTTCCTCGAGCAGAAACAGGTCGGCGCTGTTTCGCAAGGCAATTTGGCCCTATCGAAAATTCTCATGCTGGGCCGAGATTCGGAGCGCTATAAGGACCCACTGGACTATGGTCCAGCAGCGCTTGACATGCTTCTCAAGGATGCCGTCGTCCGCGAATTCTTGGACGAGGAAGAGCCAGAGAATCCCCGAACAGAAGACAATGCGCCCTTAGTGACCACAGCAACGGAAGAGAGCGCCCGTCCGGGCTTCTTCTCACGGACCTGGAATAGATTCTCGACTTCGGTCATGCGTCGCGAACCCAACCCGTTCTATTCCAGACTGAAAATCTCTCGGGCGAATGATGAACTGGATCCGAGGGCTATGGCGCGAGAAGTCGTGTCGGCTGCAGAGCAAAGGAAACGCGCACAGCGAGAGTATCTCATGAGACATCCGAACTACAACAAGTCTCTGTTTATCTTCTCCCCGGACAACCCCGTTCGACGACTGTGCCAGCGGATCGTCGGACCTGGACGTGGCCATCAACGAGTGGAGGGTGTGGTGCCATATAAGCCCGTCTGGTACACGTTATCTGCCTTCATATATGCTGCTATTGTCGCCATGGTGTTGCTTGCATGCATAACAACCCCAATTTATCAGCGCGAGCGACTGGAAACGGATAATTGGTTTATGTGGACCGATTTGGGATTCGCCATCTTGTTCAGTATTGAGGCCCTCATCAAAGTCATCGCGGATGGGTTTTTCTGGACGCCCAACGCATACTTCCGCAGCTCTTGGGGCTTTATCGACGGCGTCGTGCTGGTGACTCTTTGGATCAGTGTCATCAGTTCGCTGAAGAAAGAATGGAGCGTTTCCAGAGCTATTGGTGCATTCAAGGCCCTGAGGGCCTTGCGGCTGTTGAACGTCAGCGATAGTGCAAAGGACACTTTCCACTCGGTCATTATCATTGGAGGATGGAAAGTCATTGCTGCTGCCGCAGTCTCGATGAGTTTTCTCATCCCATTCGCCATCTACGGCGTCAACCTCTTCAATGGACAGATGATCAAATGCAATGATGGTTCATTGACGGGTAACTTGACAGCCTGCGTCAACGAGTATTCCAGCAGCCCTTTCAACTGGGACGTTCTTGCGCCGCGAGCTGCTGATAACCCATACTACGATTTCGACAATTTTGGGGACTCCTTGTTCATTCTCTTCCAAATTGTCTCCCAGGAGGGATGGACGGATGTGCAAGCGAGCGCAATGAGCATTACCGGCAAGGGCCTACAACCGGAAAGTTACTCGGCCCCCGAGAATGGCCTTTTCTTCGTCGTGTTCAACTTGTTGGGCGCCGTTTTTGTCTTGACGCTGTTTGTTTCTGTGTTTATGCGCAACTACACGGAGCAAACTGGCGTGGCCTTTCTGACTGCGGAACAGCGGTCTTGGCTCGAACTGCGCAAGCTTCTTCGGCAGATTTCACCTTCCAAACGGTCCTTGGACAAGACAACACGCAAGTGGAAGCTGCGTTGTTATCGAATCGCGGTCAAGAAGCATGGCCGATGGGCAAGATGTGTCTCTACCATACTTGTGTTTCACCTGCTGATGCTAGTCCTGGAATTCTACCCGGAGCCCAAGACATGGGAATACGTGAGAGGTATGTATATGGCAGAGGTCGACTTGTATGTAGTTGGGGTACTGACGTTCGCACAGATACGCTCTTCTTCATTTTCAACTTCTTCTACATTGCCAATGTCGTTATTCGGATGGTTGGATTGGGATGGCATCGGTTTAGTAGAAGCTCTTGGGATTTGTATTCGCTCGTGGTTGTCCCCGGAGCCTTCATAACGACCATCCTCAATGCCGTTGGAAAAGATCTCGACGCCATCATGGAGTTGAATAAGCTTTTCCTTGTCGCGATCACGTTACTGCTCATTCCGCGGAACAACCAGCTGGACCAGCTGTTCAAGACGGCCGCGGCTAGTTTGACAGCGATCGGGAACCTCCTGGCGACGTGGTTCGTCCTGTTTCTCGTCTACGCTATCGCGATGAACCAGGCATTCGGCCTCACGAAATTCGGGGGAATGGAGAACAACAACATCAACTTTCGGGATGTTCCCAGATCGCTCATCTTGCTCTTCCGGATGAGCTGTGGTGAGGGGTGGAACGAGATCATGGAAGACTTTGCGACGATGGAGCCACCGGTGTGTATCAGCTCGGGCCTGTACGAGGACTGCGGTAGCGCGGCGTGGGCTCGACCACTCTTCATCTCCTGGAACATTATCAGCATGTATATCTTCGTTTCCTTGTTCGTGTCGTTGATTTTCGAGAGCTTTTCCTATGTCTACCAGCGAAGCAGTGGGCTATATGTGATCAGCCGCGAGGAGATTCGTCGGTTCAAACAGGCATGGGCGACCTACGATCCTGACGGGACCGGCTTCATCTCGAAGGAGCAATTTCCACGGCTGCTTGGGGTAAGTACTTGTCTGGGGGTTCCTGTATCTGCATGGGTTAACGCATTGTTAGGAATTGTCGGGCGTGTTTTCTGTGCGCATCTACGACGACGAGTTCTCGATCGGACGCATATTGGAGCAGTGTCGGGTAGACAAGCGGGACTCGTTGCTTGCCCACCGACGAGTGGTGGAAGGAGTTGATCTTGACAAGCTGAGCAAGATTCTGCGGACTCTCCCGGTGGAGGATATCCGCGCGCGGCGGCAGAAGCTCAATGCTTTCTACGAGGAAGTCCTAGTAACGGCGGACCCGGTGCGCGGCATCTCCTTCCACTCGTGCCTCATGCTCCTGGCACACTACAACGTCATCAGCGACAGCAAGAGTCTGAAACTGGAAGAGTTCCTACGACGACGGGCGCGACTCCAGCGCGTGGAGGAAGCCGTCCGACGCAACACGGTCCGCGGCTTCTTTGACACGCTGTACTGGTCTCGCGAGTTCCGCCGGCGGATCGACCAGAAGCGATCGGCGCGGATGGATTTCGTGCCGCAGTTCTCGGTGCCGGAGATCTACGTCGACGACGGGTCGCAGGACGACACGCCGGAGGAGGAGCGACGGCGCATGGCGCAAGACGCACTGGTGGGCGCGGACGAAGGCGAGTCGTCGCGGTCGGGGCTGTCGCCGCGGTCTCCTCCTGGATCCCCGCGCGGCCATCTGCCGCGAATCGACACCAGTCTCGGCGGACGCATCTCGGGGGCCAGTTCGCCTACGGAATGGTCGAGTATCAGCCTGCAGCTGTCGCCGGGACGGGCGCGCGCGCAGACGACGTCGTCGTATGACGGCGGACCGGACGTGCATGACGAGATGTCCGAGGCGTCGGACCATTCACGACAGAACAGCGCGATGAGCGTGCAGGAGGTGATGCAGTCGTTGGACGAGTCCGCCTGGGGCGAGAGTCTCCGACGGAGCTTCACGCAGCGGCGGCGATCGGATGCGTAAGATGCGATGATGGGGGATGATGATGAGTGATGTCTATTTATACAAAGGGAGGATTTGTTTAGATTTAGTCGTGTATCTGACGAAGTGTCTGTAGACTACACATTTTGGATATTCCTGGGAGAATTATCCCGGGGATTGCATAGCGGCGGCGCGAGGGCGAGTCAATGATTGATTACCTTGGTACCTGATGTTTCCGGAGTGTACAGTAGTCGTAGGAAATGTAGTGGTAGGAAAACCCTGGGGAGGGATGGGCGGAATGCGGGACAGCGGGGATGAAGATTACCGGATTCGGCAGACAGGAAGCAATAAAGGACCGCAGGGCGATGATAGTTTCGACCCTTCGCTGGCTCCTTTTTACGAGGAGATACCAGTAATGATTATTATAGATGATGATAATTGTCTTTATTAAATACAGACAGAAACATATTGAAGAAAGAGTGAACTTCTAAGGTCTAGTATGTACACATCGAAAGCGGAACCGCGATCGTCGCCGTTTGCAGCACCGGCGGCTTCACTTGAGACGCCGCGACAAGAGAAACAGAAACAGGAGAGCGATCAATGATCGGCCGCCCTCCCCTCCTCCTGTTGCATTGCCGCTGCGTTCGTCAGTGCCGGCCGTCCCTGGCGCACGCCCGAGTTAATTAATATGAGTTGTCGTTGTTGTCCTTTCTTCCTTGCAGACATGCCAATAAAGGATCTCATTCTTAAATATCCATCTCTGTCTGTCTGTTGTCTGTCTGTCTGTCTGTCTGTCTGTTGATCTATTCCTGTCTATCGTGGCCTGATTGATATACTCCGGCTGGTATCTATGTTCTCTCTCTGACTCCATCCTCAACTCAACGTGGTGGACGAGATACCATAACCTACCTCACACGATCCCTCCCTCCATCCGTCCATCTACCATCCATCGCGAAAAGAGCCATGCGTCTCTCCCTCCACACCACCTTCCACCAACCCACCCGCCCCAGCACCGACTGTCCCCTCAGCGCCTCAACAACAACGACAACGACAACAACAACCAGCCCGACCGGCCGCTCACCCGCCTCCTCGCCCCTCCCCGGCGCCGGCAGCGACAGCAACAGCCGCAGCCAAAGCCCCCTGCGGCTGTCGAACGTCTTCCGGCGGCCGTCGCTGGTCCTGCTGCGCCGGCGCCCGTCCAAGGTCGACATGGCGCTGAGCGAGGAGCGCAGCCGCTGCGACGGCGACGCGATCGAGCGCCAGGGGCTGGATCTGATGGAGCCACGGCCGGTCGATCCGATCATCCCGATCCCGATCGAGAGTGTGTTTTCGTCCGTGGTGGGGGATCGCTGCTCCGCGGGGAGCCAGCAGAGTCAGATGTCGAGTGCGTCGCGGGTGTCGCAGCCACGGTTTGTGATGGGGGGGATTTTTGAGGTTATGGAGGGGAGGGCTTAGCCTTTTTTTTTTTTTTTTTTTTTTTTTTTTTTTTTTACTTTCTCTTTCTTTACGGTGTTGATGTTGGTTTGGTTTGGGTTTGGGTTTTAGCAGGGTTGAGCGAGCGGATTATGGGTTTATTTATTGTCAGGGTGATTGCTTCTACGGTGTTGTGGTATGCGGTGGCGTTTAGATAGATGATACAATAGAGGATACAATACATACTATACTGTCGTTATAATCTTATGTACCTGTTATTTGAATTTTGGTCTATCCATGGTACGTCCTTGAATACAATAATCAATCGCTGGGGTATTCTCAAACGCCAATCCACCAGACTCGCTGACGCCAATGCTATGCCAATCGCTGGGACAATGATGCTAACTACAGGTGCGTATGTGCAAGAGAAACGCAGCGCACTCAACCTCTGGCTGCGGCTACTTCGTCCCCTTTCGCTGGTTCGGCCACAGCTGCCCGCGGCAGTTCTTCTCCCCGCAGAGACACCGCACCGCGTGAGGCTCGACCGTCGTCCCGGCCTCCTTCGCGCCGGGGTTGTAATCAAAGGTCAGCTCGGTCATCGGCGGGATATCACGCAGGGCGAAGAAGGCGAGGTCGTACAACTTCGTGTCGGCGTGCGTGTGCGACACGGGGAACATGCGGCAATTCGGGTTGCATGAGTGATTCATGAAGCGCGTGGGCGACCCATACCGCTGTCCGTCGACGACGTAGATGTCGTCTTCGTCGACGTCCGGTGAGAAGTCTAGACTGAACAGGTAGGAGTGCCCCTGGCGGATGGCGAGCTCCTCGCGCACGTCGGCCACGTCCTTGGTGACGACTTCGCCGCGGTAGCAGTCGATGAACTGGCCGGCGCGGATGGGGTCCGGGGATCGGAGGCCTGCGGCGTGTCAGTGGGTCTGCTGCGGTGGCGATGCTATTGATGCATGGCGGACGGTGCGCTATTGACGCATCCGAATCAAGGGGGAAACTTACCAAAACCACGACTCACGGTGTCGAAGATCTCAAGACGGATGGTGCGGCCGCGCTGGACGACGCGGTTCCAACAGTCTGGCCCGCAGCTGCAGTGGGCGCCGCACTCGGGGATGCGGGCGGTGCGAGTGAGAAAGTCCGGGGCCAGGACGACGAGCTTTTGATCGTCGCGCGCCGGTTGGTAGGGGACGATCTTGCGGTTTCTCGTGCCAGAGCCGTACCCGTCGTCATCATCATCGTCCGAGTCTGCCTCAGTGTCGAGACACAGGCAGCGTTGGGGATCGCATCGGGGCCCGCAGCTGCAGCCGCCGTCGAACTCCTTATCCAGCGGCTTGACGCCTTTCCGGAGCTTGTAGCCGTTGACGAATTCAAAGTTTGCCGCAAAATGCTGCAGAGCGCGGCCGTCGGTCGAGGCAAACGTGACGGGAGGGCCCTGCAGCTTGGCTAGTTTGCGCTGAAGGGTCTCTCTCAGTTGGTCGGTGACGGGGGGTCTCTGCTTGAGAATGGGGCCGCCGCGACCGATGCTGAAGGGGATCTTTGAGCGGTCAACTTTCTTTGCCGCCGGATACGCGCCGCGCCGGGCCCGGATGTCGAAGGCGTCGGTGGGATAGTGGTTTTGCGACAGCCCGGTGACTGCCCCGGCGTCTGACTCGGAGGAGTATGTCCACTCCGCGGCGTCAATTTGCTTTTGGAGATGCCTCGACGGAGAGGGGATGACTACCGCCGCTAATTTGGCCTTGGTGCTGGGAGTCGGGCTGGGAGTCTTGGGGTGTAGCCTGTGAGCAAACACTCCATTGCTGGTGGTGCCGTTGACACGGCGGCGGCCTGAAGACGCGGAGGACGCGCTTTTGATAGAAACAACATCGTCATCCTGTTTCCTCTTCTGAGGAACAGTCGAAGGAGCAGGTTTGAAGAAAGATATCAGAGTCGGGGGTTGCTGCGAAAGTGAGTTAAACAATGTTGCAATATAAAATGTAGAAGAATTATAGAAGAAATGCAAAGAAAATAGAGGGAGTAAAATCGGCGAGATGGGTTGTTATGCGACAGCGGGATCTAAAGATAGCCGAAGAGCGACCGGGGATGGATACAGGATATTTCACGGGTTAAAAACACAATATCACAAACTCACCTGAGCCTTCTGGGGAGGGTGATCCTCCGAATCCGAGTCCTGGGTGAGGTCTATGACCATGTTGACCGGATCCCGAGAAGGGGGTTTGGAGGAAAATCCAAACATCAAAGAGAAATCATGGAGATTATGAGAAATTGAGAATAAAAGCAGAGTCTAGGGATCAAGAGTCAAGACAAAGAGGGAGAAAACTGGAGTAGCCTAGTAGGAGAAGTAGAGGTGAGGTCAGAGCGTTTGCCTAGAGAAACAGTGGCTGTTGGGCTCTAGCCTATGTGGGAATAGTTGGTGGCTTAGTCATCGGTTCTATCAATTCTGAGTCTAAATCCAGTCACAAGGAGTACTAGGATTAGCTTAGAGGAATAAGGGATTCAGAAATTAGAAATTAGAAATAGAATAAAAGTAATATTTTATGTGGATTATGGAATCAGAAAGTTAACAAATTGTGCAAGTTCCACATCTAGGGAGTAGAAGAGTAGTGGCAGTATGGCAGCTGGTAGGTAAGAGCAATATAATCCTGTTCTAGTTGCACACGTTGAAAGATAAGGGCAGAAAGCAGCTGAAATTGCTCTTATTTGGGCCTTGTTTTGCGCCGTCGTGGCTTCCCGCATCCAAAATCCTATTTCGACCAATCACAGGGACCTGGTGGCATAGCAATATAGAACATCAGTATGGATCACTTTTACCAGAAATAAATGATTTATATAATTTAGAATATTCTGAATCATCTCTATTAATTAGATTTTAATTAAAGGGCAACTTGGGCGCTCTAGAGAGGGAAATGCGATGCTATATAGGTGGTGATGGATGCTTGGCGCGGTGGGTCTGCTGACTAATGTCCCGTTCAACCCCGCCTAAGAATTCAATATCTCATATGATCTGAATATAGCGGTCACTAGGATCGAGTTCAAATTTCATCAGATTTAAATCTATTCAAAATCAAATTCCCAGTTATTTAATTTATATATATTTGTATTTATTATGCCAGATATATGGGGTGACGGGTTGATCTCTGATCACATGACATGCCAGTTGGCTAGTGCGCGCACCGGACCCGGCATGTCCTTGCCAGTTTGCAGCTTCGCTTTAGCGCTAACGACAAAGTACTGATTGTTATGGGACGAACAGAGATGGATCTTCCTATCTAAGCGTGCCGTATAAACAAGAAGGAATAGCTAAGGAATAGGAAGTCGAGTAGCGGTCAGATATCAACAAATAAGAGGAAGCAGGGCGGTGTACAGTGGCAGAATAACTTGTAGCCTCCAGGGCTGGGGGTTCCCGAGGAAGCCTTCCTCGGGGCCCCTATATACAAAGCCCTGCCGAGCTCCAATCTATAGTTCGTACAGAGCCTATAGGACCTATAGTCCGTACTAGGCCTATAGAACCCATAACACTGATCTAGCGTCCTATATATCAGGGCAACAACCGCTCCGTAGCTTCCTTGTATTATAAGAGAGAACAGTGACTCCGAGTATATGAGGAAGAAAAAGAAGAATAAATGGTCAGTAACTTAAAAAGATGGCAATCTACGGTCGGGTTTCAACCTCGTCGCCAAGCCAAAGATATATTTATAGAGCATGCTTTGAAGTCTCTGGATATCTGGGCATGATCTTTCAACTTTCACCGTAAATAGAATACTGAGAAGGAAAAGTCCAACTATAGATTATAGAAATACAGTGCCACCTCTAGTTCTGCATTTGGAAATAGGACTTTACGTATAACCATAATCTTAGTCTCTTAGATCTCTCACCAGAACATATTATCATATATCCACAACAAAAGTGTCAATTAAATGTTACAATTATTGAACTATATAGGGCCTATTAGTGGGTTCACACTTTTAATGGCCTAGCGGTCATTTTTACGTCTGACAAAAAGGCGACTGTACTAAACGCCGGTAGGGAACCAGGGGTACAATCCCTAGGCACGCTATACGTTATCGCATTGATGGTTCAGGCTACCGCTCCTAATAAGAAGATAGAAAATCCTTCCAGACGGACACGGACATGAGGCCCCGGATAAACCGACGGGCGAATGAAGGAGGGTGTAACGTATGACAGAGATCGCATGCCGCCGAGTCATGAGCTGGCTCCCAATCCACCAGCATGCCATTGCTTGCACGTCGGGAAAATGCACAATAAGAACGGGTCCCCAGCTGATGCGTGCTCCAGACCAACACAAGGGCGACTATACCACCGTTCCTACTGTCGACAGCAGGATCCCTGAATCCCTTGCTTTGCTCTCGCAGGAAGCGAACGTACCGGGTCCCGAGCAGTGGTCCGTATAGATCGTCCTCGGACCAATCCACGTTCTGCACCGCGGACGCCACCCGTGTCACTCTCATCACAGCGGCATGCAAATCACATGAGGAATTGGCCGTGTATTGGTAGTGTTCAAAGACATCATGAAGCATGGGCAGAGACTGTTCCCCAACTGCCTCTCTGCTAGCTTCAACTATCTCAGCCATGTCGGGGAACAGATTGCTCGGGCGCGTCTCCTCCAGCAGCAACATCCCCAAAGACTGTTTCAGGAGCTCATTTGCTGCATTGTTGGGAGCAACAGTTCCGTCATCGCCAACAAACCGACACGTCCCCGGCAATGGAGTATCTTCCTCCAGGAGCAAGTGCACATCGCGCCGGAGCTTCTGGACCAAGAGGCCGTCTCTTCGTAGAATAAACTTGCAGAATTGGCATTGCTGGTTAAACTTATCATCTGCGAGGCCTTTTTGGCGCCGCGTCGTCCACGGCACCCGAGTTAGTTGTCGACATCGGAAACACTCGATTGCAACGTCGTCAGGGTCGGCAAGGTTGTCCCATGCTAGCTTGTTCGTCTCCTCGAAGTGCACCTTGGCGGATTCGGAACATGTATACGTGAAGCTCTCCCGATCGATACACTGTGAGACGAGCTGGAGGGGGAAGCCTTCCATCCAGAGGGCCATCTTATGGTGCCGAAGACAATCCTCGCCGAACGCTTTGCTATGTAAGGTCAATGCATGGAGGACCATCAAAATATCTGCCGCAAGTCAGCCTCTCCCGGTGTCGAGCTGCCTGATACTTACCTAGTGGAGGCATCCGATCCGTCGTCCAGTATGGTTTTTCGGTATCCTGGCCTGATAGAAAACCCGGTGTGCGCAGGATTCGTAGGCAAGTCCACCATACGGAGAATCGATGGATAGCCCGGGAGACATAGATTGACCATCGGCGTTCCTCCACGATTGTTTGTCGAGTCCTCTGGTCTGGTTCCGTATTGATGTCGTGGACATGTTCGGACCTAAATAGACCCTCTTTTCTTGATACGGTCTGCTTCAAGTTCACGAAACATCGGAGGAGATGCTGATGTTGCAGACATTCCTGCGCAGACACGATACGCGCCGCCGTGTGCAGCAACGGGGTGGCTTCGGAGAGTTGTAAAGTCCCGGGTTTCTCCCCAACCATGATGTTGTGTGATGTGTCAGAGTATGAGATTATAAGTATGGTATGCCCCGCCGTAGACTGTACTGATCGGACTTTCTTTATCCCACTGACTCCAGCATGATGGACATCGGCCTATCAAGATACCGAGTAGTTCCGTCGACAGCTGGAGTATCCTTTTACCCTGTACGGAGTACATCTCGGAACTCGGCCTGCTCACAAGGCTGGCGGGGAATCATGACTTGTTTGTTGCCCTTTGTTAGTGTTGTTAGTGCTTACGGCTGATCAGTTAAACTGGATGAGGAAGTTCCTGTGGGGTATTATACAACGCCCGACGCTTAACCTGACATTGCTCCACAACCCTTAGTGGTTGGTTAGGGTAAGAGATCAAGATAACAAGTAGAAGCATACAGTATCTAGCCCTTTCAGCATTACTAGCCGACGTTTTCAACAAGTATGATTTGTCATCTTGGACTTCAGAGCTTCGAGCCTAGGGCTATGCCTCTAATTGGGAGCATGCATCTGTCCACCAGAAGACACATAGAAAAGATCCAGTCAAGTGTAAAGGCGGTGGAAACGCAACAAGAGTCTATCGATGCACGCCTTGGAAATGTAGTCCGGGTAGCGAGATGATGATGCTAGCATGGAACCTTATCAACTTCATCCGCCTGTTGAAGGTTTGCCCAGAGAATGTCTCTTGTCTTTCTCGGTCTAACTGTATATCGTAAATGGTATCCTCTTCATATACAAACAGCGGAACTAGGGCTCCTATTTACCGGCTCAACAGTCTAAACGGATCTGACCTTTGACCCAGTGGTGCCAGGGCTCTAGGTGATATGACACGGCTACACGATATCATTAACTTGGCAGATGAAGCCATATCTTGCCATTCTCGCATAAAGAATCCAGTCGTTCGCAGCGCACATCTATGCAGGGGACCGAGAAGGATCTCCACGATACTCATCGCTGACGGAAGTGGAATTCCAATCCGCTGAACTAGCTACCACTCAGTGTTAGTCTTGAGTACAAGGTATTTGCTCCTCCACACTTCCCTCGTCCTTGGTTCAGCTTGTTCAAACCCCATTGCCATGGGACGCTGGGTCTGATAGAGTTAACATGCTATGTCCAAGTTAACACGCAATTGTCGAGAGGCACAAGTACTGGCTCCTCAGTCCCAATCCTTTTTGATACATGAGGGACTGTAAGGGGCTGTAAGAGGAACTGCCCTTCGACATCGAGGGACCATAATCGAAGCAATAGGACTTTAGGATCTATTGACTCTTCTATGTCATTACGACTTGACCTGTATAGGCCAAGATCTGGTGAGTTGTACAATGCCGGCACAACGGGTCAATTGACATCAGTGGCCACAGCTGTCCCTTGCTGAAAACCTGGTTCTCGACGACCCAATATGGTGGCTCGCATTCAGCACAGCCTGCGTGGATTCCAAGGTCTGGACAGCAGTGACATGTTTCTCTACAGCCCGTCAGATGGCATATAAATCCGATGTACTCCGTCGTAGAAATCTCCAGAGAAGAACACCTGTATCATAAACACAGAATGGTCTCCATCAACTGTGCATCCGCAGGATGCGACTCGAAGAATCGCATATGTCGCCCTCATCCACTCGGTAAGATCAATCCCTGCATGCGACTGCCTGTCAAACTAACGCAGCAGACCCTCTGTCTGCGGACGAGATCATACTCTCTGCGTCTCTCATGCGGGAACACCTTGCTTCAGGCCGTCTCAAATTCAATTGCATTACGCTCCACGAGCCCTCGAGAAGCGAGTACGCCGCCTTCCGCACCGGCACACTCATCCATCCTGACCGACGCTCCTTTGCCATCATCATACACAAGACCAACGAGGTCCGCGAGGTAGTGACCAACCTGACCCAGAGAAAAGTCGAAACATGCAAAACCGTCCGCGACGTGATCGTGCTCCAGACACCGGACGAGGAAGCCCACGCCGAGGACGCTGCCCGACGAGACCCCCGCGTCGCGGAAGCATGTCGCGAACTCGGCATCACCGACATGTCCAAAGTATACTTTGACGCCTGGTCCATCGGGTACGACGAGCACTGGGGCACCAAGCGACGCCTCCTCCAGGCGATCCCGTACTACCGCGCGTCCGCGCTGGACAACCAGTACGCGCACCCGCTGGACTTCACCATGCTGGTCGACAGGGAGCGGAAGGAGGTCGTCGCGGTGAATGTGCGCCGGGTGCATGGGCAGCGTACGCCGCTCCCTACCGCCAGCCACAACTACCACCCGCAGTTCCTGCGGGAGCACTATCGCTGGGACAGGCTGCGGCCCATCCTCACCACGCAGCCGTGCGGCGTGTCGTTCCACATGCACGGCCACGAGCTGCACTGGGCCGCGCTCAGACTGCACGTCGGCTTCAACTACCGCGAGGGCATCGTGCTCTCCGATGTTCGCGTGGAGGAGGACCTCGGCACGGGCGAGCGCCGCGAGCGCATGCTCTTCAACCGCATCAGCATCGCAGAGATGGTGGTCCCGTATGCGCATCGGCATGCGTTCGATGTCGGCGAGTACGGCACCGGCGTGTCGACGAATTCCCTCCGTCTCGGCTGCGACTGCAACGGGGCCATCCAGTACCTGGACGCCATGCTGTCGGCCTCGGACGGCACGCCGTACGTGATCAAGAACGCCGTCTGCATCCATGAGGAAGACAACGGGCTGCTCTACAAACACACCGACGACCGCGACGGCACCGTCGTCTCCGCCCGCGACCGCAAACTCATCATCTCGCAGATCATCACCGCCGCCAACTACGAATACGCCTTCTACCACTCTTTCACCTTGGACGGCACCTACCGCTGCGAGGTGAGGCTCACCGGCATCCCGAGTACGTCCAGCCTGCACCCGCTAGACTTGGCCGCGTCCCGGAACGAAGTAGCGAGGGGCGTCGACGCGCCCAACCACCAGCACCTGTTCTCACTCCGGGTCGACCCGGCCATCGACGGGGACCGCAACACCGTCGTGCAGAACGACCACGTCCTCGCCGAGGATGCCTCGTCCGACAGCGCGTTCTACACGCAGAAGACCGCCCTTTGCACGGCCCGCACAGGCGCCAGCGACTACTGCCACGAGACCGGCCGCACCTGGGACATCATCAATCCCAACCGGATCAACCCGCGGTCGAAGAAGCCCGTCGCATACAAGATCATCAACAACGACTGTCCGCCGCTGCGTGCGCGGCCGGGGGGCAGGTTGGCCAAGCGGGCGGCGTTTGCCCGCCATTCGCTCTGGGTCGTGCCTTACCAGGAGCGCCAGATCTTTCCTGCGGGTCAGTATGTGTGCCAGAGATCCGGGGATGTGGATCATCCCGACAACACGGATATCCTCGACTGGGCCGCGCGGGATGGATGCATCGAGGACGCCGATATCGTGTGCTATATCCAGTTTGGAGTGACCCATGTCCCGCGCACGGAAGATTTCCCCATCATGCCAGCGGAAACCGTCGGCGTGACCTTGCGCGCGTCGAACTTTTTCCAACAGAACCCGGCCCTATGGGTGCCGCCATCTGGTGTCTCACGACCCGGCGTATGTCATAGAGAAGCCTTGGAGACAACCGGCACCAACAAAGCAACCAAAACGCATGAGAACGTTTGTTTGAACGCTGTGTCTAGTCTTTCGGGACTGAGCCTGTAAAGCTTAGGTTGGTAGATTAGTCGAAGATCTGACTCCCCAAGGAGACCGACCCTTCACAGCGTTGGTATGCAAGTACAGTACCAACAGGCATAGATGATCCAAAAGACCTACAGGTGTACCTCGATCTGCTTCTGGCCGAAATAGAACTGCTTCGGACACCTACAACTGCACAATCCAATGACTAACAGGTGCTATTACCCTCGAGATATACAGCCCAGCACCATACTCCCATCATGACAGAAACTAGAATCCCATGATACTGCCCGTTCGGTTCTAATATACACCATAATCAACGGCAAGAAACCTGCGGAGCCAGCTCGGGATGTGTATACCGAAACCGACATTATCTTCAAACAAGGGCAGGATAAACCACGTCATAGGAAAAAACACAGGAAAGGTAGAGAATAAAACTCTCTGCTCGTGCGAATGCTTCGTGATACAGATGACGCTGTGCGAACATCTCATGCGATTAGTGTAAGTCTGATGCAAATCATAGTCTTAAGGCGTCCAAAATCTTCTTCGCCATCTCGCGGTATTGCCACATGCCTCCAGCCACTTTCTTAAATTGAATTCCGTGGAGCGAGAACAGTGGCACCTTCACAATGAGGATCTCGAATCGAAGAACAAGGTTCTCGCCCGTGTCGCTCTGCACACGGGTGGTAGTCTCGCCCATAACCCGTTCTCCCCCGGCATTGGGATCAGGAGACGCAATAAACTCGTCAGAGCCGTCCGAATTACTGACAAAGCTGCGATCCGGCGGGCCACGAGTGCGACGTTGAGACTTGGGGGTGCCGCGGGATTCTTCTTTGCTGTCATCGTGGCTCAGCAGTCCTCCGAAGCTGATCCGCCGACGGTGGTTAGACACATGTCCTTGTCGTTCAGGGCTCGGAGGGCCCACGTCCACCACCTTGTCGAGCTCAATACTGGGGGCATGCCGGCAGCTGAATCCACCCTTGATCTCAACAAACTCGACGGAAAGCTGTTTCAAGACGCGGATGATATCCGCTCGGATGACAGGAAGGGGCTTGCTGCTAGTAGTGGAAACACTGAACAGGCCCTTCAGGTATACCGGCTTCGACAAATCTTCGCCCTCGTTGGCGCTCTCAAGTGCCGTGCCAGCGCCGGAGATGTCTGCATCAGTCTCCTCCGGGACATTGGCCTCTCTAGCGGCGTCCCGGCGAGCGCGTCGGGCCTGGATGCTCTCACGCCGCGCGTGGCCCAGAGACATCGTCCGCGTGGCATGGGTGCGGGCGTGGGCTTTCGGGTCCTTCGCGGGGGTCTGATCCTTGCCCGAATAATCCGAACCACTCGTCTGAGGCGGGGCGGTTCCCTCGGCTTCGTTGCGACGCGCAGCTCGTCGGGCCCGGTAGTCAGCCGAGTTCACGCTAGCGGATCTCTCCAAGAACTTGTTGGACCGAGAGCCCGGCTCTGATCCAGGTGCTTTGAGAAGATCTTGGTGTTGTGGCTGACTACCCGCCGAAGGGATCGTGGATGATGGTTCGGCGCGCCGTGCCCGTCTCATGCTGAACCCTCTGGAGAGCGGAGAGGCCGAATCGGCAGGCGGTTGAACGTTCAATTGGGGCGTCTGCGGGCTTCCAATCCTTCCACGCTCGGGATCGCGGCTGCGCTCCTTTGTTCGTCGGGTGCTGAATCTTCTCAAAAGACCTGCCGCAGCACTTTCCTTTTTCATGGGAGTCTCGGGTTGTGACATGGGAGGGACTGGAGAAGCCTGTCCGGGAACGAGGTTGAGATGCTTGACCCCATCTGCAAGATCATCATCTCCATGGGTCCTAGCGCGAGGACGAGACCGTCTTGAGGTGTCTTTCTCGCCAGGGACCTGGTACTGATTGGTGTGTGCCGCTTCCGGCGCAGGCAGGTCCGGCATCTGTAGCATGGCATCGCCTGCGGACTGAGGAACGCCGAGGGCCCCTGGGTTAGTCTCGGCTCTTTCTCTCTCAAGCTTCTCTTTGACGAGATAATAGATGGACAGGAGGGGACTGTAGGCATTGAGTGGATCATGTCCCAGCTGTACCGCCTCTGCGGACGGGACCGAGAGTGTATCGCGGCTGACGGAGTTTCGGCGCTTGTAGAAGTCAAACATGCCCCGCTTCTTTTCGCCATGACTCGGCAGGGGTTGATCACGAACGCTGTTTCGCACAGCATGTTGATAATCCTCGGATTCTATGATTTTGGTGAGCTGAGCCGTGATATAGTCCGGCGGCCCAAAGTCGAAACCGGTCATCTTTTCAATCACATCGGGATCGAGTGGGAGCTGCAACGGCTCACGGTGGGGTAGATAGCTATCCGGGGGACCATTGAAGCCTTTGTTCATCCAGGGGTGGTTCATGATTTCTGCCAGACTCGCACGCTGCTTAGGATCCGTAACCAGCATCCGGGAAATAATGCTGCGGCATTCTTCAGAAGTTTGGTTAGTGTCTGGTCTGACGCAAAGGCGCTAGGACTGAATACATACCTGCGGTCAGTCCCTGAGGAAATTCGAAGGCGCCCTGCTTGATCTTGGCATGGAGTTTCGGCATGCTCTGATCATCGAACGGGACCTTTCCACAGACCAGGACGTAAAGAACAATCCCGAAGCTCCATACATCCACCTCTGGGCCAGTATACTGCCTCGCCTGCAGTAATTCGGGGGCCGCGAAATACAGACTGCCGCAGAAGGTTTTGAGGAGGCTCCGGGGAGAGAACAGGTTGCTCAGACCGAAATCGATGATTTTGATGTCACCAGTCTTGCTGATCAGAATGTTTTCAATCTTCAGATCACGATGCACGATGCTATTGCGATGGCAATAATCCAACGCACTGGCAATTTGACGCGCGAACTTTCGCGCCTGCTTCTCCTTCAGCTTGCCGTGGGAGATGATGTAGTCCAGCATCTGACCCCCGTTGACGAGCTCGAACAGCATATACCAGTGGTAGTTGGTCCGGACGACATCGCGCATCCCACAGATATAAGGGTGGTTGACGAGGCTGACAATAGCGGCTTCCCGAGCGGTCCGAATCTCCTTTGACCGATCAGCTCTCTCGGCATCGCGGGAGCTGCGGTGTTCCTCGGTCGACTGCCGAGGGACAATTTTCACGGCCACCTAGTCGCGTCAGCATTATCATCCTGGTTTGGTTGACATGAAATGGGATCCAAGGAGGGGCTACCTGTTCTCCGGTCTCGATATTCTTGCCCACCTTCACCTTACCCATGCTCCCTGCACCTAGAGTTTTCCCCAATGCCCACTGGCCGGACGGGGTGGTAATGGTCGTGCGACGCTTCGATGGCATTGCAGCAGCAGGGTGGAGTCGCGACGCGGAGGGTGGTTGCGTGACCGCAGCGGCACCCTCTGCCACGACGGGACCTGCCGTCGCCATGTCGATGCTGTCTCGCTGATGACCCTGAGCCGACAGGTTCCTCTGATGTTTGGCGGCGGATGAGTCGGAGCGGTGGGTGGTGGGCGGTCGCTCCTGCGACCGCTCCCTGGAGCTACTCCGACGCGCGGGGGCTGGTTGGGCACCGTCCCGACGAGCTATGTGATCGAAAACAGCGTGGTTTGAGGGGGGACGACGGTCATAGGCCTGAGACTTGGAATGGTAATGCTGGTGCGACTGGGACTGGCGTTGCGGCGAAGGCTGGGAGGCGGTTGAGGGTCTGACGGCAACACTTCGAGTTCGGTGAGGCAGGTCGGATGAAACAGGGCGAGAGGATGCAGGTCGGGACGAGGTCGAGTGGCTGCGGACGACCGATGGCGACGCGGATGACGCCGTGGTGGACATTACGATAGGGGGAGGGGATGGACTGGGTCAGGGATAACCCAGGGAAATGAGTTCAGCGGATGCGAGTGAGCACGGGGGACGAAGGAAGGAAGAAAGAGGATAGGAGGCCGACGACGGGGGTTGGGATGGGATCAGGTCGTGTAAGGTTGAAAGGGCCGATCGGGGGAGCGGGCGGGGGAGTTTGGGGGAGACGTTGGGTTGGCGTTGCTGACGACCGACCGCTCACAGCCAGCAGATGGAGGGAGGCGGAGCCCCCATGTAACGAGGAGAAATGGATGGAGGGGTGGATGGGAGAAGTGAAGGGAAGAGAATGAAAGAGAGAGGGGAGGGAGAAGAGAAGAGGGAAGAGTAAGTAAGAGGGAGTGTGTGGATGAGAGAGTGATGAAAGGGGAAAACAGGAAGGAGAGCAACTTCAACCGCATCCAGATTAGTTCGGGATAGACCGCGGATGCCCGCATCATTGGTGGAGTCCTACTACACAGTGTTCTACTACTAAACAGCTAGTTAATCGGCAGTTTCTCATCACTTCACAAAAAGAAAACACACAAAAGACACAATAAAAAAAAGAAAAGATCGAAAAAAAGAAATAGACTGATCTCGTGTGACCATCGTCAGGGTCAGGGATACACAGTCTTGTTAAATCCCTCGACTATCACTCGTATCCTGCACGAGATTTCCTCACTAGCAACTGGTGGGGTGCTCGTGCTGGAGCGAGGCTAGATCACGATGGGGATATTGACTCGTCAGAACGATCTACAGAAAGTAGAAAGCCACTGGTGTTCTGTATCCTGTGTACGGAGTACGAAGCATCAGCCTCCCTCAAATTCCACAGTGAATCTTCCATTCCATCGGGATCGAGTACAATAATGTTGGACCCATCTAGAACACGGCGAACTCGCATGCCACAAGGGGTCGCCATAGATCTTAGACATCCTCCCTCGACCATTTGTGATCAATAAGATCTGTTTTGTCTCTGTTTGTTTTTCTTTTTGTTTCTTCTCTTTTTTCGTAAGAGATAGATAAATTCCATTGATTTGTTTTCCTGGAAGTGAGGAATCTGGGGAATACGAAGGACAAGGTTGAGTAAGGAATATATATCCGAGATACCAACAACTAGCATCACCAGCTACGTGAAATCCAAGCATCTAAATGCAAATAATAATAATAATGAGGAGTTATTGTTTCCCTCTGATTATTCTACCTAGGTACTACCGTACTACTTCCCTTTTGTCACCTTCCTAGCAAATGGATGCACCGCCACAACCACACCAGCCACATGTGGATGGGGTGTTGGACCATCACATGGCGATAAATCACCTCTTCTCTCTTCTTCTCCAACTCTCCATCCCTTGCCGTTTACACAACTGAACAAACCAGTGCAATCCCCGCTGATCTCAGACCCTACTACCATGCTCTAACAAGTCTGAATCAATTATTCGAATCCGTCGGTAAGGACCCTAGTGCCTTCTCTAGACTACCCTGCAGCCCAACTGACCGTACGTCATCGCGCCAACAGATAGGGAATAATGAACATCTAATCCTCCGCCCGTCGTATACCTATCGACGAAAATGACCAGTAAGCGCTCTCGCGCTGCTTTTGAGGCCGACCTCCAAGCCCACCAGTCCCCCTTCGCCTTCTACGGCACCCCGCTACCTCCCCTCGACGCCAGCGTCCGCGACGATGGCTCCTACACCCCGATCTGGAAACAGGAAGTGACCGACGACCGGGGAAGGAAACGCCTGCATGGCGCCTTCACCGGTGGTTTCAGTGCCGGGTGAGCTCACGATCCGCGCATAGCCTTGGACAGCACCGCTAAACAATCCGCGCCCCGCGTCTCCAGGTACTTCAACACCGTCGGCTCGAAAGAAGGATGGACCCCGGCGACCTTTGTGTCCTCGCGCCAGAACCGCGCCAAGGCCGCCCCCCAGCAGCGTCCCGAGGATTTTATGGACGAAGAGGATATCCGCGAGGCCGAAGAGGCCCGGAACCTGCAGACCGCCGAGGACTTCTCCGGGTTTGGTTCAACTGGGACGGACCCCGCGCGCCGCGGCGGTTTGATGGATGTCTTCCAAATGGGAGGCGAAACGATGGGCGTCAAGTTGCTCAAGAAGATGGGCTGGAAGGAGGGTCAAGGCATCGGGCCCAAGGTCCGGCGCAGGGCCTATGGGGATGCGTCCGATGCCGACAAGACGTATCTCTTTGCGCCGGAGAACCCGCCAATGGTAGCCTTCATACACAAGACAGACCATAAAGGCCTCGGTTTCGAAGGGGAATCTCGCTTGGACGCGCATAAACCGGATGATCAGGAATCCGATGACGACGCGGACCCTTTCTTTGGTCGCCGGCTAAGAGTCCCCGAGAAGCCGAAACCCCCGAGAACGAAAGAACCCCGTCGCGGTGCATTCGGAGTCGGCGTCTTGAACGATACCGGATCAGACGATGAAGACCCGTACTCGCTGGGCCCGCAGATATCGTACAACCGTGTGATCGGAGGCGACAAGAAGAAGAAAAAGAGGGCCAAGTCCGAAGACGGCAAACCCGCCATCACCTCGTCCAATCCTCTTCTCAACAGTAAGCCCGTCTTTATATCGAAGAAAGCAATCGCGGCGAAAGGCGCTGGTTTTCGAAAGTGTCATGATGGCCGATTGCCGCTGGATGGATTTCTTCTTGCCGACGGAATCTCTGGCCTTGCGATTTCGTCTCAAGAGAAGAAATATGCGCCGCCAGAGATCCCCAAGGACTGGAAATCCAGAAAAAGACCATCCCACGACAGGGATGAATCGACTTATGTCTCCACGAAAGAGGCAGCCAAAGCCTCATCCCTGGACCCCTCGTCGAGAGCCGCGCTTCTGGGAGAAGCGCAGCTGCCGGGCCAATCGATATTCGATTGGATGACTCCCGAGGCCCGCGAAAGGATTGTGAAGCTTACTGGGAGGACGGATCTCCCACCAGCACGAGGAGAAAAGGCCCCCAAGGGCTACGAGGCTTCCGACGCTCAGAAACGGCGGGATCTGTGGGATCTCGTGCCTAAACTGGATAAACAGGTAGCGGTGCAGGCGTTGACCCGAGCGGCCAGCGGGTGGATGCCCTATTCGGAGGATCCCGACAAGCGCACACGCTATCGAACGTTTCTGGAAGTCCGGGCTGGACTGCGAGAGAGCCTCCCGGAGCGGGTCCCCGGCTCGACTACGGACGAATGGATTGCGGAGCTTAATGAGTTCGCTCGGGCGGCAGAAGTGTTCAAGCCGATGTCAGGTCTAATGGCTTCCCGGTTTACATCGGCGTCGTCTGGACCGAAGGGGTCTTCGGATGAGTCTGAATCAGCGACTTCACCCAGTTCGTTATTGAGCAAGCCGGCCCAGAAACCGGCCGATCCTGCAGAAGAGGCCGCAAAGATCGGTATGTTTGGGCCCATGACGCGGAGCCACCATACGTTCTATCCAACCCGTCTTCTGTGCAAGCGGTTCAACGTGAAACCGCCCAGCCATGTGCAGGTCGACCCGGGCGAACCACGAGAGCGTGCGGAGGGTACACCCGGAGATCGTTTCCAGTCAGCCGGGTACCAGAGCGATACGGGACCAAAGGAATTAGTGTCCCGCGATGTGATGAACCAGCTCATGCTGAATATTGGGGCAACGGGCGGTGCTGATGCAGGATCGTCGGGGGTGCAGGAGAAGGCAAAGCCTATCGTGGTGGAACCCGAGCGCAACGAAGCCCTGGAGGCTGAGCGTCCTGGAGAGGCGGTGTTTAAGGCGATATTTGGGAGCGATGACGAGGAGGAATAATAAGAATTCTATACAAGTCAGCATACAAATTCAGTCAGTACCGGCTGGATGCCACCAGCGGGACGTATAGTAGACTGGTCATTTTGACCCCAACAGACGTACATAGTACTATACATATGCAGTTACACGATCGAGGCGGTGGATGTATAGTTTATCATTTATTAAAGTTGGCGTTGACGACGACTTCCTGCTCTGCTTGTCCTTGCATCTGCCCCTTGTTGAGGCGAGTGAGTTAGTTACCTACAGTAGTATACTAAGGGACGGACTTAAGTACTTGACGTTCCCCCTCTTTACTCGTATCGGATCAGCTCACCTTCTCTCCACCTCAACTCGACGTCATGTCATCTCGCCACTACTTCTAACCCAGCCCATCTCGCATCTTCTCATTCTCTTCGTACTCCTCTACTCCGTCCTACTACATTCCTCTATCGACACCCCGGCTGATGGAGTTGATCCGTCAATCTCCAAGATGGTAAGTCCCCAGCCGATCCCCCGAACAACCACCCTCATTGACACCCGCGGCACAGGGCTGTTGCTTTTCCATATCTGTGTCGCGTGACACCCACACCGACCGAGTAGTAGCCCCAGAGGAGCCCGCAGCAGCGACCGCACCGCGCAGCGCCGCCATCTCCAACACCACGACGACAACCACCCCGAGGACAACAACACTCTACCACCCCGCACGCAGCGGACCGTCCGCCACCGCACGGGTCGTCGTGCGCACCGCACCAGACGACTTCCCACTGGGCGAGCCGTTCAACGCGCCGATCCGCCCGCACGTGTGGTACAGCAAGCGGCGGCTCTGGACGCGCGCACAGCTGGACCACGAGCGCCGCGAGTTCTTCGAGACCCGCGTGACGGGGCGGCCGGAGATCTGGGCCGCGCTGGCGACGGCCCTCGCGCTCATGCAGGCTGGCGACCTCGACACTGCGCAGGGCATCGTCGACGCCGCCGGCATCACCGTGCCCACGGGCGACTTCTGCCAGGGCGCCTACGACCAGCACGGCGTGCTGTACCGTCTGCCGCAGTGCATCGTCAGCGACCCGGAGAACATGCTGGCCGCAGAGCTGGCGGATGAGTTCGACACTGACGACGATAAGATGTCGCTGGACGAGGCATCGGGCGATGAGCTGATCGCGGAGGAGGAGGAGGAGGTCGAGCGGCGCCGCGATGAGAAGGGGAAGGCTAGTGAGCGCGACGTGATCCGGGTCCGGGCGCGCCTGAGTGATCGTGGCGGGCCGGATGTCGTCGTCGCCGTGAAGACGTCGCACAGTGTGGGGTTCATTGCGCGCAAAATCCAGCAAGATGCCGGGGTGCGTGCATCCTATTTTACGCTCTATTGTTTGCGGGGACATGGCTAATGTGGCTACGGCAGATCCCGCGCACCCAGCGCGTCCGCATCGTGTACCTGGGCAAGATGCTCCGCGAACATGCGTCCCTCGTCGACCAGGGATGGAAGTCCGGCCATGTGGTAAATGCGCTGGTCGTCGCCCGGAATCCGCTATGACTGGCATGCCGAATCTACGAGTCTACGAATCTATGAGCCTGAAGCTACGATACGCCCGATGACCGGTCGACATCGACATCGATATTGACATCCGTTAAAACTAATGACCAAGGCGTTGCATGTTTCCAGCATAATACCCATTTGTCCATGCGTACGAGTCATGCATTATCTGTCTTTCTGTGTCTTTCCGATAATACTCAGCGTTTCATAATAACCATTTTCACGATAGCATATCTATATGATGCGTCTTGCTGACTACCGTAGCCCGAGTTAATCTGAACCGTATAGGGATTAACAAAACAGGTCTAACTCATCTCCCTTGGAGCAGCTCAAGCCCCTTCACAACTCGCAGAATCCGTCTGACCCACCCGCAGAAGCTCATACTTTTTAAGTCTGCCACCAAAAAGAAAAAAGAATGCATCATCCGTGAATCGAACACGGGCCTCATCGATGGCAACGATGAATTCTACCACTAGACCAATGATGCTTGCCAAGCCGACCAGATGAGATCTGATTCGCTGGATGAGATTTCTTTCCCACTATTGATTTATCAGACATCAATATGCTTCACCATCTATGCTTCGGTTGATAATCTACTCTAATTAATGAAGACTACACCAACCGTCCATTCTCTGCCTCCCGCCCCTTGGGCGTCTCCCCAGACCGCCGCTTGAACACCCGACAGACAAACTTGACACTCTTCACCACTCCTCTCACCAGCGAGGTCGGGTTGTAGTGTTTCACCCGGAACATGTAGTACAACGCCACGGTGCCCATGATATTGAACCCGATGTAGGCCCAGCCGAGGCCATAGTTCCGCCACCGCTCACCATAGACTACACCAGTTAGCACTCTTTCTCAACGACAAACGACGGCACTTACAGATGTTGCTACTGGCAAGGTACTGGTCCGCATTGCGCAGCTGGCAGTACTCGCAGCCCTGCGTTGCGTCCTGATTGTACAGCGTGCCCGGCGCAGCCTGCAGATACGAGGCCAGGTACTGCCCGCAGGTCATGCCGGCGGGCGGATTGAAGACGCTCAGTTCCTCGCTGGAGCACTCAATGGGACGGCCGTGCAGGCCGGTAGCCGTCAGACCGGCAATCAGATACGTCAGCGGAGACACGCGGTACATGAAGATCCAGAATCCGGGCAGCGCGTTGGGCGGCTGCATCACGCCGTTGAAGGTGAGGGCCATGATGAACAGCAGCGTGGCGATCGTACCGCCTGTCTCGGCGTCTGGCAAGGCGGAGATGATCAACCCGGCAAAGGTCGAGGTGAACATGTAGAACTGCACGACGAATAGTAGCATCAGGCCCTGTCGGTGTGAAGCCTGCGACGCGCCGTAGATCGGGAAGTAGTAGCATGCCCAAGCAATGACGCCGGCGAGGATCTGGTAGGGGATTTCGACGGCGACGTTGGCGATGAGGAATGCAGCCCATGAGTAGGCTTTGGATGGTCTTTCCCGGACTTCGTACAGGGAGCGTTGGACGACGAACTTGGGCATGATCCTGGTGCTGTTAGACCCTAATGACTGGGGAAAACAGGGAAACGGGGTTGCTTACTGTTGCACCAGGGTCGAGAAGATAGAGGTCAGCATGAATGCACTGAACAGGACATCCTGGAAGCCCTGCAAATTGCTGTTGGGTTTGAAGAATGTAAAGCCGATGAACAGAGACGATAGCGTGGCGAGGAGCAACTTCGCCCATACGTAGGCTGGTTCACGCCAGTACTGCTGGAACACCCGGTGCGTCACATGCCACAGCTGGTTCGGAAAAGGCATGGCGTATTCTCCGTATTCGGAGCCTGGACTATCGTCGCCGTGCTCATCAGAAGCCGAAGCCCGTTCTTGATGGATTCGATCGATTTCCTTCTGGATGTCTTTGGCCTCCTGGCTTTCGTTCCAGACGGCAGCCCAGTCCTTGGACGCTTTGCCCGACGCACCGGCGCCAATGATCTCTAGCATGTACTCGGCGGGCTTTGCATGTTAGTTGGTTGTGGATTGACTAGGGCAGAGAGACTCACATTCTCGGACGCACCACAAGTCCGGGCGCCATTTGCTTCGAAATAGTCCAGCATGGTACGAGACTGGTCTCCAATCTCTCCAAAATACACAGTCTTCCCTCCCTTTGCTAAGAAAAGGAGGCGGTCGAATTGCTGGAAGAGCAGCGCGCTCGGCTGATGGATCGTGGATAGAACTGCCTGACCATGGTCGGCCAGCTTCCGCAAGAAAGCAATAATCGACCACGAGCTCTGCGAATCCAGCCCACTGGTCGGTTCGTCGAGGAAGATCAACAGGGCCGGCTTAGCAGCAAGCTCCACTCCGATCGTCAAGAGCTTTCTCTGTTCAACGTTCAGCCCTTCACCCGGCGTTCCGACAATGGCCCCCGCGAAGTCCTCCATCCCGAGCATCGCGATGACCTCTTCAACATATTTGTATTTCTCCTTTTTGGAGACCGATATCGGCTGACGGAGGAGGGCACTGAAACGAAGCGCCTCTCGAACGGTCGTTGTCGCGAGATGGAGGTCTTGCTGCTGCACATATCCAGTCTTCCGCTGGAAACTATTATCCAGCCCTTTGCCGTCCACCAGCATATCCCCAGTGACAACACCTATAGAGACACGCTTCGCGAGGACATCAAGGAGGGTGGTCTTGCCCGCTCCAGAAACACCCATCAGGGCTGTAAGAGTGCCGGGCTTGACCCAGCCAGAAACGTGATCCAGCAGACGTCGTTGGCCTCCTTTGACTGGAATATCATAGCACACATCACGCCAGGTGAAGATGGCATGTTGCTTAGGAATTGCAGATGCGTCCTTCTCCGTCTCGGCCTGGTGCTGAGGATTGTCTGTCGCAACGCTTTCTTTTCCGCGTTTATTTGCATCGCGCATGTAGGCTGGCACATGACCACGTCGGAATACTAAGAATTCCGCCTTTGACGAAGTGGCAGAGTTAAGCTCGGTGGCAAGGAGATAAACCACAGTAAAAAAGATATAGAACCCTATCAAGATACCGAGATTCCTCCATTCGTGTGCGTAGGTGTATCTGTACTGGGATTCAATGAAAGCATCCCCAGACACCGTTCTTTCTCCTGCAACAGCACCGCGCACGTTACAGATGAAAGAATCGCCGCTGAGTTGAGGATAGGCGGGAACGAACTGCGAGCACGTGAAACGCCGTCCGTGGAATTCGTTGGCGACCAACGCTTCGAACGTATAGAACACAGGGTTGATCCACCGGATCCAGCTGAACCACGGGATGTCGGACATCTGAGGTACGGGTATGACGAAGCCAGTGTAGATGACGATGGCCAGGACAATCACCCCAGCCATAGCCATTGCCTGTGCGAGCGTCTTGGTCGCTGCAGCGAGTGTTCGAAAAATCCCCGACATTGCAAATGTGCTGAGGAAAGTGAACAGAAAGAAGATGAAGAACTGAGATGCTTCATATCGCTGTATCGTCGCTTAGTTCCGTTCAAGAGGATGAGTTGTGGACTTACCAGGCCGGCCAGAAAGTAAAATATGATGTTGAACACGGTAGCAGATACGAATTTGACTGGGATATCGGAAACAATCCCACCAAACGCTTCCGTGAATGGGTGGACAAAGGCGTACGATGCTTGCTTCTCAACGATGGGGCGCTGGTCGTAGAGGGAGTTGATTTCAGTAATACTGATAAGAGCATTCATTCTGTACCATCGTCAGAAGACGTCCAGATAATCTCGCGAGAACTTCACATGAGGAACTGGACATACAAGACAGCGAAGAAAAGAGCGGCGCCTTTGCTCTGGAATCCTGCCGTAGCATTCGGGGTCCTAAGACATTAGCATAACCTCACATACCAGAGAGGGAGCCCTACCCGTAATAGATTGAACCGATAATCAGAGACATTGCAATGCGTCCAATGACCGTTGTCAGAGTAGACGGTTTATCATTCCATATCCTAGAGCAGTAAGCGAACAGCCGGATATCGATGTCTGGGATGCCACCATACCTTTGATAGGCTCGTATGGTACAGAGCTTGACTTGCATTGGGATGGAAATGACATAAGGACTCTTGGGACGAACGTGCTTCGCTTGTCTTTGGCGTTTTCTTTCGCCAAAGACCTGTTCAGATTCGCCTCCGGGAGGAAACTCTTCCATATGCTCCTTGATTTCTTTATGGAGTTCCGCATACAGAGGACTGTTCTTCCAATATTTTTCAAATTCATCCGGAGTCCTAGGGACCTTGTTCTCCATCCCTTGGCGCGGCTTGCGTTCCTGGGGATTGGTTACAGATGTCAAAAAATCACCTGTCGTTTGGCGTGGGGGGCAGTCCCACCCCATGTCGATGAAATAGTCTCTTGCTTCATCGCACGGTCCAAAGTAGATCTCTCTGCCTTCGTAGAGAACAATAGCCTTGTCGAAAACGTCGTAGATGGCCTGCGATGCTTGGTATATGGCCACCGCATGACAGGACCCAGCCAAGTTGGCGGACAGTCTCAGTGCATTAACGAATTCCAGGGCACTGGCGGAGTCAAGTCCACGGGTGCTGTTATCCCATGCCGCGATAGGGGCTCCAGACAAGGCCATCTCTGCGATGCTAACTCGCTTTCGTTCTCCTCCGGAAACACCTCGTACATAATCATCGCCGACTTTCGTGTTGTACGTATGTGACAGACCAAACACCGCCATTATGACCTGTGTGATATGCTTGGCGTATTGCTGTCGATTGACTCCATGTAGACGTCGCTCTGGAGTTCTGGCAGCAGCGGCGAATTCCAGAGTTTGCCCAACAGTTAAGTGAGGGAAATGTTTATCCACTTCCTGGTTATACACGACCTCTCCTTTGAACTCCTTGTGCATTCTCTCCATGGAGATTCCATTGTACTGGATCTCGGAGCTTTTGCGGAGCTTCAACCCATGCAGTTCGCCGCACAGGGTCTTTAGGAAAGTCGAACACCCGCTACCAGGCCGACCCAGTACGATCAGCAGCTCGCCGCTCTGGAGAAGCCCGTCAAAATTGCGTAGGATATGTTTCTCGGGCGACCGCTTCGCAAAGCTCAGGTACTCCTGCGGTCGAAAGGGCGCAAGCAAGGTCGACGCCACGGTATCTTGATACTGGAGCTCCGAGCCTGATCCGGAGACATTGAGGTTCTGGAAAACGACCCCGGCGGACGCGGGGCGCGGAAGACCCTCCGTATCCATCAACTTCATTCGCATTCGAGCCCATTTGTACAGATCGAATTTGTCACTGCTCGGGTCCAGCACCGGGTCATCCGGGTTGAGCTCGTCGAGGGTATCCCGTCGTTCAATGGCAGCGCCCGAATCGACGGGGCGATGACGGGGGAAGCCGGATGCGATGCGGGTGAGTTGCTCCCTGTCTTCCGGACGCATGTGATCCATGACCGTGCTGTCTTCTCGCGCGCCCCTGGATTGTCGTCGCGAGAACGTCCGTATGGGGGCGATCTCATCGGGCTCGTGGGAGCTCGAGCGACTCGAGTCGCTGGTGCTCTCAGGGTGAGCCATGTTCCTTTCTTTCCCGAACCCACGCGAGCGCTCTGAATTTACCAACACAACTCGACAGGCAGAGAATGCGCTGGCAAGCGGGGATGGTGGTGGATAATAAAAGGATTGGGTGGTTCGCTTAAAAGCAGGGCGGAAGGGCTTCAGGTGTTACAAGGTGACGTTGTGACCCTGTTAAGTGTAGCCATCCCCGCACCGGCCGGGACAACAATTTCCACAGGAGATGAGTCGATGAGAAGATTCGGAGGATGATCCAGTCAACTTCGGGGTTTCCATGGACGCCGTCAGGGCGTTTGGATGGCGATTTGTCAAGTCGGCCAGTGGTGATGTCATCGCGGCCAATAGCCCCAGTGGTCGTGTAACAACAGTCTCCCAACGAGCGAAATGTTACCGCCTGACTGGGATGAGAACACATCGACTGACGGACTGACTCCCTTGGCAGAGAGTTGGGAATGAAACATTGCAATCCGGCCGGTTGTGGTGGTGCAATCCGAGTGGATCGGGCACTCCATACAAAAGGGTCCAGACGACCCACTAGGGCCACTACTAGACTATACATATGATCTACACTGCATCATGTCATGTTTACTCCAATCCATCCCAGAGACGTGCAGAATGAGATGGATTCGACCTGATATTCTGGTAAATAAAAATGGAATAGTCTATCCAACAGTATTGTAATAGATGAATCCACAGTCGAATAAATTCTATAGCAGCCCTGCTCTACGGCGGACTGGGTATGTCGCCAACCCCCTTATCGCGGAACCAAGAGAAGCTATTTTTTTTTAATTAGGAAACAGGTTGACCTTCGTCGCTGGTTCGAAGCTGGGGGTGACTTCTTCCTTTCTTTGTTTCATTCCATTGAAGCCAGTACGTCAGGATACAGTCATGCTGCCTTTGATGACGATGAAGAGTACAACAAGTAACTGAAACTATCGACTTCATAGAACTGAAGAGGAAATGATATCCGACTATCTCTAGGCACTCCGTCCAATCAGGTTCTCTCATATCTTGTTTCCCCTGGAGAAGCCAAATTGCAGATACCGGGTCAAAACCAAACATGCAGTCGCCAAGAGCATGATTGCCCCCGCAAAGATCCATGTGCCCTGGAATTCCGACTGAATATCCTGTACCAATGGCGATGGGGCCCCTGATGGTCGGAGACACGCACCGGCTATTGGGTTGCCGACCAACGCCCCAAATGCAGCGATGGTGTAGGCCAGACCCATTCGTCCCCCCAGCTCGCTCTGTTTAATGGTGAGATTGGCGATGGTGGCGGGTGGAAGCGAAACCATGCCGCCAGAGATAAGACCGTATAGCAGCACGATAACAATAAGTCCGGGGAGACTGTGGGTGAATCGCCATAGAAAGAGAGTAACCGCCGATAGGAAGCATGCTGGCGCCATGACATTGACTCCTCCGTACCTATTCATTGTCAGGACGAGGCCATGAGGACAGGATGGTGCAGGCTACCGGTCTGCGAGCCAATTAGGCCCGATACGACCTATTAAACTCGTCGCATTCATCATACTGAGGAGGTAGAAGGCCATGTCTTCGTCGATGCCCAGTTGCAGGGCATATTTCTGGATGTAGAAGAAGGGGATGTACACCGAAGAAATCATCAGGGTGAATGCTTAGGATGTGTGAGCTTTAGTATAACACGGGGAGACCTCATTACCAAACTGACCAGCGATGAATACCACGTAGGGGAAATCGCGGAAATGTTTGAGCTCGATTAGTGAGGTTCCCTTGGAAGACCGTGGACGAAGCTTCATGACCAAGCAGGCAACGATTAGACACCCCAAGATAAGGAATGTTAGCGCTCGCACAGCCCATGGGAATCCTATCTGCACAAAGAGACGCCGGAGCATGATCGGATAGATAATTCCGGCTGCAATATAATGTCAGTTTGACCACATCAAGCACAAGTCTGCAGCGTAAATGTACTCACCCAGACTGCTGCCCGTAGCCGCAATCCCCGTGGCGATCATCCTCTTCTTTCGAAAGTACAGGGGTATAACAGCAACCGAGGTCAGACCCAGAAGCCCACTTCCTAGACCGGTGCAGATGCCCTGTGCCAACAGCACCTGCCAGTATGTGGTACTAAGAGATGTCATGAACATTCCGAAAACCTCAAAGAATGTCCCCAGGATAAGAAGTAGATGCAGGTGCCCCGAATCCAAAAACCAGCCCGCAAAGACCCCAACAAGCATGGTTAGGAAAAGCTGGATGGACCCAATCCATGAAATAGCAGAAGGAGTTGAGGTTTTCAAGAGACTATCAGCGTAGAATGTCTCAAATATCCCAAAGGAGTTTGTGAGGCCCCTTGGAAGCATTAGAGACGTATAGTGATAGGTATGCAAGAACGAAGCTCGCTCAAATAACCAAGAATTCCTGGGCTGGGGCAATACGAACCAGGTATTTGCAAAGAGAATCCAGCTTCCTAGGACTTGTAGCCATGCTTGAAGTCCTTCGTCCATGGGGTATTCGGCTTCTGGCTCTGTCGAGACGACCACTGCTGCCTCCGCAGCAGCTTCTTTTTGGAAGCCAGTCATCGCTGTTTCACTGTGCAGATTGGAACTTAGAGAGTGAGAAGGAAGAATTGCCAGTCAGAATATGAAAGGACGAGACGAACGAGAAGAGCCTGGCTGGTTGGAGCCGTGATAACGAGGCATACTCTATCAAACAATTTATTCTTACGTAAAGAGAGCGACCTAGAATGACATGGGCCCACGGAATATCTAATGAATACTCGAAATGTACGGAGTACTCCGTAGCAGAGCGTCGTTCTAAACTAGTAATGGTGTTTATAGGCGAATAAAACATCAATGAGCGTGTGGAGCCCCCATTTAGGTGCTCGGTAGGGACCCGATGGTCCCATTGACCCTAGATGCTAGGGCCAGATCAGCTATCTTAGCCTGTACGTTGACTCATCCAAGATATCAATTCGGCCCATTCCGTGCGAGAAAGTCTTCAGGGCACAGGAGAGAAACATGCGTTGTGGTTCCCAGATGTAGGAGCCCTAGTATAGGATTACCCGGGTTGTTACCGGAGGTATATCAGGTATAGTGGCTGATATATATAACATGTCTGATTAGAGCTCCGCAAAGATGCACCGATGTATGTATACAGTGTCGGACGATATTGGGCCAGATCAAATGGCTCTTACACACTAGAAAATTTCATCTATAGATGGAGAACAAAATCAAACAGACCAAATACCACGAACAGATCATAGGTACCATGAACCCGACGGGTTTCGATCCCTCAATGTGGAAATTTATTTTGGTTTACTTAAAACGTATTTCGGCCCGCACCGTCTTAATAAGCCCCGCTAGCTCAGTTGGTTAGAGCGCCAGACTTTTATGTGTCTTATGCGAGACTTCATAGTAATCTGGATGTCAGGAGTGTATGTAACCATGGACTACCTCAAGGTGTCTGTCTGAAACTAATCCCTCAATAGTCGAGCCTCCTGCGGGGCGATGCCGTCTTTATTTTTATTTTGCAGCTCTTTTTATTCTCGGTCACAATGGAGGGCTCAGTGACTTCCCACCTCAAGTGCTCTTCAACATAGATCTGGAACAGAGAGATTGTCTCCCTGGCCTTGTTATATGTTCATCTGAGGGATACTGTGCTACAAGTGCGAAGAGTGTTCATATAACAACGACCACCCACTTGATTTGTATAGGATCAGCATACCACTATCTACATGGACCCCCTTCTTCACTTCTCCGGCGTGAGTTGAACCACAATATCCACCCGCTCCAGGCATATGTCTCGCTCAGACTCCACCCTGAACTGAACGACACACTGACACAAAAGCAAGCACGGCTATCTTACACGTACTTGACGGTAACGGAGCTGGACCCCACCGAGACAGAGGTCAGAACCTTATTACTCTGCTCAATATCGATCACGGTAGCACCAGAAGGACCAACAGTCGAGCCCCCATCGGTAGCCTCAGCACTGCTAAAGGTCACGGTACCAAAGTCCGCAAAGGGCACAAGACTACCATTCTCCTCAAAGTCCTCGACGATCCATTCGGCGTTGTACTCGCACAGGCTGCCGTCGACGCCGCCGGTAAAGGTGTGCGTCACCGTCTTCCCGGTCGTCAGGTTCTCGACGGTGGCAGTGCCGGCCGTCTTGCTGGTAGCGTCGACGGTCACCCGGATCGTGTCGCCGGCGCTGATGGTGATCCCGCTAAAGTCGTACGCGTAGTCCGGGTACCACTCGTACCAGGCGTCGAAGGAGACGCTGCTCCCCTGCACGCAGAAGTCAACGCCGGTCTGCAGGATGGCGGTTGAGCAGGTGTCGCCGTCGATGCCGACCCAGGCGGAGGCGCAGTACTCTTTCGAAGACGAGCTGCCACTGGGGGTAGACGGGGTCGGGACGGTGAACTCTCCCGTCACGGCTGTGTAGCCGGTGCCGATGAGGACGGCGCCGGCCCAGTTGGAGCTGTACTCCACGTGGGTGGTGTTGGAGAGATGCAGGAGCTCAGAGCTGTCTGGCTTGTAGGGAGGATGGCTGGAGCGGTTGGCAGCACGAGCAACGCGACGCGCATTCCGAGCCTGGCGTTGGGCTGTGAGAGGAGCGGCAACAGCTGTGCCGGCGAGAAGGATGGAAGAAAGAACAGAGAGCTTCATTTTGGCAGATGCTTAGGGTGTTATGATCAATGGAGGAGCAGAGCAGATAGGTTTAACCAGACTGTTTCCTTTGAGGTTGAAGTCCGTACCTGATGGTCGTTGTTTAGCTCCTATTTATACATCTCAATGAGCCGTGCTGTCTGTATCTTCCCCTCTCCCCCTGAACCTTCGTCGGACGTCCGTGTGGTGTGATTGCACAATCAAAGACATACATCGTCAGGGAGACCATCGTGGCTCGGTACTTGGTGGAGAAGTCTCTAAGCGATGTTACCCTCCGCTCTATCCCGACTAGCAGGGGCACTAGCTAGCAGCCAAGGAAGATAGATATCATGAGAGAAATGTTATTCCAGAATATTTTCCAATCAGGAACACAGGGCTGCAGCAAACCGCTGCATACTGTGCATACTGCCATAGTTAGCATCGCATATCCTCGGCTTTTCGACCACGGGTTGTTCGACTCCAGTCTAGACCAGAGATCGTCGAGCCTAGCCCTGTACTAAGTATGCCTGTATCCATGCTTCCTATACGACGATAGATAACAAGGACTGTCTACGACATTGCTTTGTGACCGGGAATATCAGATGAGCGCCGACTACCGCTGATACACAATAGCCGGAAGATCATACGGCTACATAGACTGGGTATTGATTCGTTTCCTAGCGCTACTTCGAATCATCTGCTATACGAAATGTCTGCTGGACAGACAAGACCCCGTACACACGGACACAGAAGGACAGCGGATAACGCGGATGATCCTTGCCCGCTTTCTGAACGGGAGAGACATTTCCTTATCTTCACTGAAAAGAGAAGTCTCTAGAAGAGAGCTGAAGTACAGGGGTGGGGAAGCGGACATAACAAGTTAGTGACAAGCTTTAGTCAAGCATATTGTGGTGGACACAAGAAGTGTGGCGTTTTCTATCAAGGAACTAAAACGTGCTCGGAAGCGTATTGGCTTCTTTCTCGACTAGCACGGCAAGCAATGTAACCTTCTGACCTGGTTTAATCAACTCTTCATCTATTCTGCAGAGGATATGCAGGTGACACTAGGAGGAGATCAAGCCCCGTACTTATGCTGTCTCTTAGGAGAACTTCACCCGTCCTATATTCGTGTTCTATAGGGAGTGTTTCTACTTTCTACTTTCCTAGTGGGAGATGCATGGCTAGGGACCTTTCCGCTTATCGACCATAAGCCGGCAGATCCCCTGGTGAGCTTATCGGGATTTATGGCTGCCACTATTTCACTAAACGGGGGTTTTGAGTAGTTGATACTACCTTACTATATCTATCGGGGGATTATGGTGGGAGCGACGGGGATCATTACGCAAAGGGGTAATCTCCGACGCACCCGCCTTTTGTTCAACTAAATATTGTTCAGGATCCGATGTCGACATATGCATGGCGGGGTTGCCGATAATCTCTGCAAACACACAGCCGAAGGAAGTATCCAGCTTGTATTCGAGCTGTTGATGGCTGATGCATAGACGGCGCCTTCCAGCCACATGTGGAACTGACCCAGGGCCTTGCAAATGCTGTATAGATTTTGCGAATTCGTCCGAAGACTTGCTGGGCATCATGCAAGTTACTGGATTTGGCTGTCATATCAATAATATCTCGCCTATCTTTTATCGTACGACGGTGGATATTCTCTGGTTTACATGAATACCGGTAGCGGCACCGGTGAAATATGCATAATACATTAAGTGATCTCGCTCATGCTCTCTGAAACACCGGTACTTGACTGATACCTACTTTTCTCCACATCCCCAACTTCACGACTTCTTCTGAACACAACTATTCCTCTTTGTATTTGGATTCGTCCGATTCGAGACTCTTTTCGAGCATGAAAACCCAACCCATACTAAATGTACTTACCCTAGACCACTGCAAGCATAGGCTCCGTATTTGTTCGGCAACAAGTGGGTTTCCAGGCACACCGCAAAGGTGATGAATATAGTATCAACACAAGCTACCACAAAGATTAATCATCATGCAGGACTGCCCGCAAGGACATCAAGATTGGCACCAAAGATGCTCTATAAACGGTGTTAGACGGTTGTTCCGGGCGATTTCTTAAAGACCTTGGCTTTTCTGTATTTATACTTTGCTTAAATAGTGGTCACTGCTGCATCCAAGCTTTCAGCCTTACCTCTAGCTAGACTCGCGTTCCCTTGTGCAAGCAATGAGTATAGTACGTGCAGTAGAGACGGATCTTAATTGAGCAAATATTCCGTTGATCATGAATAAAATGGTATTATTGAGAACCTCTATAAATACAGGGAGTTTTTATCTGTGATTGAGATTGTCTAGATAGACAAACAACTATGTAAATCAATCGTTCAAGCCTCGGTCTCTGTCGACGATAGCTTACCGGCAGTTCCATAGCGAATGACATTAACGAAAGAACAGATGAGAGGTGCGTTGTTTATTTTGCCTGTTTGATCGACAAAGCCAAGGCTAGAGGCCAAGACTGGTGGGGTGGTGGGGGACGAAGAGTAGATTTATATACTTATTCTGTGAGACTTATTACATAGAGATAGTCTCAGGGAACTACCGAGAAAGAACTGCTCTTGACTAAGATAAGTAAGATTGAATACATTATCTGATCACAGTACTAGAAACTATAGGCAATTATAATTGCCAGATTAAGCTTAACTGAGTGTAATTGGGAAAGGTAACTTAGACCCCAGGATTCCATAGCTCCTCAAAAACTCAGAGAACCACAAGCACACTACCGAGCACCATCGCACCAACAAGAGAAGAGGCGACCGATTTCATCGCCGCACCGCCAGTAAACAACGGAGCCTCGGGGCTAGTATCGGTACCGGCAGGAGGGTTGGCACCAGATTCCCCCGATGCTCCGCCAGTAGCCCCCGGAGCGTTGGGACTAGTATTAGTGTGGGTAGGCAACTCAGGTTCAACCGTATCTCCACCGGTGGGTGCTGGGGAAGTGCCCGTTGGGATTGTAGGGTGGGCACCGGTCGGTTCTGGGCCCGAAGGCTTAGTTCCGGGACCGGTAGGTGTCTCCGTCTCTGTCTCGCTGGGCTCGGAGGTCGGCGGAGGAGTTGCAGTCTCTGTTTCGCACGGAGTCGTGCTTGATGCCGGAGGCGTCTTGGTCTCCGTCTCGCAAGGGGTGGTGGTAGGCTTGGCTGTGGCTGTGTCTGTCTCGCATGGAGTAGTAGTGCTCGACGGCGGAGGTGTACTGGTCTCCGTTTCGCATGGAGTGGTAGTAGGTTTGGCTGTCTCTGTGTCTGTTTCGCATGGAGTAGTAGTGCTTGAAGGCGGAGGTGTGTTGGTCTCCGTCTCGCATGGAGTGGTAGTAGGTTTGGGTCCTTCCGTGGTGGTTTCGCAGGGAGTAGTAGTAGAAGAAGAGGAGGAGGAGGAGGAGGAAGAGGAAGAGGAGTGAGACTCAGTACTAGTTGAGCAGGGCTCGGACGTGGTCGAAGAGCTAGTAGTAGGAGGGGTGGTCGTGCTGGCATCAGTGGTTGTGGTGCCAGGGGTGGTCGTAGTCGTAGTGCTCGACGTGGTTGTCGTGGTACTTGTCGGAGTCGACGTCATCGTCGTCGTAGTTGTCGTGCTCGGCGTTGTGGTCGTAGTAGTCATCGTACTGGACGTTGTGGCCGTGGTTGTGGTAGTCGTAGTTGTTGTAGTTGTAGCGACATCGGCGTACGCATCAATTCCCTTCTGGATACTCGCCGCAATGCCCGCTGAAAGCTCGTTGGCGACTTCCTCCAGCTCCGCCGGGACCTTACTGCTCAGGGCCTGAGCAAACCCATTGGCAGCCGCCAACTGCGCGGTCAGCTGTGCGTAAACACTCGGTCCCGAACCAGCTGCAACAACAAGGCTCTTCTTATCAATCAGCGCAGAGATGGTTGTATCCACGTTGCTCGTCAAAGCCAGAATCGGGTTGACGAGATCTATGGCTTCGAGGCCGGTAAGTGCGTCGCCGGCAAGGGTAATCTGCGTGCCCTCGTTGATGAGGGCGACGAGCTGGGTGGAAGTTGCCTCGATAGCGGAGGTGTCGCCGCCAGTGTAAGCCGCGATGTCAGAGCCCAGGGAGAGGACTTGGTCGTTGATCTGGGCGACTTTGCTTACGATTGCTGCAGAGTCGCGCTCGACCAGGGATGGGGTGACGGTAAGCCTGGTTGGGGTGGCGAGGGCAGTTGTTAGGGCTAGCAAACCCGCAAAGAGCGTTGACTTGACCCTCATCTTGGTAGCGTGAAAAACGAATGGAGTGCAGCCTGTACTTGATAGGGGGTAAAGGGAGCGTTTTGCTGGTGACGCTTAGGAAGTCCCTTATATAGCTGGGACTTGAGACCAGTGTCATTGATGGAGCACATGTCTGTAGCATAGGCAGTTGGTTAACCTCGCTTCTACAACAACCCAGTATAGTATGTCATTTCCACCAGACAAACGCTAGACGAATGGGCAGATCGATTACTGGACAAATCAGCCCTAGTTGGGACTATAGGAGATTGCATACAGTTGCACAGACCTCAACGTCCAGGGACCCAACTAGGCTATCTTAGGCAATGGCTGCGAACATCACGGTTCGCGATGCAGGAATTATCGACTAACCCATGTTTAGTCGGTCACCTTTGATTAATCGACCATCTCGTGATCCAACGGACACCAACAAACCCCGTGTTTTAGTGTCTTGGACGTTCCTGGAGTCCAGCCACAGTCGCGGGGTAGTGAGACATCTTATATTGGGCGACCCCAATTAAGAAAAACTCGGCGACGACTAGGTGATTACTTCCTGCTAGTCAAAGGATCCATGTTGTTGTATGGACCAGCATCGGAATGAATCCATACAGGGTACAGCTGGTAAGCATTGGTAAGCACAATTCAGGGCGCGGATGTACGGAGATGGCCTGAGGTTGGAACCGTCTAGATCCGAGCTGGAATTTCGCCCGAGAATGATATCACATATCACCCTGTCTCAGCCATTCGGGAATAGAAGGTCTCCAGGGACCAGTGACGCTCGGTAGAATTTGGTAAGTCAGGTATTTAAAGCTAACTTAGGTGGATTGATTGTGTCTCCCTAGGAGCAAAATAAGACTAAGCTGTCTAAGCCTTGATAGCATAGATCTGAAAAGATCCTGGATAAACCATTAATAATACAATCGAGTCAGGATGGAGGACTTACTGACCAACCCATTCATTGAAATCCAGCTCCGCAATATCACTCGTAGTCTCCTTCCCATTCCCACCGCCACAGCACGAGCTCTGTGGCAGATACGAAGACTCCTTGTAGAGGTTCAGGTCCGACTTTGTATCGACAATGAACACACCTACCGCCAAGTTAGCACACCGCACTCTCTTCATAGCTGCGCACATACTTTCGAATCCAGCTTGCCTAAGATACTCCTCATACTCCCCAATCTGACTGGCACCCGCAACGCATCCAACATACAGCGCCATATTCTTCGTGATATGATCCGGGAGCGGCTTTCTCGCCAGGATATCACTGATCGCCACTCTTCCGCCGGGCTTCAGCAGTCGAGCGATCTCCTTGAAAACGGCCGCTTTGTCGGTAGCCGGGACGAGGTTAATGACGCAGTTACTGATGATGCAGTCGACGCTCGAGTCAGGCAGCGGAATTGAGTTGATATTTGATTCGATAATCTTTGCGTTGGATAACCCTGCCTGTTGGATGTTCTTCTCGGCGAGTTCGATCATGCTCTGTGGACGATCAGCCCTGCCTTTACAAAGGGATCTCGGAAAACTGACCTTTGTCATGTCGACGCCGATAGCCTGTCCATTGGGCCCGACTTTACGAGCTACCAGGAGGACATCAATACCGCTGCCGCTGCCAAGGTCTACAACTGTCTCCCCCTACTGGAAGGTAAGAACTTGTATCCGTCGCCGCATACATATATCAGGCAAGAAACAGACCTCTTTGACGTTGGCAAAACCCACAGGATTGCCACAACTCAAGCCGAGGTTTGTCTTCTCCGGCAGGGAACTGAGATCATCCGCAGTGTAGCCAAATGCTCTGGCGATGTCCTCTTCTTTCTTGTGCTGGGTGTCATTACTCTGCTTGGCAATGTCACCGTAACGGGACTGGACGAGGTTGTAGGTATCTTCGGACATAGTGCGAATGGCAACACAGTATTGTCGATGGGGAGTAATGAATTGGAACAGGAGGAGACATTCAACTGCCTTTATATGCACAAGGTGGCAATGAACGATAGTTTCCTCTGACTATCACCAGTATCTCTGTCATTGGTGGCCTGGTCATAAATGGTATGTCACCGATTTGGGCATGGAAAGTGGTATGTCACCACATTCGGAGGATCCCGTGCAGGTGCAGATACGAGACCCAACTATACGGCACTCAATCAAGTACCCGAGTGCGGGGATTCTCAATTACTCACCTCATTGCCACCGATAAACATGACCCTTTAATGAATGTTGCACCAAGAGACGTCACACACTCCACCGTCTACCATGCCACGCATCAAGCAAAAAAGCAAAGTTGGGAAGCTCCTTTATAGTCCAGCCAGATATGCGATATTTAACTCAGCCAGGCAGAGGACCTTGCCCGCGTCCGCAACAACCAGCGTCGCTGCAGACAGCGCAAACGCGATTACGTCGAGGAACTGGAGCGAAGGCTTGCGTCCGTCGAGGAGAATACTTCTCAGGAGATTCGGAGACTGCAATCTATCGCGGATGAGCTTCGCCATGTGAATAAGCAGTTGACGGCGTTACTTGACTCCGCGGGTGTAGACTACAGTCATGTCGGATCTAGGAGACAGACGAACAGCGAGAATGCTGGCGCGATGGATATGAATATGGAGGTCGTCCCTTTTCGGAATTCCGTCGTGGGTAGGTCATGATCTATGATCCGACAGCGTCATCCATATCTGCTATTCTGGGTATTGACTGGCATCCGCAGAGACAACAGCTTCAGAGGCCATTCCCCAACTCAACTTTTATGCATTGCCATCTACAACTACCGAGGTCCAGGAAGCCAGCTACTTCCCAAGTTCGCATGAAACCGAGCTGGGTCCTGAATCCCTACTACTTCTACCAGAGCTGGGTGTACCAGTCACGACCCTAAACACAGAAGTCTCACAAGATGAGTACCAAGACACGACCGTCTGCGCTGTGGCCCTGGAGCTGGTCATGAGCTGCAACACAAAGAACCTAAGTATTCTAGAGCTTGATATGCGACTCCGATGTGGGTATAGGAGTGCGCGGTTCCAGTGGGAAGGCTGCAGGGTCGACAACCAGGTTTTGTTTGCTGTACTTTCTGAGATTACGTAGGGTAACGACGTTAATTAATTGTCTAGGCATGAGATATTTAACATCTTCCAATTATTGCACGGCATAGTTTCATGCAAGCTGATCGAGATCTACCTCCGTACTGGGCCGAAAGAGGCTGTGTATCGGGTCTGGGACATGGAAAATAGCACAGAGAACAATAGACGAATCAAATCTTGAATAGAGTGACTCTGACTAGAGACAGACAACAGGCAGCAATCATTATCTGCGCCCTTCAAATTGATATAGTCTATGATATCCAGCTAAGTCCAGGCAGGCAAGGCTCGTATTCGGCTGCTCCGCCGAGCCTCTTTTTCCACGCATATGACGTCGATCATCTTTAACCACGTTAGGAAATGCTCGTACTCGTGTATAGATGACGGCCTCCAATAACCAATATAAATACCATGCATTTGGAAGGGAAATCTACTCGTAGCTTCACATTCCTAACTTCAGACTTCAGCCTTCTGCAAGCATGATTATCCCTCGAACTTCCCAACTCATCCTAGTAGCCACCGGCATTGCCTCTGCCGCAGGTGAACCTCGACGTCGATGCGCCTACGGTGACAGCTGCTGGCCGGACGCTCACACATGGAATCAGTTCAACGCTACTGTTGGCGGGAGATTGATCCGATCCGTGCCCCCTGCTGCGGTGTGCCATGCGCAGCTATACAATGCCGATCAATGCGCCATCGCAAAGGGAAGCTGGTTGGACAGCTTTTGGCGAACGAACCAAACCGGCGCGTATGCAGCAACTGTCTGGGAGATGGGCAAGACAGGGCAGTGCTCCATTGACACGCCTGTTGAGGCTCGGTGTGATCAAGGAATTGGTATGTCGACACAGCCGCAGAGGAACATCTTCCGTTCGCCTTGCTGATGATATGATATTGCTATCCCGTAGTGCCGTATTATGCGGTCGATGCACGGAGTGTCCAGAACATTCAGAAGACTGTGAGATTCGCCAGTGAGAAAGACTTGTCCTTGGTGATAAAGAACACAGGACATGATCAGTAGGTCCCTTCACACATCCCCGTGCGTGTTCGCTTCAGTTTTAACGCTCTTGAATACAGCCTGGGCCGCTCCAGTAGAAAAGGAGCGCTTTCTATCTGGACGCACCATATGAAGGGTATGGAATGGCACGACTCTTTCATCCCTCAAGGTGCACCAGTTGGAACCAGTGGTATCGCTGCGGTGACTTTGAAGGCGGGAGAGCAGTGGTTCGGTAAGTCTGCAAGGTCCTTTGAATCGATCCCCCGGCTAATCCAGCTTAGATGTATACCAAGCAGCTGCCAAGCGTGGAGTGTTGGTTGTGGGAGGGTCAGCGCGCACTGTAGGAGCCGCTGGAGGATATTTGCTAGGAGGAGGCCACTCACCGTTCGCACATTACTACGGCCTCGCTGCCGACAACCTCCTGGAAGCAAGTATCGTATCCGCCGACGGACGACACCGAGTCATCAATTCATTCACCGACCCTGAATACTTCTGGGCGATTCGTGGTGGTGGCGGCAGTGCTTGGGGGGTAAGTCAATGCAAATAACACGGTGCGCACAGTAGCTAATCTGCTGTCATTTCTGTGCAGGTCATCACATCCGTTACCTACAAAACACATCCAGTCCCGTCGAGTCTCCTGATCGGCCTCGTTCAGCTGAATGCCTCTAGCGCCGCTAGCTATAAGCATGTTGTCGCCGAAAGCCTAAAGCTGCTGCCGGCGGTGACAGACGCAGGATACACTGGATATGGCACCATGGAGAACGGATTCGCGGCGATTTTCCTCCAGCCCAACGGGACTGTAGAGTCCTTTAACAAGACTTTTGCTCCATTCTTCAACCTTACGCAGCTTACCGGTGTCTCTGGGACTGTCGGCGCATACCCATCGAGCTGGGATGGTTATATTAAAACCTTTCTGAGGGATCCCAACATTGGGACCAGCATTCAGGATGCGGGCCGGCTCTTGACGACCGACGTCCTTACAGAAAAATCGCAGATGCTGGCCGAGTTTATCCATGAGAACCGTCAGGGCGCGGGATTTAATTTCAGTATGGGAATGCCTTCTGTATGGGTCGAACTCTGCTAACCTGGATTGTGATTTAGTTGGCAAAGTCAACAATGACCAGCGCGACAAGACAGCCGTCCATGATGTGTGGAAACGCAGCCACGCGCTCATTGGCATCGGCATAGATTGGAAAGACACAGCGTCCGTTGAGGAGAGACAGCAAAAGATACAGCACCTCGTACAATTGAGTGAGCGGTTTACTGAGATTGTCGGAGAAGATGGCGGGACTTATATTAATGAAGCCAACCCGTGAGTCTTATTTGTGAACGCCGTTCCGATTGAGAGACGATTAACCTCACATCTGCCTAGGTATGAACCCCAGTGGCAAAAGGTCTTCTGGGGAGACAAATACGATCGCTTGCTGAGGATTAAGGAAAGAGTGGACCCAACCAAGCTGTTTGTTTGTAATCGGTGCGTGGGGACGGACTTTGTGTTGGAGCCGTAGATTCAACACGCGGATAATATCAGGATGCCTGGTGGTTGTGTGGAGGTGAAGACAAACCTGGCTCAACTGAAGCATTAGCAGACTGTGTCGCGGGAGGCGGTTCGGCTGGCAATAGTATTAGGAATGTGAACATTTGTACTGCTGCAGAGTGTAATGGAGATGTGACTGTGCCAGGCGTGTAAATCCAATGGGAGCTTCCCACCGTTTTACCACTTTGATTTCATGACTATTTGCAGATTGTAGCATCATTCTATGCTTGCAGCCAGGGGTCCTTGAGAAGGTCTCGAGCAGACTTTCTCTCGTCGGGTACCCAAGCCAACATGGACCGTAAGAACTTCAAGAAGGCAATTTTAGATGCGCCTTGAAGTTTTTCTTCGAAGTCTTCAAGAGTAATAGGTGGAAGCGGCGGATTTCACTTCCAGTGGCCTGATTTGTAGCATATGAGGCTGCAGTCACGCTGAAAGATGATAGTGAGAAAGTACGTACCATCGTCTGTGAACACCAAAGGCGAACGTATACTCCGTCGCTGAAATTCCAACGGCGGAGTTCCAAGGTACGCAACCATCTCCGCGATATGGTAACTGTTGGTGTAGCCTTCCTCATCGAAGAGGTGCTTCTGTTCTAAGAGATCCCACGCCTACAGCTGTTGTTAGAATATCGACGTGCACACGTCGCGCACTACTTACCAGACAACCGGCATTCCAAACATCCACACTATGAGACCAATCTAATTCCAGGAGGATTTCAGCGGCTCTGTATATCTCGGGCTGGATCCATTCATGTGGATGATTGGCACCGATGCGAGCCTCCCCGAAATCACACAGCACGGGATAGCCCCAGGCATGATTTCTTGGGGGGCGAAAATCTCGCGTGGCGTAGATCGAGCTCTCATCGTTGATCAGTTTTCGGGGGGACGGATCTGCTTTTTCGGCTTGTTCAAAATCCTCAAAAATATTTTCATCCTCAACTGTCAACATGATATTGCTAGCTTTGAGGTCTAGCCAAGTCAGAACACTGTTATTATCGAGTTCGGAGAGAAAGCTAAGTTAGTTTAGTAGTACGCGTACCGCAATGTGCAATGTTGGCTTCTGTATGAAGGAAATCTAGAGCCTGGAGTAGATGCCGTAGGGCCCCTTTGACCAGTTGTTCTGGTAGCCCCTTCGTGTTACCGCCAAGTCTCTGGAAGTCGAATAAGGTTATCTGAAGGGGCTCGTAAGCCAGGCAGTGATGATGGCTCCCGTCTGGTCGCTCGAGCTCAAAGGAATCAACCACATTGCGTATGAATCGTCTCCCGACGTGTGATGATTGAACAATCGCGAGATGCTTGTATGCTTCCACCTCACGATTGATCCGAGGCTGGGATGTGGGAGACTGAATATAGACTTTTACAGCGACGTAGCTGTAGTCACTATCTGGCATTAGTTGTTGTCGAGATAAAACCTTTGCTAATACTGCAGACTCACCTCAAATCGCGACAAAACCAAGTGGTGGAGTTGGCTCCGAACCCAAGCTTTCCTAACACGTGGTACCTTTCCTTGAAGACGTCACCAATGTGAACAGGATAGAACTCATCCGGGTCGTAGACTGGAAGGGTCTCTTCTTCAACTGCTTGACGCGTCTTGATTATTGGATTTGCGCGCGCGACGCTCAAGTTACGCCGGGACGATGGTGGCCGACTGCCCGTCGGAAGAGGGTTGTGAAAGCCGAGGATGACTGAGAATTTCCGCTGGTATAAATACCGATTGTTTAAATGTGAAAGATATATACTGGCCCGAGAGACAGGAATGGACATGTTGATGTTGAGGATAGAGCCAGTTCGGTATATGGAGTACTCCGTACTGTAGATTAAGCTAGACTGTTCCCCACAGCCCCACAGCCAGATGGGCTATATGCACAACCAATCACAAGGCCGGCAGAACCACCATGCAAACCGAGCAAACTCTCAGAAAAAAAAAGTCCGGCTTCAAATCCAAGTCCAAGTCTACTCATATACAACCCTCCTATACACAGAAATCTACAACTGAACCCGCCATTGAACAGGCGCGGTCACTCTCTATCTCTCCCAACACCTGCCCATTCATCCCCAATACCCCTCCGCTCAATCGCATCTCCGCAAACCATGACCGACCTCCAAAAGACTCCCTTTGTACGGGAGCTCGCCTCAAGCGGTGCGCATAGTTCCCGAACCCATATCCATATATCCATACCCGACTAACACCCCACAGACAAAAAGCTCCGCGACAAAGCCACCGACTCCCTCATCCAGTTCCTCCGCTCCCGAACAGACCTCTCCCTCATCGAACTCCTCAAGCTCTGGAAGGGCCTCTTCTTCTGTCCGTCCCCTACATCCCCTTCTCGACAGCAACCGCTAATACGATTCTATAGGCTTCTACCACTCCGACCGCCCCCTCACGCAACAAGCCCTCGCCCGCAACCTCTCCTACGCCCTCGTGCCCACCCTCCCGCGCGCCAGCCTGCACCGCTTCCTGCGCGCCTTCTGGATCACCATCAGCCGCGACTTCCACTCGCTCGACCGCCTGCGTCTGGACAAGTACCTGTTCCTGATCCGATGCTACGTCGGCGTCGCCTTTGAAGTCTTCCTGAAGGCTCCTGCGGAGCCCTCCACCGGCGGCGCAAACAAGAAGCGCAAGCGCGAGGCCGCCGCGGCGAAGAAGAAGGCGAAGCGCTCCAAGCGGGGTGCTGATGCCCCCGCCGCGGAGGCCGATGATGGCGCCGACGAGGGCGAAGACCAGGCTGACGGCGACGGCGCCGGCAAATGGGCCGCGCTCGAGTCGTACATCGCGCTGATCGAGGAGGGCCCCCTCTGCCCGCTCAATTTTGACCCCGACCAGCCGCCCGCCGACGAGAAGAGGGATTACGTGCCTATGCCGCATGGTCCGGACGGACTGCGGTACCATCTGATGGATATTTGGGTCGATGAGCTGGAGAAGGTGCTGGAGTTTGAGGAGAAAGAGGGCGAGGGCGAGGGACAGAAGCGGAAACCCAAGGGCGAGGTGCCGATTGAGCTGATCTTGCGTCCGCTGGAGAAACTGCGCGCGGAGAGTCCGTACAAGCCTGTGCGGGTGCGGGCGGGCGAGGCGCTTGAGGACGAGCGGTTGATTGAGTGGGGGTTTAGGACGCGGAAGGTGGAGGAGGAGGAGGATGAAGACGAGGAGTGGGGTGGGTTTGATTAGTCCTGCTGGATTGAAGTGAAAAAAGTGTACTTTGTAGTTGGTCTTGTATCATCTGGCGTACGGTAGCGATTGCATGTTAAACGAATAGACCTGGTTGATGTATGAATGTCTGATTACTGTACATGAAGGGGACGGTATCTATAACAGGACGGTATGTATAACGAGACGGGCCTCTGCCTACGTAGCAGCCAGGCAAAAAGGGTATCATCAAAGTGTAAGACCTGAAAAGAGACTGGGAAGCAGGAAACGGCCTATGCTTCGCGTCTAACGGTATGTCCGTCTATACTAAGGTCTCGGGGCCTCCGCTTCAAAGAGATGTCCCGATTTCGACAGCACAGTGCCCAGACCCTGGTGGACTTCGGCTTGGAACGCCGCGAACGGCAACTTCTCGCCGTCCACGCTGATAAATCCTTCTTTCTCGCGGGGAACCAGTCGGTATGCGGTAGCCTTGAGCACATGGACATCGGGCATGTCGAAGAACCGATTCTCGGGGAGTTCTATCATCATCTTGAGGCTGGTGGTGCGGGCAATCGTGCCGTCCAGGGTGACAATGTCCATCAGGCCGTCGTTCGGCACTGACGCAGGGAAGAATGGCGTGTCCTTGGACACAATGGCCATGGTCCCGGCGTAAAAATTGCCGATGGTCTCGGCCGGAATGACCTTCCAGTCCTTGGGCAGCTCATCCTGCACAGTGCCATATTTGAGCTCGGGAAGACCCCCGGTGGCGTCCTCCGCGGGGCGAGTCGGCGGTGGGCTGTTCGCGTACGTGTGATAATGGGCCTTGATGGCCTTCTTGTCGTCCATCACCACCTTGATGGCCAGGTCGCAGGGGTAGACCGTGCGCGAAAGGAGACGTACGAGGACGCCGTAGTGGAACCGGTGGGCGCCCATCCAACGGATATTGTCGGTGCCGAGATCCGACTCGGCGATAATGCCAAATGACTGCGACAGAAAGGACAGCGTGCGAGTGTTGCCCTGGGTGAGCGACACAAGATCCATTGGAGTCCGCAACCCCTTGACGATGGTCAGCGCGGCCACCGAAACACTCCCCGTCCCGCACAGGTTCCACGCCATGCCGTTCCCCGAGCCGCATGGCAGCATGGTAACGGCGATCTTGGCGAGGGCCTCGCGCGCGTTGGCTTTCTTCCCTAGACCATTGAACACCTCGTGCGGCAAGCCGTCCCCGGAGCAGCATACAATGGCATCATAGGCGTCCACGTCGATCTGCTCGGCGATCTCGGTGGCGTGCCCCTGATGGGAGGTTTCCTCAACATCAATGTGACAACGCGCGGCCGCGAACACGGGCGCCGCATGGTTGTGGTACAGTTTCGACGCCGACCCTTTGCCGCCGAAGGGGTTGATGAGGACTTTCAGACGCTTATACCGCTGCGCGTTCCTATACGCTTTATCAAGGAGCTGTGCGATCCACGCCTCGACGTTTGCTTTTTCCTCCTCGGCGACGGGATACTGCAATGCCGCAACGGAGATGTCATCTTTGCTGGTCGGATCCGCATACGTGATGGTTAAGCCGGCGGGGGAAAGATCGGCGTCTAGAACGTTGAACAGCGAAATGGAGTGGGTATCTTTCGTTGCTGTAGGTCCGAAATTAGATACGTTCGCAAGATTCCTAAGGCCACATGAAGGGGTTCGCATACATGACTTGGCCAGCAAACCGCAACAGGCACGATCTTGTTTGCGCGAGGAGCGTTCGTCTGCGATACGGCCAACCGAGTTAATGTACAAGAGCCATCCAATGCGATGCGGGGGCGTGGACGTCCGGTTGATAAATACATACCGACGACAAGAAGAGAGTCGCCGCCTAGAGTGAGGGAAACCGACTGAGCGACCACCAGGGTCGCATCGTGCTTCAGCAGCCGGCTCTGCGAATCCGGCTGATCCCCGTGGGTGAAGGGCGGGCGCGAAGCGCCATTGGCGGAAGAGGACATTCTTATGCGCAGCACTGCAAGCAGAGCATGGTACAAAACCCAAAACAAGAGAGTCCACAGGAGAGTGGAGAGGAGGAAGAGGAGGAGAGAGGGCAGGAGAAAAGAAGGGAAAGAAGAGGAAGACGAGAGGGAGAACTGGAGAAGCTGGAGGCGAGTGGAGAAGGCCCGCGGCGGCCGAGAATAATCAAGTGCCGTGGTGAAGGGAGTCATTCTCCCGAGGAACAACACCACATGCGACACGAGGGCTTGTTTACCCCTGTTCGCTGCCCCTGAAGAGATAGTAGAGTAATTCATATATATATATATATATATATATATATATATGATATTAATATCATATGTTATATATACTCTACCTGCGATGCTGGATGGTTGTTTGCAGTCTCTCATGGATTTCAATGGGTTCCGAGACATCCGCATGCATCGCCTGTCAGCGACATTCCAGAGAGAAGAGGCTGGGATCTGGGGATGAGGATGATGGTGATTCTCTATCCAGATAACTACATGCCAGGCCATCGTGACCTTTTATTCCCCTCTCTATATCCATGTGTGGTTCCAATATCGCCACCCCAGAACCTCAAAGAGAGGAACCCATTTACTTTACAAACCCATGGTTCGCATCGGCTTGGATCATGGGGTTCTTTGTGGGATGCGGTGGGATGCGTCTCTAGTCTATGGAGGATTCTTCATTCAAGGAGCCTTTTCACATGCAGTAAAACAAAAAGGAGAAGCAGATAACCGACAGATCGTCCATCAGAACAGAATAATAAAGAGGATACTATGTTAATAAGTAAGGGTAATCAATATTCAACTCGACCAAACGCAGTAAAGTAACCTTAGTACTCCCTCATGCAGCCGAGGCCTTGAGACCCTTCAGAGAGCCCAGGCTCAAGGCCAGCCCCTGCGAGCGACTTCTTATCCGCACGAAGCCAGTGATCGGTCCGTCCTCTCCTTCCTTTTCGATACTCAGATTCGCCAGCGCATCCTCGCCTATAGGCATCAAGTTAGAAATGTCTTGTTTGAGAGGGAAACTAGAAGTCAGATACGTACCAAATACGCTCCGGGCATATAGGTTGGCACTCAGGAACCGGCAATCGCCCTTCAGCGATGCATCCGGGGTCAAACAAGCCATGTTGGTGCTGTCCATCAGCTGTTTGAGGAACTCCCGCAGGCTCTTCGCCTTGGAGTTGATGTTGACCTTGTTCTCCCACTCAAACTCCGTCCACATGGTGCGGAACTGAGTCTCGGTGCAGTGGGCCGGTTGGATGTAATCCATGATGTCGGCATGGATGTCGTTGAGAATGACCACGTGAGTCTCCGTCGAGCTGGCCCCATCATACACAATGTTACCGAAGATGACACCCGTATCCGTGGACGACACCTTGACTGTAGCCTGTACATTCAAGAAGTCCCGGGGTCCGAGGTTGTGTGTCGTGGGCCGCTCGACAACCTTCAGATCTCCAAGGGTAGCAAATTCGACCGACAGGTTCTGCAGGGTTTCCACGGTCTGGTTCACCAGAAGCACGTCGAGGACGATATCGAACTGATGAACAGTAACGTAGGCCTCCGCGTAGACCGGGTCGGAGAAACCAGTGAGCTGGACCACCCGGCTCAGCTTCGATGACACCGTCTCAACGGTGGACTCACCGCCGGTAGCCTTGGCCAGATCCAGCTCGATCTCCTCTGCACCCTCTAAAGCATTCTTCTTGGCGAACTGTCGGATGGGAATGGCATCGTCGATCTGCACGGCACTCTTGGCCTTCTCCACGGCTTCCTTAGCAGCTCGCTTCTTGTCCTCGACCTGGACCATGGCACGGAAGGCCTTCCGGGTATCCTCCAGGAACGTAGTCTCGAGCTCCTTCTTCTCGGAGAACTCCGCAAGCGAGCGGACACAGCACATGATACGATCCACCGAATCCTCGTCGATGGGGGCCTTCACGAAGTGGGATTGTCCCACTCGGATGATGGAGATCATGATCAGCATGGCTTCCGCACGCAGGGCGTTCGTGCGAGCGGCGTCCTCGGAGACTTCGGAATGACGCATCACCAGTTTGGTGAGAGTCGAAGACAGGACAGTGGCCAGGTAGAAATCACCGTCGAGAATCAATTGGCGAAGAGGCGGCTTTTGCGCGGCCTTGACAGCGGCTAGTCGGGCGGCGGCAGCCGACTCGCTGGTGAGAGCGCTTTCAGTGGCATACGTGCCATCTGCCAGCACTTTGCGGGAACCAGTAGGGGCGGAAGGCTTTGCGTGGCCGTTGACCTGCTCCTTGAGAACGCTTTCCTCCGGAACTTCTTCCAGAAGGCGCTGCTCGGAGGCAAGGATGGGAATCTCTCCCAAGCTGGCTCGGATCCGTTTCCAGGCTTCCCGGATGTCTTTCTCTTCCAAGGAGTATTCACCGACAACCCACAGCACACCGCGGTAAACCTTTCCGGCACGGACCTCACTAAGAGTGGAAACCAAACGCTGGACAATCGCACCACGCAGTTTAGGGAACTTCTCGACCACCTCCTTAACAAACGAGATGACATCGACGGCGGAGTTGTTGTTGAAGTCGGCGATAAAGTCCATAAGAAGGTCGACGACGCTAGCGGCGATCTCGGAGAACTTGATGGCGCAGGAGTGGATCGACTGGATGAGAAGTTGACGGTACTCGCTGTTCTGTTCGGGTGGTTAGCTATGAATCCATCTCAAGCCATTGGATCCCGTACCTTCTCGTACTGCTCGTCCACCGTCTTGGCCAGCTCCTTCTTCAGCAGCATGACAATCTCCTCCACGTTCTTGCTGGAAACCATCTCCAAGGCGATGCCAAGCGCTTTGCGACGGACATCGATATCGGGGCTGGAGAGGACACGCAGGATTTCCATGGTGAGGTCATCTAGGACACCCTCATTGCGAATTCTGAGTTGGTCGACACGGTCAAGAACGATGAGCTTCACGTTGTTGTCCGCTTCCCGAATGCACAGCTCGATCAATTTGCCCGCGGCAGCCTTGACGGCGACAGGGTTGCTGGTGAGGGCGGTCAGGGAGGTCGCGGCTTCGTAGATCACGGTGCTTGTAGATGCGTCCAAGAGGTCGAAAATAAGTCGCAAATATCTTGCCTACTAAGCGTTAGCTAACCAACCTCCTGCCGATGGTCTATTCCCCGACCGACCTTGTTCTGAGCATTCTGCACTGCATCCTTGCGGATGAATTCCAGTTCGACCAGTTGTAGGAGTTCATCGGTGTTAGGGATGCCGTCGAACGTAGAGGAGAGGTATTCCAGCGCTTTCTGGTGACTGATGGACATCAAGGCCGCAAAGGCATTCCGCTTGCAGGTGCTGTCGGTCTCGGTGTCAAGGAAGGTCTGGATGAGTTCGGGGGCATCGGGAATAAGAGATTCGGAGTGTTGGAAGATAGAAGCGACTGCCCACACCGCATTCTTTCTCACATAGGCGTGGCGATGTTCCAAGCAGGAGCGGGCCGACGAAAGGAGGGGCTCAATCAGTTCGGGCTCCCGGAGCTTGCACAAGAATCGGAGGGTATTGCCGCGAACGTATTCGTTGGGATGCTGGAGATCATTGCGGATGCCGTTACTGAGTGAGGAGACAGATTAGACCGAGCAATTGCGAGATTGACCAAGGGCAGAGAACTCACCAGACTAGAATCATCTCCTGTTTCAACTTCCCACTCGCGTCATGCTTGGGACAGATCTCATAGTAGAAGTACAACAGCTTTTTGAGCGGCTTGCTTCGTGACGGCATGACAAAGCGAATGATGTGCATCAGGAGTTCGGACATGGGGTCTCCGTTCAGCATGATCGTGATGATCCGCCTCATTGTCTCCAACTTGGTCTCATCATTGCCCTTCTCCAGCTGCAACCTGAGCTCCTGCAGCGTGGGCTGGTCGGCAGTGTTGTCCTGATGGACGAGACTGTATGCGTTATCTAGGAAGGACGCCATGGTGATCTAGAATGGAAAGCGAACGAGTATGGACGGGGGTTCAAGGAGGGAGGAGAGAGCTGTATGTGGTCAGTCCAAGTGGTTGTTTTGGAGCGGATCAGGGGAGATTGGAGGGGAGCAGTACCGAAAGCGACTCTCCTCGAGAGAAGAAATTGTCGTCGTAAGAGAATAGAAGAGTAGTCTAAAGCAATTCAACACCCCTCTCCTGCCGTGCATTCATCCGCGCAAAGGTTGGCAAGGGAATCGGAGGGAGGATCAACGAACTAACCTGGCCATTTGCGCGGCGGAGAGAGAGACACAGAGAGACCAAGCTGGCCGGACTGTGTGGATGACTAAGCCCCACCGGCAACCCGCCTCAATTCAGGTACTGCCGCCATAATAATGTGCATTCCTCGTCTCCCCTCCCATCGTCTCTCGATTTGCTCTTAGGAGTTCCTTAAGCCACTATGTCGACGCAGAACGAGCCCTTCTATCTCCGCTACTAGTAAGCCATGTTGTTGAGCCCAGGTTTCCTCAGCTGCTGACAGCCCTGCAGCTCAGGTCACTCTGGGCGGTTCGGGCATGAGTTCCTAGGTTGGTTGGCACTGATTCTATCCGGTTCGTTGGCATTTGCTTATTGGGAACTAGAATTTGACTTTCGCACCCTGGGCGATGGTCGCAGTGCCGCCGTGCGATACGCGAACACTCAAACTACCGCAATGACTCGCTCATCCGCAAAGAGAGTCCGTTCCTCTTCGCGATTCCGATCACGTCGTATGTCGCTAATCGGTTGGAACAGTGTGTGTGAGCTCGCTGATGATCCAAGAGATCAAGCGCATTATCAAAGAAAGCGAGATCATGAAGTATGCTTGGTCGTTTGTCGGATGCAGGGAGGTACCTGTACTGACATGATGTAGGGAGGACGACTCCAAATGGCCGCAGAAGAACAAGGACGGACGGCAAGAGCTGGAGATCCGCCTTGGAAATGAACACATTTCCTTTGAGGTATTGTGGACTATCCTCACCGTCCTTCCTATCTGGATGTCAGGTTCTAACTCGTGGCCTGTCGCAGACCGCGAAAATCGGCTCATTGGTTGACGTGACCGAATCCGCTGATCCCGAAGGTCTTCGAGTTTTCTACTACCTCGTTCAAGACCTGAAAGCCTTAATTTTCTCTCTGATTTCTCTCCACTTCAAGGTAATATAGAGCCTGGGTTCGTTCACCTCCCGAGGACCGACGGCTAACGGACAATTTCCTACAGATCAAGCCTATCTAATGGAATAACATGGGATGTTTATTGGGCGTTCTGAAGGATATAATATTTTTTTTGGGAGGATGTTGGCTATTACAGACAGAAGCACCTCCCGGGATGATGACGCAATAGGCGTCTGGCGAGAAAGACGACTCTCGTTGTTTTCCCAAGGAAGATGAGAATAAATACCCAGATTTAACATGCGGATACGAAGGGCGCTGCGATCGTGGCCCAGTCGGTTGCGTAGACGTAGGAAGTACCCAGTACTTAATCGATGCCTGATGAGGGCAGGGTGGATGCGTGGAAGTTCTGGCCAAAAGCAAATTATCCGCCCGAAGCGCCCATTCGCCTCCCCCGCGCCCGCATGATCAACGGCCTATCCCTTTCAGGCAGTGCGTCTTCCCTCCCTCAACTCTCCTCTCTCCCTCTCTCTCGTCTCTTCCATCTTTCAACTCTTCAACTCTTCCCATATTCTCCCCTGTCAACCCATTCTCCTTTTTTTTTTTTTTTCTTTTTGAGCCTTGACCCCTCTTTCTACCCGCGGCTCTCCTCTCCCGATATCCCCCCAACTTCACCCATCCTCCCTGTGTATGTCTCCCGGGTCTTCCCTTCTCTTCGTCTTGTCTCGCTCCC